CGCGATGGGGTGGTCACGGACCTCGAGCCAGACATCCTGGAATGTGAAGTCAAATGGGTCTTAGGAAGTCTGAGCAACAACAAAGCTAGTGGAGGTGACAGTATTCCAGCTGAACTATTCAAAATCTTAAAAGATGATGCAGTAAAAGTGCTACACTCAATATGCCAGCAAACATGGAAAACTCAACAGTGGCCACAGAATTGGAAAAAGTCAGTTTACATTCCAATCCCAATGAAGGGCAATGCCAAAGAATGTTCATACTACCGCACCATTGCACTCATTTCACATGCTAGCAAAGTTATGCTCAAAATCCTACAAGCTAGGCTCCAGCAGTATGTGGACCGAGAACTACCAGAAGTACAGGCAGGATTTTGAAGAGGGAGAGGAACTAGAGATCAAATTGCCAACATATGCTGGATCATGGAGAAAGCTAGGGAGTTCCAGAAAAACATCTACTTCTGCTTCATTGACTATGCTAAAGCCTTTGATTGCATGGATCACAACAAATTGTGGCAAGTTCTTAAAGAGATGGGAGTACCAGACCATCATATTTGACTCTTGAGAAACCTATATGCGGGTCAAGAAGCAACAGTGAGAACTGGACACGGAACCACTGATTGGTTCAAAATTGAGAAAGGAGTTTGGCAAGGCTGTATACTGTCACCCTGCCTATTTAACTTATATGCAGAGAACATCATGAGAAAGGCGGGCCTAGATGAATTACCAGTTGGATTTAAGATTGCTGGGAGAAATATCAACAACCTCAAATATGCAGATGATACCACTCTCATGGCAGAAAGTGAAGAGGAACTAAAGAGCCTCTTGATGCGAGTTAAGGAGGAGAGTGCAAAAGTTGGCTTGGAACTCAACATTAAGAAAACTAAGATCATGGCATCCAGTCCTCTCACTTCCTGGCAAATAGATGGGGAAGAAATGGAGGTAGTGGCAGATTTTATTCTCCTGGGCTCCAAGATCACTGCAGATGGGGACTGCAGCCAAGAAATTAAAAGACGCTTGCTCCTGGGGAGGAGAGCTATGGCAAATCTAGACAGCATACTAAAAAGCAGAGACATCACCCTGCCAACAAAAGTGCGTATAGTCAAGGCCATGGTTTTCCCAGTTGCAATGTATGGCTGTGAAAGTTGGACCATAAGGAAGGCTGAGTGCCGAAGAACTGCGGCCTTTGAATTGTGGTGCTGGAAGAGACTTTTGTGAGTCCCTTGGACCGCAAGGTGATCAAACTGGTCAGTCCTAGAGGAGATCAACCCTGACTGCTCTTTAGAAGGCCAGATCCTGAAGATGAAACTCGAATACTTTGGCCACCTAATGAGAAGGAAGGATTCACTGGAGAAGAGCCTAATGCTGGGAACAATATATGGCAAAAGAAGAAGGGGACGGCAGAGGATAAGGTGGCTAGATGGAGTCACTGAAGCAGTTGGTGTGAGCTTAAGTCAGGCATGTCCAAAGTCCGGCCCGGGGGCCAATTGTCACCCGTTTTCAAATTTCGAGCGGCCCGCAGCCTCTTCTCCCCACCGGCTCAGCCTGTCACTCGTCCCTGCCGGCCGGCGTTTTTCCCTTCACTGCACAGCGGTTCCCACAACTGTCCCCTGCTGCCTCCTGCTCCTTCAAGGCTGGTGGTTATATTTCACCAGAAGATGGCAGTAGACCTGAGTCAGCACTCTCACCGCATTACCCTTGTGACACAAGGCTTGTGTGCCCATTTCTAAAATGGCAACTGTAACTAAAAAAAGGAAAGTTGACAGCGAGGGCCCCCGGTTCCAGAACAAGTGGAAATGGGAGTATTTTTTTCACTGAAATACGAAACAACTGTTTCTGCCTAATTTGCCAAGAGACTGTGGCTGTTTTCAAGGAATTCAATATCAAGAGGCACTACCAGACGAAACATGCTAACTACAACTGGGAACGAACGCGGTGAAAAATGGAAGGAACTGGAAGCTGCTTTAATGGCACAGCAGCGCTTTTTCACAAGAGCCCATGAGTCAAATGAAAATGCCACAAAGGCCAGCTATGAGGTGGCAATACTGATTGCCAAGCACTGCCAACCTTTTACTGAGGGTGAATTTATTAAAGACTGCGTGATGAAAATGATGGAGAAATTTTGTCCTGAGAAGAAGCAAGAGTTTGCCAATGTTTGGCTGGCTCGTAACACTGTGGTACGTAGAACTGAAGATGTTTCATCTGATATTAAGAGACAGTTAGAGGCAAAAGGAGTGGAGTTTGACTTCTTCTCGTTAGCCTGCGACGAAAGCACGGATGCATCTGACACCGCTCAGTTATTGATTTTTTTTTAGAGGAGTGGACAATAACATGAATGTGAGGGAAGAGCTACTTGACCTCCAGGGCCTTAAGGACCAAACAAGAGGAACAGATTTATTTGATTCTGTTTGTTCCACCGTAGATGACATGAAACTACAGTGGAATAAAGTCACTGGGATTATTACGGATGGCGCACCTGCCATGGCTGGCGAGCGAAGTGGATTATCAACCCTAGTCTGTAACAAAGTCAGCGAAGAAGGAGGCAAAGCTATGAAACTCCACTGTATTATTCACCAACAAGTTCTCTGTGCCAAACATCTGAAATATGATCATATGATGAAACCGGTAATGAAGGCTATTAATTATATTCGCTTCAAAGCCCTGTGCCACCGCCAGTTTCAACAGTTTCTACTCGACATCCAGGCTGAATACGGAGATGTTGTGTATCACAACGAGGTAAGATGGCTCAGTCGGGGGTCTGCACTGCAGCGCTCCTACTCTCTTAGGGAGGAAATCGGACAATTCTTGGCAAAAAAGGGACAACCGATGCCAGAGATATCTGACTCTGTTTGTCTGGCTGATTTTGGATTTTTAGTTGACATAACACGACATCTGAATGTGCTGAACACGAGCCTTCAGGGGCAAAATGCAGTGGTAAGCCAACTGTATTCACATATCAAAGCCTTTGGGACCAAGCTGCTAGTTTTCCAAAGGCACCTGTCACAAATGCAGCCCAATACCACACATTTCCCATCGCTGCAGGAAATAATGACCAGTTTTCCACAGAACAATATGAGTGCACAGATAAGGAGGTATGAAGCAGACATCTCATCTCTGGCTGAGGAGTTTCAACAGTGCTTTCAGGATTTTGCAGCTATTGAAAAGGAGATCACGCTTTTTTCATCTCCTTTCTCTGTGGACCCTGATGACGCTCCAGACCACCTGCAGCTGGAGCTCATTGAGCTGCAGTGTGATGCCGAGTATCACAGTCGGCACCAACAGCTCCCTCTTGTCAACTTCTACTGCCACCTGGATAAAGACAGGTTCCAAGAGATTTGAACATTTGCTAAGAAAATGCTGAGCTTGTTTGGTTCGACATACTTGTGCGAGAAGACATTCTCGGTTATGAACATTAACAAGAACTGCGTGAGGACGAGACTAAATGACTTTTACCTGCGTGACATCTTACGCATCAAAACCACTGTTTTTGAGCCGGACCTGGCCTATATAATGCAGTCGAGATCTCAGTATCACCCTTCACATTAGTGCAGTTAAGTTATTTGTTTAGTCTATTTTAGTTATTTGTTTTATTTGTTTCATAAAATAGTTCATTTGCATTTAATGTTAATGGTTCAAAGAATGTCAGGCTGAATGGTCGGCCCCCACACATTTTCACCTCACCAAATCTGGCCCTCCTTGCAAAAAGTTTGGACATCCCTGGCTTAAGTGGACTCCGGGGGATGGTGGAGGACAGGAAGGCCTGGAGGAATGTTGTCCATGGGGTCGCAATGGGTCGGAAACAACTTTGTGACTAACAACAACAACAATGCTCTTCCAGTAGTTCATCAAAGGGAATTGTGTTCAGCCTCTCACCCTTTTGATGGCCGTTGCGCAAAGATGCACTTTCAGCCCCCTACAGTAATAAAACAAGTACATTTAAGGATTTTTCTCATCCCTCTGTCAGACTAATCTCATTTTTTTGACTGGGTAACCTCCCAAATGGACAGAGGGAACACTATTGACATAATCTACCTAGACCTTAGCAAAGCTTTCAAGATCGTTTCCCATGATATCATGAAAAGCAAATTAGCAAAAAGTGCAATGGAACATGAAGTGTGCTCATCAATGGCACATTCTCAAACTGGAGGAAGGCAACTAGTGGGGTGCCACAGAGTTCAGTTGTAGGCATAGTGCTCTTCATCATCTTTATTAATGATTAAGATGAGGAAGTACAAGGTATGATAATCAGATTTGCAGACAATGCAAAACTGGGTGGAATGGCGAACACCCTAGTAGACAGAATAAAGATCCAGGGTGATCTTGATAAATTTGCATGCTGGGCTGAAAGCAACAGAATGAGATTCAATAGGGACAAACACCAAGTCCTCCACCTAGGAAAAAGATGCAAAATACATTGAGACAAGATGGGGAATACATGACTCAACAGAACTGAAAAGGAAAAAGACTTTGGAGTTAAAGTGGACAACAAGCTAAATATGAGCCAACAATGGAATGCAGTCGCAAAAAAAAAAAAAAAAAAAAAAAAATTTTTTTAAAAAACATAAAAAAAAAAAAAAATTCCAAAAAAAGAAAAACAAATCAAAAAAAAAAAAAAAAAAAGGTGAATGCTATTCTGAGATCCATTAACAGAAGTATTACTTCCAAATCACTAGAACTAATAGTTCCCCTATAATCCTCACTAGTCCGGCCTCACCTGGAATACTGTGTCCAGTTCTGTGCACCAGCATTTAACAGAGATGCAGAAAAGTTAGAAAGGATCCAGAGGAGGGCAACAAAAATGATCCAGAGTTTTGAAACACTGCCCTATGAGGAGACACTGAGAGAACTGGACATGTTCAGCCTTGAGAAGAGAAGACTGAGGGGGGACATGAGATCCCTCTATAAGTATCTTAAAGGCTGTCACAAAGAGGAAAGTCAAGATCTTTTCTCACTGATACCAGAGTGTAGGACATGGAATAATCAATTCAAGTTGCAACAACACAGATTCAGGCTAAATATCAGGAAAAGTTTCCTCACTGTCAGAGCAATAAGACAGTGGAACCAGTGGCCTAGAGAGGTCATGGGCTCTCCCACACTAGAGACATTCAAAAAGAAATCGGACAGTTATCTGAATGGTATGGTACAAATTGGTGTCCTGCAGGGGGTTGTACCCAATGGCCTTCATGGCCCCTTCCAACTCTACTATTCTATGATTCAATTATCTATGAACCAATATTTTTTTCTGGGGAAATTCAAAATTGCTAATATCACCTCAGTCATATTTTGATCTATGTTTCTGGCAACAGTTGTTATTTTTGTTGTTGTTGTTGTTGTGACTTTCAAAGAAAAGAAAAGATTTTAAAAGTAGGCTGGCATAATAGGAGTAACAGGATCTCTAGCTTTTGCATATTATTGTCTACCTGACTGTGATTCAGGGCAGTATATTATATAAAGCTACCTTATAGTAGGTGAGAATTTTGAGCCAGTTCTGTCTACTCTGTCAGGTAACCTTTCTCCAGGGTCTCACAGCTTTTCCATACAAGTCCATTAATCCACTTTATCTACTGCTGGTCCTAAAGCAGAACTGCAAACACAAAGGGCTCACTTTTCTGCTTTTCTAGGTGGCACGGTGGTCTAGTGGAACTGCATCAATTCCAGAAGAGGCAACTGATCTTTCTTTCCCCTATCAGAAATAACAGCCCATTTTCCTTACCCTCAAAAAACTTCCAGATAGTGGTGCTTACAAACAGAAGTAAAACTGGAGGGTCACAGTGTCATCAAGAGAACCAGGAACCAATTGTGTATAAGGAATGACACATGGATGCACACACACCAAAATCATCATCATCGTCATCATCATCATCATCATCATCTTGTGAAGAAAATATCTGCTTTCTGGCAGACATTTTTGGTGTGCTGGGAACTGTATCCCTTTTCTTTATCTAAACATGCACAGGATTGCTTCATTGATTGGAGAGTCCAGGATTATACCTGGACCTTCTACCTGCAGAAGGTACAAGGTGCACAAGAACTGCAAAGGTATGCACTGATCCCGTGACATGTTACACATTCTTCATTTTAAGAGCCTTGGAGTTGGCAGAAATGGGTGAGATGGAGCCTAAGATGCCTTCTTATCTGATCAATGACTTTAGTCCATTCCACAAATCATCATCTTATCTTGGGTAGGAAACAGGCAAGATTTGCCACCTCAAATTCCTCTAGTTACATTCTTACAAATGGTAATCAGTTCCTGAATTACTTTCTCCTGTCTGCCAATCTAACATTGGCCAAGAGCAGCTGTGAGCCTGCAATATGCATGTGTGGGGTTTGATGGGGTCCATATGTTTGACAAATCTAGCTGTCTCGTTATCATTCCTCTGTATCTCATCTACCAATGCTTTGCAATTTCTTATATGTTCCTGATATGTTTGCGCAAGAACAAAACAAAACAACCCCCCTGCCCTGATCAGAAAGAAAGATACTCTGAGCATATGCAGATTTACACTTTAAACTCACTTAAATCATAGCATTCCCCGGACTACAGGAATATGACAGAACCTGCTTTTGCTGCACTATTGCATTTGTTTGAGAATAAGCACTATTTGGTAATAGAGAGTAAGTAAAAATGATAAAATGAGAACAAGTAATAATATGCATACTTGTTGGCCCTACAACCACTGACTGTAAAATGTCTTTAAAACAAGTGGGGGAGGTTAGAAGCAAGCAGAAAAAGAAAAAGATCTAGAGGTGCCTGGATTTCCTCTACCAGACATGGGGCTAATGGCAGGTATGTTTGCTGCTGCTTCCTGCCATTCTCTGGGTAGTCATTTGGGTGGCCCTTTGGCTACAGGAATTTGGACCTGAAGGTTTAACCCGAAGTGCACCAGTGGCTGTAGTTCTCCTGCAACATGGCATCAAAATAATCAATGACAAAAAGTGGCTTCCACAACAGCTAATTAATGGCTAGTCTGGAAGGTTCTAAACCTCAGAGTGAATTAACAAATAGATCAATTACAAATCACTGAAGAACATACCAAAAAGAGATCATGATACTACCACATATAAAATGGAAAAAAATTAAAAAGGCACTAGTATATGATAAAGAGAGAAATCTTTGTGTTTCAAGACAACTTACAAATACATTGACATATTGTCTTATTCAAAATGATTGTAGACCAAATATAATACATAGAGTGAGATATATAATGGAATTTATATAAAACATCTTGTAATGTACACCTTAAAATCTGCTTTGAGCCTATTGTCATGTTGTTGATCTTCAAGAAGATTTCCAAGTGACTTAATCAGGGATGAGATTTTCCATCAACAGAAAGCAGTCCATTTCAGCTGATGCCTTTGCATATCAGGACTCGATGTGAAAAAACAGGGTTCAAAGAAAATAACCTCCATAGACATATCATTTACAAAATAAGTAACAATAGGTTAATAAATCACAAGTTATGATAATTTCTGAATGGTTTATCTCAACATTTGCACTGATGGCTGGAAACATTTTTACTTAAAAATATACACTTGAATCATCCCTGAATCCATCTTCATCAGTAATTCTAAACAATTAGTATAAACACCTTAGTTGCAAATTTATAAGAACTCTCAGAGGACATTTACCTGGGAGGTAACACATGAATATGATTGTCCTAATATATTAGAGTCAGTGCACAGACTTTACAATAATTATATTAATAGTAAAGCCTTCTAACAGTTAATCAGCCATCTGCCTAATGGTCCAGAGCGAAACATTTCTCTAAACAAAGAGCCAAGGGTTCACACAACACAGTAAGGCACTGTGGCTTGTTGTGTTGTCTGGACTTAGCAGCATGGTTTGTTAACCACTCTTGGCTGGGTTCAGAAAACCCAGCAATCCACTCTGGCTTGTATGCCACTGTGGCCAATTATGTTTATGAACCCTGAATCTAACAGCCATTGCCTTATTACCTAGCAGGCACATTTCGCATTGCAGCTCTCAGCTTACCTATCTGGAAGTAAGTTTTACTGAAATCAGTAAAACAGATTTCTCAGTAAACATGGTTAGGATTGTGCTGTAGGGTGAATGCAGTAAGAAGTTATGTTAAAATGCAGTAAGAAGTTATGTTAAAATGCACCGAGTTTTCACTATACTAAACAAGACGGGCATTGCAATAATTGAGACATGCATAGGGTGTTACCCTTTAGGAGCAAATCCAATAACCATATTAAGAATCACTTTGTCTCATTTCTTTCTGAGAAAACATGCCCAGTCAAACTTAGGCACTTTAAGAGTTCATTGATATGAATGGGAGAGTTAAGCCCATGCAAAGCCGCCAGCTAAAATCAGCAGGACCAAAAATGGTTAAGTTGTGACCAGCGTAGTATTTCTGTACAATATGTAACATATACAATATTTACATCAATAAATAGCTCTTGCATGAGGTACTCAGGACTATTCTGTGTAAGAATTGACAGTGAATTGGATCACAACATTGTCATGCTCGGCCATGGTTTCAATGGCCTTGCTCTAAGTCTGAATCCAACCCATCGTGTCCACGTTTACTTCATTTAGCTGTGAGCTTGTACTCATTTACCTAAGAGTAAGCCCTATTCCACTCAGTGGGATTTGCCTCAGAGAAGACACATACAGGGTTTCATAGTTAAATGGCAGTGTGTTATGTTCACCATATATGGAGGGCAGGAAAGAAGAGGAAGCATTTAAAATGGGCGGCTCTTTCTGGTTAAAAAGGGGATGTTCTATATCCACCCTGTGAAAGAATCAAAGCAAATAAAACTTTCCTGAACCTGATCAAAAGAATGCCTTTCAAATGTCAGACAGGGGTTACTAGTATTTCATTTAATTCTGAAAGTCATCTTCCTCTCAGACAGTTCAAGGGCTCTGGTTGCTTGTGAGTTAGTATCAAGTTTCATTTTGTAGAACAGAATTTTATTGCTGTCTTTTTTTCTCTTGACCTTAATGTGACACCTGGGTCCAGCTTTAGATTTACATCCTTCTCCTGTGTTCACATTACAGGAGTGCTTGTGAAAAACTGGTCCCTCTGCTGTTCCTAGGTCTCTCACTTTCTGGGCAAAGAAACTGGAGGAAAAAAGCATGTGGGGTGCTTCCAGACAAAGAGCTCCTAGCACTGCAAGCCAAAAAACAGTGAGAAAAAAGACAGAAGTAGTGGTGGGAAAATAGAGGAAAATACAGGAAATATATTTATTATATTTTAACTCCACCTTTATTCCTCCTGCAAGGAATCCAAGGTCGCTCTCCTCCTCTTCATTTATCCACACAACAACGCTGTGAGGCAGGTAGGGCTGAGAGTCTGTGACTGGCCCAAAGTCACCCAGTTAGCTCCCGGGCTGTGTGGAAACCAAAGCATGGATCTCCTGAATTCCAGTCTGATACTCTAACTTCTACACCACAGAGGTATAGTGCAAAATACAAATGGAAAATGATATTTGAACTTCCCAATAAAATTCTGTGTTTGAGGCAGGGCAATTTCAGAACAGAAGTCTCATCTGGAAGCATCACAAAAAGTAGCCATAATTATGTACTAGATTCTGGACATAAGAGATGATTTCTTTATAGTGCTAATGACTTTCTCAGTTTTTGTAAAATTCTGGGCAATGTTACCATTTCGTATTATCAAGCTTACTACATTCAGAATTTTTAAAAAATGAAATGATCAGCAACAGATAAAGTATTAGAAGTGAAATGGTAAAGCTATACAGGCATATGAAATAACTGAACACATGAAAGAGATCAGATAGAAAAGATATTTTCTAAACACTTAAGCAGCATCTATAATATTGCATGTTCTACAACCATTGCTCGTTCAGGATCTTACCATATCATCCTACACAGTATGGTTTTCTTTATCGGTACTGTTGAAATATCTTGCATAGTAAAAGACCTTGATATAAGCTTCAGTAGACTCTGTCAAATTCTAAAAGTCTTGAATATAATATGAAAAATAATTTTAAAACCATTATGGTTATGGCATTCTGCCGCATTATTAAAACTTTCTCATAGGCTCTCTTCTTTTCCAACTTTTCTGCATTTGCTTTAATTCTGTTACACTATGAATTAGGATCATGGTTTTCACAGCTTATTTTTGAAAACAGTTGGAGGACACACACAATGCATATGCTGGCAAGATTTTACTGCCATATAGTGACTGTGTACACAGTCATTCCTGAAAGATGAGCAATACCATTTTATTAGAACAACTAAATGCAGATAAAGTTCACGCTCAGAAGAGTCACCTTACGTATGCACTAACCTCAGCATTTAGCAAGGAGAGGCATTTTAGGCATGATAATGTTGAAAGCTAAGCACTTTTAAATAAGAACAGAAAAGTCTGTCACTCTGGTTCACCTCCAACTAATCTAGCATTCTGTTCCCAAAAGCAAACAGCCAGATAGCTTTAAGTCAAAAGTAAATCCCACTGAGTTCAATGGGGCTGACTTTTGGGGAACTAGGTTAGGGTCCCAGCCTGACTTCTTATCTGAGGTCTATGCCTTAGCCTTTAAGGAGCTACAAGATTCTGTATTTGTTTTTGCTATTCATTCTGTCCATTTTAATGCAACTGGACTTTAACAGGCTAAATCCAACATGGTGCAAGCAGATTTGCTCATGCAATGGTAATTTCTCTTATCCTACTCCCCACTGCAACCCTCCTCCCACATACACAAACCCATATCTATTGAGTAGGTCCCCCATCTCTGCAGGGATGAAAGACAATTTTCTCTGCCAGTGAGGCCTATTCCACTAGTGAAAAGACACCATCAGATACAAGCAAAGCACTTAATTTTGGCTGAGTGTACTTGTGCAGCAGAAAGAAGTGGTAACAGGCTTTGGAGGCAGAAGTTTTGACTAAAGCCACCTTTCTGCAACCTGTGACAATTTGCTGATCACAGGAAGTTTTTAACATACAGAAGCAGTCAAAAATTCAACTTTCACACATTCTGTTAGGTAGTCTATAAAGAGGTAGAAGTCACACTACCACCTCAGTATCCCATCACTTATTTGGGTTGACTGGATTGTTCCCATAGTTATTACATCCAAGATTTCCCATACATGAACCATAGGTTTATGATTAGTTTTGGTTGGCATGTAATATACTAGCGAACTCAGGTGACATTCATTTTAAGGACAGCTAAAATCCAGAAAAGATCACCTCATTGTGATTCAAATGTCATCACTTAATGCCCAAAAGTGAAACAGTTGTTGAAAGATTATAAATTCTATGTCTTATCCATTCAAGCTGGTTTTAGTTATCAAGCTTAATTGTATCAATCATTCGAATAACCATTGGTTTAAAAGATGAATATGTTGGTCCTTCACTGTAACTCTCAGCTTTGTATTTTTCCAGGGTTGCTAATCTAGCTTTGCTCTCATTTATTGCACCAGCAACATATTTTTTATTTCCTCCACTTTCTGACCCAGACAAATAATTTCCTGATATTACTAGGTGCTTGCTGGACCGACGTGGTGTTTTTCTCTCTTCAGTAGGACAGGCCTCATATGAGGAGCCTGCCTCATTCTCACACACTGGTTTCTTGTTCTGCAATAGCCTGTCATCATACCTCAGTTGTGGAACCCTGCTTTTGCCAAAGTTCCCCAAGGGATCCTTCTTCTCACTAGCATTCTTTTCATACATTGCCAGTTCATCTGAAGAGAGCAGATGGTACTTCTTGGAACTATGATGTGCATGTTTTTCATCCTTCATATTAAATTTAGGCTTCATACAATCTGTTGGCACTTCAGTTTGCTGCTGCTGTTTAGGTTGGGCATGCTCCTTTGGTGCTTGGACTTGTTGCTGTTGTTTTGGTCTGGCCCCATCACCTGGTACTTGGGTTTGCTGCTGCCGCTGCCATTTAGGTTGGACACCACCCTTTGGTGGTTGGGTTTGCTGCTGCTGCTTAAGTTGGACACCCTCCTTTGGTGCTTGGGCTTGCTGCTGTTGTTTTGGTCTGGCACCATCCTTTGGTGCTTGCGTTTGCCACTGCTGCTGTTTCTGTATAGGCTGGACACCATTCTTTGGTGGTTGGGTTTGCTGCTGCTGCTGCTGCTTAGGCTGGACACCATCCTTTGGTGCTTGTGTTTGCTGCTGCTGCTGTTTCTGTATAGGCTGGACACCATCCTTTGGTGTTTGGATTTGCCGCTGCTGCTGTTTCTGTATAGGCTGGACACCATCCTTTGGTGCTTGGGCTTGCTGCTGTTCTTTCGGCCTGGCACCATCCTTTGGTGCTTGTGTTTGCTGCTGCTGCTGTATCTGTATAGGCTGGACACCATCCTTTGGTGTTTGGGTTTGCTGCTGCTGTCGTTTCAGTCTGGCACCATCCTTTGGTGCTTGGGCTTGCTGCTGTTGTTGTTTAGGTTGGAAACCATCCTTTTGTGCTTGGGCTTGCTGCTGCTGCTGTTTAGGTTGGACAGCATCCTTTGGTGCATGGGCTTGCTGCTGTTGTTTCAGTCTGGCACCATCCTTTGGTGCTTGGGTTTGCTGCTGCTTTTGTATAGGCTGGACACCATCCTTTGGTGCTTGGGCTTGCTGCTGTTGTTTTGGTCTGGCATCATCCTTTGATGCTTGGGTTTGTGGCTGCTGTTTAGGCTGGACAGCACCCTTTGGTGTTTGGGTTTGCTGCTGCTGCTTCTCTGTTGGGACATTATTTTGATGGCTCTCCAGTTTCACATCTGATAAGGGCAGCTGGCAGATTTTGGAAATCCTTGAAGCCTGTTCCTTACCCTTAACGGTATCCTCATGATTTCTAGAATCATTTAAGGATGGTTTCCATGGTGGTCCTGCTGCAGGATTTACTGGCTCAGTCTTTACTTTTAGTGAGAAAGTTATTTGATCTTTTGCATGGCTCCCCTCTTTTCCAGTATTCTTTTCACTCTTTGGAAGTTCATGTTTTAAAGGTAACTGGTTTTGTCCAGAATGACTACTATCCTCTCTCATCTTCCCTGTTTTATTTTCAGGCTTCACTCTTCCATCAGGTAATGAGATTTTGTCATTCTGAAGGTTACTATCGACATTGCCCCCCTCAGAACTACCGTAATTTGCCCCTGGTTTCTTGAGTGAGGGGGACTGGCATTTTCTAGTGTTCTTATCTGCTCCTCCTCCTTCTTGTTTGGCTAGATTCCTTGGTGGTGTCTGGTATTTCAAATCATCAACAGAATGCACCATTCTTGGATTGCCAATTTTATTTTCGGTTGTTACTCCACCATCCCTTGTAAGGTCACTTTTTACTGATTTCTGGGGCAGCTTGGAATTCTGCACCATCTTCTTATTTTTCTCCCCTGTCCTCTTGTCATCTTGCTCCTTTCTGTCAACAGGTGATGGAATGGGACATTGTGGTGCTTTTGGTGGATTTCTTTTCCCTGCATCATTTTTTCTCTGCAACATGGTTTCATTTTGGGAAGGGAAACTGGTTTCTTCAGATCTTCCTTTTGTACTTGCTTGCTTCCCAGGTTCATTTCTCAAAGGCATTTGTTGCTTCTCCATATCACATGAAGGATTTGCCTCCACTGCAGGACTTTTGCTATGCCTCCTGAGCACCTTTGTTAAGGGTAGTTGATACTTTTCCTTCTGCCAATCAGTGTTCTTGTCTTCTGCATCATTTTCACTCTTGACCACATTATTGTGGAAACTGGGTGCTGTTTTATCTTCTTGTTCAGGTATACCTTTGGGTTTTAGCAGTTCATTTGGAGAAGGCATGTGATGTTTTTCAGAATGACAATTATCTATCTCATCTCTTCTAGTACCACTTTTATTCTTCATTGATTCATTTGGGGATATCCAGAGGTTTCCAATGCCACACCAAGGACTGTTAACTTCTGCAGTATTGCTGTCAGACTTTGCTGAATGGTCTGATGAAAGTGAATTACATTTTTCAGAAGAATATTCAGGATTCTCCTCCACATTGTAGATTTCATGACTAATAAGTTCTTTTAACAGGCTTTGGGAGCTTTCCAAGTGACTCAAGCTGATCTTTTCCTTCTCACTGTTTTCAGTTTTCATCATCTCAGTAGCTGAGCATGCACTGGTTTTGTCAATATTCTCTACTGCTGTGGCATGGCTTGATTTCTCAAAATCACTAGGCAAAGGAGAATGATGCTCTTCAAAATCATAGCAAATATAATTTTCTTTTACAATTTTATTTTGCTTTTGTCCAATATTACTTGAGGCAGGAGATTGGAGCACCTGATTCCTGGTCTGTTTTGTTATGTCTGAGCTGGAGTTATCCTGGTTTTGTTGGTTGAGAGGTTTCTGAGGCAAACGCTCACTTTCTCTCTGATGATCAGAGAGCTTTCCTAGCCCTTTTGGCTCCTCTTGCTGTGCTTGACTTCTCTGGTTATTTTTGGTAGGGTTGGGAAATATTTCTGCTTTATCAGACAGATTTTCTTTGTTCTGGAGCATATCAGAAAAATGTCTCCTAAAATCTTTTACATTTTCCTGACTTGGCTTTAGCGGAGACATTTTGTTAACAGCTTCAATTTCAACCTTTGATTGCTGGTCAATGACTGGAGGCTCTATGTTACAGAGTGCCTGAGCTACAGGAGAGCAAAATGGTGGAATATTTTCCATCACTTTCTGCTCCGGGAAACATTTTTGGCTGGCAAAGGGGGAATCTTTTATAGGCTCTGTTAATTCTATTTCTGTCTCCTTTGGCTTACAGATGTCCTTTGGTATGTTCAAAATCTCATCCCATTTAATTTCCCTATGACTGTGTGCACTAACTCCTCCAGCTGGACAAGAGGAAGAAGCAATAGATTCATTTTCTTTGCTAATAATTTCTCCAGCATTTTTATCCTCAGAGCTGGAAGTTTTGTTGTCCACAGGTGACATGATATCTTCTTTGTGGTCTAAGTTACCTTTAGAAAAGGTAGGTGTATGGTCCACAGAGGATACACTTTCACATGAAGGTGGAACACTTTTCTGATTAGGACCTGAACTTAAATTCATCTCAGTAATGTCCTTTTTGTCAGTCACTGCCTTAGGCATATTATGATGCTTGTTTTGCAGCTGTCCTGTCTGTTGTTGTTCATGTGCCAAGATCTCTGGTATACCTTTCTTATCAGGCCCAATGTCATGTGTGTTCTGGATGTCTTTTATTCTCCCCAATTTAGGGTTACAAACACAGGGTTGAGTGGCACGCTTGGTGTTTGTTGCCCAACTCCAGGGATGATTCATTTCAGTAGCAACACAGAATTTAGGGAGAGGAACAGTGGTACATGCCATCTGTTGTGGCTGAAGGCAATGCATACTTGTGGCAGTCCTCAGATCTGTTTCTAGCTCTCTGAGCTCTGCTTTGCAAATGGATTTTTTGTCCAGGGCCTTTTTTCTTTTTTTCTCACCTTTACATGGCAACAGATCTTTGACATCAATGGCAGAACAAACATTACTAGTTTGCTCAAATTTCTCTTTCAGTTTAGAAAAGACAGAGTTTCTGTTGATTATTTTTGGCAAGTTATTGTTTGGTGCTTTCTTTTTTAGAGTCAGCTGTATCTCTTTAGTTTCTTTTTCCTCAGCAGCTAAAAACTTCTTTAGAACATTCTTCACAGTGTTTTTCCCACATAAGCCGACCCATTTGGCTTTTTCTTGGAGTGTTATTTTTGGGTCTTCTTCTTCAACTGAACAGCTTCTGTCAAACTTGCTTACAATGGAGTTTAGGCCATTTCTGTTGGCTGGCTGCTTTTCTTTAATAATTAATCTGCCAACCTCTCTTGGCTTCTTTCTGTATGGTTCACGGTTGTTGTTCATGAACCGTGACTGCAGGAGTTGGAATTTTGTGGGTCGAATGCCACTGATTGGGCTTTGGTGTTCAAGCCTTAAGTTCACCTTATTTCCTATTGTTTCTAGCCACTTGGCCTTCTTGCACTGAATCTGTGGGTGCCTGGATATGAGGTCTGTGAGGTAAAGTAGAAGGCTGCTCAGGACAGCAAATGCACCTTCTTCTGTCGACATCTTACTGAGCTTCTTCTTCAGTGCCAAGGGATCAATCAGCACCTTATCGCTGCCCGACTTTGTACCTTTGCTTCTGCTGCATAAAAGAAAAGGAATGCTTTTTGGGGGAAGGACCATAAACATTTGTTTTAATTCCTTAATGTTTTAATTATGTCTTGCACAGTTACACTCTTCTCAGTGCCAGGCACATTGGAATAAAACGTTATCTAATGTGAAAGATGATATATGATATATCATCTTCTCCTGGCCATCATCAACAGATGAGGGGCTCCTATCCAGAGTAAGGATGCATAGTAAAAGCACAGGTGTGTTTCAATTTATTTGAAAAACAGGACACATCTGTGCAGACATGTCCCAAATCATGGTACAGTACTACTGCATACAGCTGACTGTGAAAAGTGCACCAGAAAACAATCAAGAAACATTACCATTTCCTGACAAGTTTCTACTTATTTCTCCTGTTCATTTATAAAAGTGGAGATACCAGGAAAACAATATGGACTTCTGTTGAACAGTTAGATTGGAAAACAACTATTTTCTCTTGCAATACATTCCCATGAAATATCACAAACTGATTTTGAAATTTCCTCAGCCTTGAAAGCAGTTTGTTGTGTGGCACAGGAGGTGACAGTCTGAGACTCACAATTCTAAAACACACTTGTTTGGTTGAAACTGTTTAGACCCTGACAAGTTATGTATGACAGGGAATTGGCAAGATTTGAAAGTCTGCAACATCATCAAATTATACTTCCAATATAATAAAACACATACACTGCTAAGTGAAAACTCTAATCAATTTCCCGCCAAGTAGGTAAATTCTCTTAAAATTTATTTTCTGAAAGGATCATCCCAATAAGAATGCAAGAGCCAGCAATAAAAGCATCGTATGTAATGACATTCATGGCAATATCAATTGGCCTGTGTATCCTTTTCATTATTAACAGTGTTGGACATTTGGCATGGTGCTAAGTAAACTTCTGTTTGAAACTTATGTTTACAAGCAGCTGAGGATTTAGGAAATGTTTTAACTGGTGAGGATCAGGTGCTAAATAAAATAGTGAACTCAGTGTGAAAGCTACAGAGTGAAGTCAACAGCACTAGACAACGGCCTAGAGGGAAAGAGAACTGTTCACTCTAGTGGTTTCAGCTTTCTAGCACCATAAAAATCTTGGAAGGTTAATTCACCTAGTAACAACATCATATGTAAATAGAATTCAGTTTCCATAGCAGAATGCTATTAAGTTTTTATACCTCTTCATACATGAGCAAAAGCCAGACAATCTTGGGATGAAATTCTGACGACTATAAGGTCAAATTGGACTTTAGACCCCAAAAGGTCAAGATTTCATCTCTGTTACAGAATAGGGTGTCAGGACCAAATAAAGTAAGCATTTTCCCAATTTCAAAAAGCAACATAAGCAAAGTTCAGATAGATTCTGCCATCTAGATAATTGTAAGTCACTCAGCTATTGAGTTCTTGCTCATTAAATATGTCATTCAATGTTTTTTGTTTTTAATAACAAAAGTGGCCATGCCCTATAAACAGGGATGCCAAGTTTGTGGCAGGAAGTAGAAAAAATGAGGTAGAAAAGTTTCCCAGTGTGGATCAATGACCTGCTTCTAGGATATGCATTTATTTAAGCAACAGTGCATCCATTGTGCTGACCTTATATGCCTCATAATAACCAGAAATATAGGAGGCCCTGAAGAACAGTAACACATACAGTAGCTTTCTGTCCCTTTCTAAATAGATCTCCTGCCAGTAAATAAAGATGGCAGAATCTAGTCCTCAGAGTGTTGTTACTTATAGATAAATGCTGCACACAAGAACATTAGAAGAAAGCAGTCATTCGCAATGTTACAGGCTCTGTTTATAATGAACAGATGATTACATATTACAAAAAACCATTATGGGAGCAGGAGTAGAATTTGACAGTTGAACACCATTGACTATAATAGACAATATGCAACCAGGGTGTAATGTTGAGTAACCAGATCTTATTGTAGGCCATAGTTTCTTCCCCCCTACCATTGATGAACATGCGGTAACTCTTTTATAAAAAGCACTCTTCTGTTGGATCTGTGCCATAACTCACACATGAAAGAATGGATGAGGTCATTGCTTCAAGGATTTTATTCATTGGAACTGGTGTTAATCTCAAACCATGGCCACCATTGGGTTCTCTTTTCATTACAGACACATGAATTGAAGGACAAAGATTACATATTCCAGATGGTTTTAAAAGCTGCCCTTTAAGATTATAGGTACCTTCTAATGGGAAGGCTACATCAACAAGTTTCAGTTGGAACCAGAATTGTGATGCATTTATAAACTGATATGCACACTCCTCTGCTTCTCTGGCCAATTGCAACATTAGTTCCCCCACACAAAGGTCACAGTCAGGAAACCCTGTAACCAGTGCTGTGAGTCCAGTGCCCATTTTGTTTCTTACCCAACGATGCCAAATTGGGGACCAGAACCCATAACACACATTTCTGTATTACTTCATTGATGTGGAACTCTTTTCTATGATGCTATAGTAATACACAGGAAGACAGGGAAGAGTTGAGAATGCTATTATTTACCATGCCACTATTTCTGGTATTGTTGCTGAAACATAAATTGCTATTGTTCCTTTTTTAAGAAGTTACACCTGATAAGCCATTTCCTCATTTCCCTAGCTGTGCTGGGTTTGCAGATTTTCTGATGTAAGTTTGGTGACCTCCATACATTATGCAGGACCAGAGGCAAGGCAATGGGAGTTTTTAGAGGTGGTAGAATGGACTGTCCCTCTTTGGAATACAGGTTTTAAAACTGCAAGCAGAAATCAATGATGAAGAGGCATTGAATGTGCTACCATGTTTGTCCTTGATCTGTTTTGTTTTGTTTTTATTCTGGGAAGGAGGGAGTGTTAACATTTCCTTCTATATCTGCATTCTACAGGGGCATAGTCTGCTGTAAGGTAGCCAAATGTCCTACTTTACAGAGCAAAGTCCTCTGTTTGAAGGTTCTCTGCTTTAAGGGCTGTCCAATTCAAGTCTGGTTAAGAGATAAGCAAGGAGAACACAGAAGGGCTTTGAAGCTGCCTCTCAGCAGTTGGCATCTGGACAGTAGGCTAAACAGGTTAACTTGCCATTGTCACTACACTGAACTATATCATACTTCTATGTAGATTATACTTTCCAAATAACTCAATGCATATAAACAAACATATGCAATCTTTGTGAAAGACTTGTGTCCTATCTTCTGTTTTCATGATGCATGTTCGCTTTTATGGCAATTGGCAAGCAGCTTTCTGACTCTACCAACAAACAACTTATTAAGCAAAATCATAGGTGGCCACCCTACTCTACCAGCTCAGGATTCTATTATCTCATCCCATGTAGTATGTAGACCAGGCTGGCTTGTACAATGCCCAAAGCCTTCTGGCACACCTCCCCTTTTCACTGCCACAACACTTTCTGAGCCTAGCAAGGACAGAAAGGAAGGCATTTGGTAGGAAGACAATGGGGAAAGCTGGAATGCATGGAACAAATACATTCCACGGGATTGTATCTAACAACATCATGCTGGTGTAAACCATGATTTGTGCTAGTGCTGTGCCACCACTGGATACTACCCAGTGCAATTAATGTAGAATTTGGATATTTTAGAATACCAAACACTGAGTTAGAGCAAGGTGAAATTAGTCACATTTTACATCACATGGAAATCAATGGGACAATTTAATAATGATTAATGTTTCATATCAATTTCCATGAGACCAGCTGCCACCCTAAGCATATCTACTTGGAACTAAGTCACGTTGAATTCAACATGACTTATTCCAAGATAAATTTGTATAGGAATATAGGAAGCTGCCCTGAACTGAGTCATACATTTGGTCCATCAAGCCCAGTATTGTCCAACTTGACTGGTTGTAGCTTTTCAGGGTTTCAGGAAGGATGCTTTCCCATTTCTATCTGGAAATGCCAGGGTGTAGAACCTGGGACCTTTCATACTCTACCCTGACCTGCAACCTCTGACCTATAACCACTTATCTACCTTGAAATGTCTTTTTCTGCTACTGCCTTGTTTCTATACTTTTTCTGTACCAGAACATGCTTTTCAGATTTAATTTCTTGGCTAAAAGTAAAACACTACAACCTTACCCAACAATGAGCTATTGACAGGTGCAAGCAAAAAGTCCTACAATGACACAGTAACATGCAAATAGCACAATGTGAAAATAAAGAATGATGCTTATGAAGAGGCATAAGATTAATTTATTTACAATTATTTTAGCCACCTAAATCATTAAGAAGTGTGTATAGGATAAAAAAGATACACCGCAAAATATATAGGAAAGCTAAATTAGAAATGTTTCTTTTACTACAACTATTTGCTACATTTATTTGCATATTTTTTTGTATTTGTATGTGTTCTGGCATGTAATCAAAAGCGCCCTAGAGTTGGCATTCCATCTTTAGAATAACTATGTTCTGCACTTCTGACAAAGGATATACATTAAGGCTGCAGTCCTATTCATGTTTAGAAAGAAGAATGTCCTCCAGCTCCCAATATGCCCTGCCAAGCCCCAGCTGAGGCAAACTGGAACTTTGAGCATTTTTTTCTATCTAATCATGCACAGAATTGTGCCTTAGATGGATCTTGAGTTAAATGAAGTCACAGGAAAGTTAGGATTAAAGAGTTCAGGGGAAAAGAGTGCACACAAATTAGAATCTAAGGAACACTCTCTTAGAAGGGTGATAATATTAGTTTATCTTCAAAAAGGATTAGGGTTTAGCATTAGTATTGCATGTAAACTTTACATAGGTGCACATGAGAATACTGGTGATAGGGACTGTCATTATAACAGGTGAAGGAAAATTACCAAATTTAAAATAAATGCCAATCGTCTACATTTAAAGAAACATGATTCATAAATCAATCAATTCCAAAATATTGAATGTCAACATTGTTCTAATTCCCAATCCTTTATTTCTTTATTGATTTATCATTTGGATGCACACCCTATCCTTCAAATACATTATTAGGGAGGGTTGCTATTAGGGAGGGTTGCTCCCCAATTATTTGGGAAGGTTACAATTAGTAAATAGCTAATTGTACTATTGCACATGTGCAGATCATTTTAAAATCCTGCTTGCAATAGTGTTGGTACAGCAAGGACATTATATGAATGCAAACCCAGATTTGCAGTCCTACATATATTTGGACGGGAGTTGTAGACAGTTCTACCTCTGATGAGGTTACCTCTATGATACACAAGTTTCCAAATATGTGTCTAATTCACAGATTAGTTTTTTAACTGTACACTTTTAAACATCATAACTGTACAGTTAAAATGTAATCGGTGAAGTGACTGTGAGTCATCACACTCAGAACCATGGAGTAGCTCAATTCATACAAATGGAATTATTGTGGAGCAAATGAGTAAAAAATTGTCACCTAATACTATGATTGTAAACACAATGGAGCTTCTGGGCACACAATTATTTTTGTTTCAAATGTAGTCTCAGGAATTAACTACATGATGTAATCCAGGAAAGAAAGGAAAAGAAAGGAAAGGAAAGGAAAGGAAAAGACAAGAACTTCTTTACTTTTCCTCTGATGATAGTCGATAAAGAGTCTCTCCCAAATATTCTAGCCTCTCTCTCTGTTCAAGATCCTGGTACAAGCCTTTAGGAACCTTGCTGAGGCCATAAAGCAATCCATACAAACATCCAGCAATAGTTCCAGTGGCTGCACTCTCACCTGTAACAACAAGCACAAATGAACAACCAGTTTCATTAGAGCTCCTTTTAGCTATCCAGTAAAACAATCTATTCTCTGCTAGCAAAAGACAGAACTTGATGGTTGCAGGCAATTCCACTCATGTGTTTAAGTGGAATCTCTACCCTTTGGCCCAACATCAACTATGGATGCATTGTAGCCTTGTATCTTAGAAACATGAGAGCTTTCTGGGACCCACTATTCTGAGCCTCTCTGGGTCATTCTATAAACCATCTAATCAATTTCTAAGGTTTTACAAACTAAAACAAGCTTACCATTAATGTAGAACTCCCTCAAACAGCTGCTATGGAAACAAGGTGACCTGCATAACTACTGCAACCTGTTCCTCATAAAACTAGTCTTTAATATTTGTTTCCCAGTCTAATACAAAGATATGAACAATAGTTTTGATGTTCCACACTAGCAAAACTGGATGAGCAGAAAAGGTTTTCAACTTTCCCCAAAATAATACAAAATGAAAACTTTTAATTGTGAGTTTCTAGCACTTAATTGGGTAGCACAAGATACCATAAGTGAGTCTTTCAAGAAATGTTCCTTATGGTCCTAAAGGAGATGGTATCATTAGCTCAGGAACAGCAGTGAAATAGGAATGGTTTTAAACATGTGTTTTCTCTTGATAGTACTATGATTACCATGGAGAGCTTAACCTATACAGCCTGCCTACTCAGCTAGCAGAAACACTGGTTTCCAAACCAGGATAGCTCAGCAACACTGATCTGTTCCCAGTCCAGCAACAAATGTTTCTGCACATTTCTAAGACTGCTTTTAAAACCTTTAACCCCACTTTGCACTAGCAGGAGAACCCATTGGTGCAATGGAATGAGTGGCAGCACTGTGGCCCAATAGTCTTTAATATGGCTTGAAACTCATGTAAGAGGGATCAGCAGTTGGGGCCCAGGGCCAAGTCCAGCCCCCTCAGGGACTACTGAGCTCTCAGTTGCCTCCCAGAGATGGGAGAAATGTGTGGATAGACTGACGGATGTGGCAAAGGAACTTGCATCACTTTGCTCCCTTTCATCTCCTTCTTCAAGTGTCCTTTCTGTAAAACTAGGTGCAGATCACAGGCACAAGCTGTGCATGTTCTTGCAGATCATTTTTCTTTGCAGCTCCTGTGGCATTTCTTTCCAGTGATAGCAGGGTTGGCAGTTACATGATTGAGAGGCTCCATGTTCCTTAACAGCAACACACAGAAAGGAATCAACAATAGGCAATGTTTTTCCCAATAGACCCTTATTGGGAGTATTACACAATCAATGACTGGGAAACATAGAAACAGAGCGAGTCAGAAGGGATCTCCTGGGCCATCTAGTCCGACCCCCAGCTCCAGCCAGCTCTGCTCATGACATGCCTGCCTGAGGTGCGTAAGATACAAAAGGTTTTGAGAGATGCAATAATTGGAAAGAGGTAGATTTATGAGCCATCTAACTGATTTTCCCTCATAAAAAATTAAGATGTTTTATGTGCTATAGAAACACTGCTGTTAATGACTCCAAGGAATGCAAATCCTGTATAATTTGGAAGATATATTAGATTACTTACCACCATGAAACATTGCACGGTTGCAAAGCTCTGTCCAATCGCTGCCACATCCTAAGAGAGCATCATATGCAATCATTGGGGCATCATGGCCTCTCCTTCCTCCACGGCCTTCAGAACTCCATCTCCTGTAAGTCTGAATGGATAATTAACCAGCTTGGTTGGGTGAATGTGATGGCAAACCAACAACCCCCCCCCCACACACACACTTTACATTTTGTCTTCGCTGAACATGTTGCAAACTGCAGTTTGTGCTTACATATCAAGGGACAACTTTCTGTGTTTAAACAAAAAAAGTTTCGCACTACATCGGCTCATTGCTCTTTTCTTGTATACATAGTCAACCCATGTCCTAGTTCCTCCTGCCTTGTACATATTATTCAAATTGTAAAAATGGAATGAGATAGACGCCATTTTTCTTGGCTTTGGGGAGACAGTGCTAAGCAGGATTTGATACCTTTCTTGAATTGCTTATTAAATAAGGGTTCCATTTGCTTCCATCAACTTCTCTGAGATTTCAAGAGATTTCCTGACATTGCCATTATGCCTCAACATGCCTAAATAGATCCAAGACTGCAACCTTTGATTACAAGTTGCTCCCTTAGAACTCACAGGGTCACTCCTCAGACACACCTGGGAGGGAACTGCATGCTACCATATATGCCATAAAGCCTTCCCAACACAAGAGGCAGAAAACACTCTTAGCAGCATCCAGTGGTGTAATTCTGTCAATAGAAGGTGGCCACTGCCAGAACAGATTTCCCCTTCCTTCATGCCCACAGTGCCTGATGTGTCTGCCAGATCTGCACCAGATAGTTGGGTCTGCAGAGGGGAGCAGCTTTGGGTCTGCAGCGAGGAGAAGAGGACAGGAAGTCTTGTTGCATAAATGGACTTCCACTTGATTAAGGCTGGATCTAAATTATAGGTGTGAGGAGGGGGAGATCAGTGTAATGTAAGTATTTTCCAGGTAAACAAATGAACTTTCCAGTGCAGTTACATCTGGCACCCTCAGTCATTTCTATTTGGAATGGGGGTTAATTAGCAGTTATAGGGCTCCAAGATCAATGCAGATGGGGACTGCAGCCAATAAATTAAACGCCTGCTCCTGGGGAGGAAAGCTATGGTAAATCTAGACGGCATACTAAAAAGCAGAGACATCATCCTGCCAACAAAAGTGCGTATAGTCAAGGCTATGGTTTTCCCAGTTGCAATGTATGGCTGTGAAAGTTGGACCATAAGGAAGGCTGAGCGCTGAAGAATTGAGGCCTTTGAATTGTGGTGCTGGAGGAGACTCCTGCGAGTCCCTTGGTCCACAAGGCAATCAAACTGGTTAGTCCTAGAGGAGATAAACTCTGACTGCTCTTTAGAAGGCCAGATCCTGAAGATGAAACTCGAATACTTTGGCCACCTAATGAGAAGGAAGGACTCCCTGGAGAAAAGCCTAATGCTGGGCACAATAGATGGCAAAAGAAGAAGGGGACGGCAGAGGATGAGGTGGCTAGATGGAGTCACTGAAGCAGTTGGTGTGAGCTTAAGTGGACTCTGGGGGATGGTGGAGGACAGGAAGGCCTGAAGGAGTGTTGTCCATGGGGTCGCGATGGGTTGGACATGACTTCACAACTAACAACAACAAATAGTTCTTTAATATTGGAACTTCATGAAGCATTGGCATTTAAGTAGGGATAGGTGTGTGTTTTGCAAAATGGCTATTTGCCTACTGTTCAGGTAGATTTTTATTTACTTGGGTGTGATGAGTTCTGCTTGGGTCTGTGCAACAGAATGCTTGGGCATATTACAACTTACTGTGAGTTCCAAGAGCATGAGAGAAATTTGCCAGGCAGATCACCCTGATCTTTTGGGAAGCCTTCAGCCTGGTGTACATTCATGCATACAGAAATTAGCACTGCAATGAAGACTTGCAATCTGGGTGAGGCAGGGGACAAGTGGTTTTCAAATGCCACAAATACAACATGGAGTTGCTGCCACACAGAAGACTGAATGTCATAGCATTTGAGTCAGCACCAGCTATGGAGACAGCATGGCATGCGGGCCAGAGAAATGAGGAGCTCCCATAACATCGGCTGAAGTTCCATAAGTGGAACTGCTACCAAAGAGGCACATTAGCTCTTGGGTCCCCAAGCCACCATGGTGCTAGAGCAGCATGCAAAGTGCAGCTGTAATCACCTTCATTCAACCTCTACCAATGCAATTCCACATGACCTGTAAAGCCTCTACCTGGAGGTTTTTAGTCTAAGCATCATGTCTTGTAAGGAAAAGATTCTGACAGGGTGAATGCTTGTTCTTCATTTGTGTCCACATTCTGCCTCCATAAGGTAACTGCTTGTCTGCCTTGAATTTACTTTGGATTGCAGTATTTCCCTCAAAGGCTAAGGTTTAGATCATTTGCACATTAGCTGCCATGTCTGAAACCGCACAGTTCACTGCTTTAAATGATGCCCACTGCTCTGCAGCCAACTAGACATATGAGAGTTGTAGAGCCTAGCCCAGGGGCCAGGTGCTCCTCCTGGGAGATACAAATCTGGCCCTCTGGTGAATCCGCAGAGTCCCTTCTTCTGTCCCCCGCCACTTTTCTCAAACTGCCAGTCGGTTGTTTCTTGGGTTTTGTGCAGCCCCCACTCCCATTTTAAAAGGCTTAAATTTAAACTCTTAAATTTAGTTACTCATAATGAGCATTTTAAGCTGAAATATGCTGATCTTTTGAGTATTTTAGCTTGACCATTTTAATCTCTACCCATACCCTATATTGGAATGTGTCTCCCTGAGGAAATGGAAATACAGGCCTTGGAATGAAATCAGTTCAACATCTGGTTCTAAACCCACACCTAGTTTAAGACTTGATTCAGAGGCCTTGACTATTCAACCCACTCTAACCACTAGCCATTCATGTTAGTTGTCAGGAGTTATTATTCTCAAGTGGTAGATTTAAACCTGGCATTAAATCATTGGAAAAAAAATGAGACACACAATATACTATCTGAGAAGACTGCATAGTTGTACAATGGGATCCATTTTCAAACAAATAAGTGTCAATACATACCAGTACAGGATTCATTTCAAGTGAAAAGCTGTATATAAATATTGCAAACGAATAAACAGATAAAATATTTTCCCTTATACATTCAATAGTTTTATTGGAAGAAATTACCTTTTCTCTTTCCTCAGCATCATAATTGTCAGGAAAAACGGGTTTATTCTGGTTGTCTTCATTGATTTCTCTCTCCTCCAAGTAAAACTGCCATTTTGCTTCAAAGTAAAACCAATGCTCCTGATATTCTGCATGCAAAACAAACTAATGATGATGCATTTAATACTGAAAAGATTCTTACAATTCTTTAATCCAGGGGTCTCAGACTCGCGGCCTGCGGGCCAATTGCTGGGACGGGCAGGGCACGGGGGAGGGGCCCTGCGGCCTTCAAAGTGCCGGCGGCGCCCGGGCCGGCCGCGGGATGAGCGACCCACCACCACCGCGGGGGTGGAATACTTGATGCGGCCCAGCCTCACCCAGACTCTACTTCCAGCGGCCCCCAGGTAAGTTGAGTTTGAGACCCCTGCTTTAATCAAATGTGAGTGGAAAAATTCAATGTAGAAAGGTATCAGTGAGAAAAAATCTTATAAAACTTATCTAGCTAATGGTAATTTCTTAGAATCTCAACAATATTAATTAGCTTATCTGCATAATGGAGAGAGAAGGAGCAGATATAAATATTCTTCTGTAAGTACAAAATAATTAGGGTCAATTTTACACAAAATATAAGAAACCAATATACAGAGCGTAATACCTTCTCTTCCCCAAAAAAATGTCCTGACTGCATAAGCATACATTAAAAAACTATTTCCATCCCCTATGAAGATCCCACGTGCAGTGTTACTACACCTAAGATACAGAATGGTTTATTATGATTTCCTGCAGGAGAATTAAAGAAATCATCTGGACTGCTATAAGGCAGGGGTGCAAAACACCATGCCTGAGCACCAAATCAGGGTCTCCTGGGATCCCAATTCAGCCTTCTGGAGTTCTGCAGAGGGCCATGCTCTCTTCCCCTGGCCTCACCCCCCAGCCACTAATTTCTTGGTGCACCAATAGTTTTTCCCATTCTAAAAGGTCAAACTGCTTCTTCTAGGTAATTTATACTGGCAAGAGCATTAGCCTTCAATGCACTGGCATTTTTGGCTCTGCTCCTTTTGCCTTCAGTTTACCCCACAGCTGTAACCAAGCCCCCAAGATCCTCTAAAACATGAAGGACAGTTAAAAATCAGAAACCAAATTATACCTCCCAAGAACTCAAATCACTGACAGAAACGTACAGATGCAGGCTACTGCATCTGAATCTGATGCACACACCTGCTTGATATCTTTTGCTTTAAATGAATAACGTGTTTTATCATGCACGTGATAAAATGAGCCAAAGGAGGAAGCTGGTTTATGTTTGGTTTTGTGTTATTCATTATGATAGACTTGTCAAAATCATAAACACAAACATTCCTACAATCCAGAACACCCATTTTTACATATAGATAGCATACTGTCACCATATAGTGTCTAGAAACACACTAATATTCTGGGAATCTCAAAATTTTATGTGCAATTAGCAAATTTTCAAAATAAGATTAATAGAATGGAGCTAGCTCAATTTGTATGTCAGCAGTTAGTATGTTCAATGTTAAGTGCATGTATATCACATAACAACAAGTTGTATTCCGTCAGTACACACCTATACATACCTATTCAAAAGTAATTTCCACTTAGTGCAATGGACCTTACTCTCAGATAAGTGTATATAGGATTGCACTTTGTCTTTGTGAGGAAATTGGTATTATTTATATATTATAGAAATATACAGCCCACCTTTTCTACCAGTCCCTTACTCTATCAAAAGGTCATACAGAAGTGATGAAACTAGTAAAATGTTAAAAATAATAAATCCAAATCTGAAATGAAGCAAGATATTAACAGCAGTAATGAGTCAATGACTAAAAGTCTATTTCAAAGCAGCAAATCAAATCAAAAGCCATTGTAGTGCAATCATTAGGGAGCTGACTGAGATTCAGGAGACCTGGGTTCTAGTCCCCATTCGTGAATTCAAATACTGAGGAGCAAAATTTTATAAGCCACCTTGGGTTCCTTGCAAGAAGAAGAAAGGTGGGGTATAAATGTAATAATAACAGCAACAACAATAATAATTGTAACAGTTGTCATTATTAGATCCTATTCACTGGCGACATGAAACATGTTACAGTAGGGGTGGGCAATTTGTATTTTGGCCTACAACTCCCATCAGCCTTAGCCAGGATAGCCACAGGTGGGAGCTGTATATCAGAACATCTGGAGCAACACAAATTGCCCATCCTTGTATTACAGTAGTCTAGTCAGGATGCTAGGCATGTGGATAAGTGCGGTGGGTAAAAGGTATAACAAGTTACCAATACTACAGTACTTGAACATCCTTCAACAGCACTGAATCAGGCAGCACCTCCAAGTGCAAAGATGGACCGTAAGGGTAAGCGGTATGCATAAAAACAGAAACCATGCACTGCTTACGCTGGGGAAGCTTCACATACCCCAAGAAGTAATGCTTTCTTGTATAGAAAAAATAATATTCACACTGTCACTTTTGGAGTGCATCATGTTTTCTTTTGCCATAGATAAACACAATCACTTCCTGTACTCGTAGCATAGATTAAGGAGTGACCTTGTACCCAGATTGTGTCTGATTAGGAAGGGGGAAAGGTAATTTATGAAGGAGCCTGAAGCAGCAACAGCAGCCTGAAACTATTTTCTCAACAGGAGTAGTACTATTTGCCAAGTGTTCTGCAGATTCCAAAACAAAAACCCACATTTGTTTCCATCTGCAGATAATATTTCAATCTTTGCTTACTGAAAAGCCAAGGCAAAATCAAAAGGGATGATATAAGGCAGCCTGAGTAGTCTTAAGTTTGTTGGCACCCTAAATAAAATTTTGCCTTCCCTGTCAGACTAGAGCTTGACAATTCTTGGCCAGCTAATCACTCTTCATCCACTTACCTGGCCCTTGGTTCAGTCAGAATTTTTCCTCACAGCCACAGTACCCAGAATTCACAACTTGGAATACCCCAGTGGTCTTAAGGATAGCCGGGTGAGGATAAGCATTTCTGAACAACAAATTATTATCCTTATGCTTTAAAGAACAAACACACTGAACAAATATTGGGGCTGGGGCCCACTTTTCTCCCAAGACATTTTCTGAACTGTTCAACATGACAGATCTCTAGAACATTAAAATTCTCTGAGAGTTTCTTCACCTTGAAATTTCTCCTCTCTGGAAAACAACCTTCATACTCCAGTAGTATGTATGTATGTATGTATGTATGTATGTATGTATGTATGTATTTATTTATTTAAACCATTTCTATGCCGCCCCATTCGCAAAAAGCCTCAGGGCGGCTTACAACATTAATAAATAAACATAAATAAACAGTTATATAATTAGACTTAAAAAACCAGAAACATCTCGGCACGTACATAAAAACCCAATAAATACAGTTCATAAATTAACAATTAAAATAACTTTTAAATAAAAAGGTCTTGGCCTGGCACCGTAAAACAAATAACAATGGAGCCAGGCGGACCTCTCTGGGGAGCGCATTCCATAGGTGGGGCGCCACCGCAGACAAGGCCCTCCTCTGGGTACTCACCCTCCTAATATCTTTCATGGAGGGTTCCCGGAGAAGGGCCTCTGCTGCCGATCTCAAGGGGTGGGAGGACATATATGGACGCAAGCGTTCCTTTAGATACCCAGGGCCCAAGCCATTGAGGGCTTTATAGGTGATAACCAACACCTTGAATTGGGCCCGGACTTCAATGGGGAGCCAGTGAAGCTGACGGAGAACTGGGGTTATATGAGAACAACGCCCAGTCCCCGTCAGCAACCTGGCAGCTCTGTTTTGCACCAATTGAAGTATCCAGACTGTCTTCAAGGGTAGCCGCATGCAGAATGGGTTACAGAAGTCTAATCGGGAAGTTATCAGTGCATGTGTCACTGTCCCCAGACAATCGTTCTCCAGGTCTCCAGGTAGGGACGCAGCTGATGGATCAGCCAAAGCTGAAGGAAAGCGGTCCTTGCCACCGCGGTCACCTGAACTTCTAATGACAGCTCAGGGTCGAGGAGCACTCCCAAGCTGCGAACCTTGTCCCTAAGAGGGAGTGCAACCCCATTCAGGACAAGGTCCAGGTCCCCCACTCCGAAGCCCAAACCACCCACCAACAGGACCTCCGTCTTGTCTGGACTGAGCTTCAGTTTATTGGCCCTCATCCAGCCCATTACCTTGGCCAGGCACCGGTTCAGCACAGCCACTGCCTCACCTGGATTGGTTGAAAACGAGAGGCAGAGCTGGGTATCATCAGCATACTGATGATTCATTTGCTTGTTCATCCACATGATTGCCCAAATGAGTTTTTATTTTTAAACAATGGAGATAGGTATATTTCTAGAACAGTGTGCATCCCACTGTGTTCATAAGAATACCTAGATTGCATCCCAGAAGAAAATGTCATTGTTAGAAATGACTGGAGGGGAAATTATCAAGATTACTGGTGCAGAAAACATAAAAGTTTGCCTTGTGGTTGTGGCCTGTTGTGCCATTTTACCTGCCATGTGTCTGATAGTCTTCTTGCAATATTCTTCAGCCATCGGGACAACCTTCATCATTTCTCGGCCCCACTGCACCAGCGGCTTCCCTTGTATTGCATAAGAAGTAAACAGAGCTGTGCACAGCGATCCCAAAAATCCTGAAATTAGCATATACAGAGACTGAATTAAACTATGGTGAAAAAAGGGGGTGCACTCCACCCAACAACACAAAAACCCCTAAGAACAGAGCCAAGCTAGACAGATGGAAGGCCCACCTCACCCAGGAGTCTGTCTCCACAGTGCCCGGCCTACTTCCCACAGGCTCCTATGGGCAGGCAGTGAATGCTGTCTTGCTTTTGTTCCCCAGCCACTGGTGTACTAAGGCAGATGACACTGATACATAAAAATAAAATGAAGCCTTGATTCCTAGTGGCCATGGATAGCCTTCTTCTCCATAGATGTATCGAATCCTCTTTTAAACCATCCATGTTGGCTTCAATCACTATACCTTATGGTGGCTAATTCCATAATTTAATGATGTACTAACTGTGGGAAGATGGACATCATTTTATCTGTTCTGCATCTCTCATTATTCATCTTCATGGATTCTAGTATTATAAGAGAATGTGGGAAACTTCTCCTTGATCACTTTCAGGATACCAAGCATAAGTTTTCACTCATCTATGAGATCTAGGCTACAGGTGTAGAAGAAAATAAGTGTTCTTTGCTCAGAAAAATCCAGTATGCAGACACTCCAAGCCATGTTTTTGTAGCAATAATACAAGCATCAACCTAAAACCAGAACATGCTTTATCTACTTAATTTTCATGAGTTAGACTGTTGATAAAAATTGTCTGCCTGGACACTGTGATCAAGATCTGGGGCATCCCTCCAACTGCCAACTCCAATGGAGGCTTTGTTAGCAGCAATAAGGAGAAGGGCCTTCTCAGCGGCAACCCCCACCCTTTATGGAGCGAGTTCTTCACTAAAGTTCAGGCAGGCACCAACTCTAATAGCTTTTTGGTACCAGATTGAGACTGCCCTCTATGACAGGACACTTAATTCATACCACATTAGGATGTTATGTCAACTGCTTAACAGGTCTTGTGATTTAATTTGTATAAACTATTGTAGCTATTTAAAATATTTTAAATTTTGCATTCTTGTTATTGCTATTTTGTATTTTACATTGTATTTTATCTGCTGTTACAAACTGTCCGGAGAACTTCAGCTATTGCGTGATATAGAAATATAATTGATAATAGCTCACAGTTCAATGTCAAGTCACACTCAACACATACTTGAATACTGAGTGTGACTTTTCATGTTGTCTGAACCTGGGCAGTGAGCTGTAACCAAAGTATCTCTCCCTCCAGTTTTCTACTTCTACTGGAGGAAAGGAACCTTTGGATCTAAGCCAGTGAAAGTGACATGTAGATAATTCTGTGCATGTACAGTATTCTCAGAAGAAAGTTTCACTGTGTTCACTGCAATTTAGCCCCTAGTAAATGTGGTTAGGGTTACAGCCTAAACTGACCAAAACATAGATGTTTTTTGTTCACATATTTTGTAATTTTTATCACCCAGTTTAAAAGCCAGAAAAGAAATGGAACTTTCTGTGGAAAAGAAATGGAATGGAATTGGGGTACATTGGCATAATCACAATCATAATAATCTGATATTCTTTAGTAAATATGTATGCCCTACAGCTTGTATCTCTACTTAAGAGGCAGCTATTTGTTATATTTTGATTTCTCTTATGTTACCATTGCAGGGTGATGGGAGAATGGGAGCAGGCTGCTTTTATGAACCCTAAAATAATTTAAGCAGAACATCATAAAGAATTAATGCCCCATTGCATTTCATTCAATTACACTCATCAGAATAGCGACTTAGACAGGAGTTTGATTAAAATTCTAACTCCAGCCTTTTATTCTTGAGCTGATTCAGCAACACTTTTGCATGGTATCACTGTAGCTTGGCTTGTGCTTTGATCATGCAGCCTCACCTAATGCCACTGTGCCAAAGACCTCACTGTGTCTACCTGGCCACTTCCAGTTGCCACAGCTAATTTTGCATTTCTGATTGTGGCCACATTACATCGGGCCATGCTTAAGCTGGTCTTTAGCTGAGGTGCGAGGTGGCGTCACAGAACAGGGATTGTTTGCTTGAATCAATCAATGGATCTCCTGCTTGCAAACCTTTTACTGCTCCATTGATTAGAGGAAGGATGTGTAATAAAGGAAAGCCATGTAAAAAGGAGAGGGAGCAGAAAATCCATCCCTATGCTTGGAAAGAATGTAGCCTGAAATCTAGCTTGGGGAGCTGCTGCCAGTCTGTGTTGACAATGCAGGACCAATGTCAGCTTCCACATAAGCCGCCTTCCCATATTCTAGCTCTTCTTCTCCATCAGTGCTTCTCCTTGCTGCTTCCCCACCCTGCCCATTCTTGTTACAGCCTTCCCTTCAGTTCACATCTTTCTGTTCAATATGTTCCATTTCCATCCACCTACTGTAATAATGACCAATGGAAATGCCTGCTGCGGTGCAGAATTTGAACCTGACATAAAGCAAGCAATTGTTATCTGGCATGAGAAAGCCTCTTTAAATTAAGTGGGACTTACTCCTACATAAACATAATAAATGGTGGGGGGGCATGCATGTTGTTTGCACCTTTGTTTTTAATAGTAGAATGCTGCCTTAGTTTTGTCTTGCCTGCTTTAAACAATATCAAGATACTGTACTTCCCTGCAAATACTATCCCATCTGCTCCTCCTCCCAGTTTTTGAGCTTGGTCATGAAGGGGGAGGGCATTAAAAACTGCCCAGGTGCAGGGAGACATGATGCATGGAAGAAAGTTAAGTACCTCCTCCTATTCAGCAATTATTACCCACAAGTTTTTCTCTATCCCATTTGCCTTATGATGAAAAGAGGGTGAATGTACATCTAACCTTAATAGGTTTAACTTTAACACTGGCCTTATAGTATGGGTAATCAGAGAAAATTCCAGATGTTCCACAACACAAGACCTGTGCTAGCTGTTCATTAGTTGAATACAAAGCTTTATGAATCAGACCCAAACAGGTTAATTCCCCAGATATTACCTGTAGGATGATTGTGAGTCATTCGCCCAACTTCAATGCTCACTTCAATTAGAGTTTCCAGCCTCTCGGGCTTCCAGTATTTCATCCCTAAGCACATGGCTTTCGTAGCTGCTCCAAATCCTGAACCTGCATTGATAAAAATTAAAACAGATGTATTTACAATGACAAATAAGCTGTTTAGATCTGCCAGAAGTTAATGCAGTGAGAAGGAGGAAGATGGTAGTAATAATACAACTCTTAGTTTTGTTAGTGTGAATACATGTATATAGGAGATGGTAGGCTGAAAAGAAACACTTAAATACCACTTGTATTCCTGTTGGAATTTCATTGTTGAAAGCAATCAAACTTAACTCCTTGGATTTTGTCAGATTATGTGTCTGTGAGAGAGAGTTTATAATTATTCATATCCCTCTTTCCCATCTATATACACAAAGCATCTTCTAATATTTTTAAAGAAGTTTAAAAAAATAAAGCTAGGGATTTCTGCAACCTCCAGAGAAAAAGAAAGCAATAGCCAGGTGTTCCTCCATCATTGCTAGATCTGGTTCTCGCTCAAATACTCCTCCCTCAGTGACAGGGACAACCAGTCTTCTCCCCTGGGTCATGCAGATGTGAAGGAATTTAGGGAACTAAAAACAATCTAAACTAAGAAAAGGGAAACTGGTGGCCTTGATAATATTGTTGGTCAACAACAGCCATTATCCCCAGTTATTTCCACTTGCTATGCTGGTTGGAGCTGATGGGTATTTTGAGTCCGACACTTCCCACAGTTAGTTTTGAAACTTATGATCGTCTTGGATTGCTGAACAGTGTAGGTCACCTTCATGGAGCATGTGCAAGAGAAGCAATGTGTGGCCATATTAATGTGCTGCTTGTGTTCTTACTATTTTTATTACTGATTCATTGATGCACTCTCAGCTTACTATGATTCTGTGACATGAGCTGCCTTGGGTGTGTAAACAATGAGCTGGAACTTGAAATAATAAATAAATGAACAAAAAACAAAGCAACAAACCATAAATATCTGTTTAACAATAGTTATAAACACAAAAGTAATACTCATCTCTAACAACAACACCCTCCCACACACACATACACACACACACACAGAGTAAACAAGTCTTCTTTAGCAGTCTCTGTGTCAAGCAGGCATGACACTGAGGAAGGTGCTCCAAACATTTACAACTGCCATAAAAGAGGCCGCCTCCTCCTCCTCATATGTCTGGTATCTGGAGCAGGGTCTCTTATTACAGCTTAATCGTCATCAGTCAAAGTTGATAAAGGACTAAGTGATCCATTTTACGCATGTGCGTGCGCGCACACACACACACTGAGAGAGAGAAGGAGAGAGAACCAGTCATCTCACATCAGAAATTAACGGGCAAGGTGTTTGGGTCAAAAAATATGGTTTACGAGTACTCTAATCCTTGGCACTAAAAAAATTACCACTAAGCCTATGAGGCCTTTCTCCCCCATAGTAACAATAGGTATTAGCCATCTCTAAGGCTAAGTGGCTATATTTCACTTGCCAGAATGGGAACAAGCTTTAGCTGTAGCAGTGGAACTCAGTGCTGGTTGTTTGTTGATTTATACCCTGTTCCAAATGAATGACTCTCAAGATGACTTGTGGCATCTTAAGTCACGAATGAAATTGTCTTGCTCTATAGCATAGTGCAGAGTGCACAATCTTTCTGGTCTCTGGGGCTGCATCGGGCAGAGCCAGGGTACGGCCCATACACAAACTCACACGTGAACACTCACAATGCTGGGATTTCTCTTGCTTGCCTCTGATCTCTCATAAGTTTCTTTTTTTACAAGTACTTCTATAGTAAGCTCACAATAGATAGCTAATGTGGATCTTATTGAGTGAACTGGCAGAAATGCACTGATTCAAAGTCAAACTTTGTACCCATGATAGCATATTGGTGCTAATGGGGAGTTTTTTCTAAACTCTGTAGCCATTGGGGTGGAGGTAGGATTAATGACTGAATCCTGCCTAGGGAGGGAAGTATTAAACTTCTACTTCCAGTGTAGGAGGGATGTCCAGATAAAAAAAATCAGATTCCCCAACTGGCACATCTCCAAGGATGATAGTCTCAAAGGATGTTCTCCAAAGATTCCCCAAATTTCCCATGTGTGTTAGTACTAGTGAAGCAACAACTGGGGGAAAGGACAGTGCATTTTTTGTTGCTAATCCCACTTGTTCTCTCTTAAACCCATTCTGTTTAAGTTTCTGCTTGTATTTCCATTTAAACTTAACATTTAAATGCTGCAAGGAGGAGGGGACATGACATTTATAATAACTCAAAAGGGTGTTCTACACATTGTCATAAGAAAATCTTAACTTTTCAATATCTTATAAGCAGTTCCACTGCTTAGGCATAAAATTGAAAAACACTTAAGGAGGCAATCTAATGCATGTTTAGATAGAAAAAAGAACCTACAATTCCCAGCATGCCCCAGCCAGCCTAATCAAAGTTACACTTAACAAATGCATGAAGAAGAGCTGAGCACTCCTAACATGCCTACCTGGTGCCTTGCAAAATACACAACATAGGTCAGATGGGGTACAATCTAGAGGGTAAGCGGGCTGACCTTACCAGGTTTTCTCTTTTCTTTCCCCTACAACTAACTGCCCAGAGAGAAGCTGAAGTAAGGAAGAGAGCAGCTCTGACAAACTGGGTGGATTGCACAGTGACAAAAATAATCACCATATTACATTGCAGTGTTTGTGCCATGATGCTACTCCAATAAATGATGCTAGTGATGAGTGAGTCAATATTTCTCAATAGCCCAGTGATATAGTGTCATATCAACACAATTGCTGGATCTAGAATCTGCACCACCCATGAGAGGTCAAGTTGTACCAATAAACAAGTGAGCTCTTCTAAATTGCCAGCATTAAAAATGATTTGATGTTGTTGTGCCCAGAGAGTTTAGGCTACTGGAAGATATAAAAATGTAATTAATTGATTAATATTGTTGATATTTATATACCACTTAAATATATTACAGTACCTAAGTGGTTCAAATATAAACATTAGAAACACATTTAAAATACTAAGACTAGAAAAGAATCTCTACAGTCAGGTGTTTTGTGTGGGGCATGCCAGAAGTGAAATAATACACTGTGGCATGATAAATCTTGCATGTGAACTGCTCAGAAAACTTTGGTTATTGGATGGTATAAAATGTAGTGAATATATAAATCAGCATCTTCAAGAAAGTTCTGCTTTGGCACCTACAGTCAGCTGGGTGGGCGTCACATGTATCTCATTTCATCATTTTAGCAATATGGTTTGAGTAGATCACTTGCACTGACAGCACCTCTAGCAAATGTGGACTCTTAAGTGAAGCATGACGGATAGTATTCCTGAAAATAAATACAACATTCCAGGACAAAAATCTAGATGAGAAGGCATAATGCCAGTAACAAAGACTCTTTAAATAGATATAAAACTGGGCAGAGAGGTCTCATGCAAGGACACAGTGCCCTATCAAAGAAATTTCTGGCAGCTCACTTAACATATCCAAGCAGATACGGAATTGTTGCAGAACTGTATCATGGGCATGGACCTTCCCTATGCATGCAAGGGAGAAACACATCCTTTATTTGTAACAAGCTGAAGAATCAATCTCTCGCTCTCTCTCTCGCTCTCTCTCTCGCTCTCTCTCTCTCACACACACACACACACACACACACAGAGAGAGAGAGAGAGAGAGAGAGAGAGAGAGAGAGAGCGCCAATCAGAATAGATTACATATATGAAGCAAATAAAGAATTGATTACAATTACATATTTTGTTCATAATCATGAGTTAAAATTAGGCACTATGATCAGATCAAATGATAATATAATAAACTATCAGACATAGCGTCTTCCGGGCTATGTGACAGGCTGTGTAACGGACATGGATTTAGCACTAGATAGTGTTGAGGCAACAGTGAAGTGGAAAACTATTAAGTTTCTAATGGAATGATAACAGTCTTGTTTATGTTTACTTGGAAGTCCAACTTTGTCTATTTGTGTTTATTACATTGTAACAGCACATACCTACACATGTCTACTCAAAAGTAAGCCTCAAGAAGTTTAATGGGACAATCTCCCAAATATATTGGCATTGGATTACTTATTTCATTAAAATATTTTTAACCCACCTTCTGGGGTAAGTTCTTTCCTTAATGTACAAGATCACTTGTTATAAGTTAAGGTAATTTTGAAATACTATAAATACAATTAACTGAAACACAAAACATTTAAAACAACAGCAATTACAAACAAGTCCCATATATAAAGATGGACAAGTATGCATTTAAAAGCAGGCTGGAACAATCAGGTCTTTAAGGCTCACACATTCTGTAGCAACAGATTCTATAAGGGAGGGGTCTTCAACCAATTTGAGTGACTGACATGGGCACCACCACAAAACACTTAATCAGGCAGTGGCCACCTTCACAGAATCACTGCTTTTGAGTCTGTCACATCTATGGATCTTACATTGGATATTATTCCTGTCTTTTGGACTTTCATTTCATGTCTATTGAACACTGCCAAATCTCTTTAATAAGGAATTGTCTGATTTTTTGTGTAATATAGCTAATGCTTCTTTAAAACTATGTTTAAAAAGTCCAACAGTTACTTCATTTCAATAAGAGGTTATTACACTGATAAATTTTATACTGGAACAGTCTTTAATATACACTGATGTATATACTATTTTAAATTGTTTACCTGCTTCCTGGAAATTAACAAATGGAAGGGGAAATGGATTCCCTGTCCCTTTTGGACAACTAAAAGACTGATGTTACAAAACTGAAAGAATAAATAGTCACCTCCTATAATTCAGTGATATATGAACAGATGGCACATATATCCCAACTGCATAGGGATACTTATTTGGCTATTTGGTCCACTTTTGTTCAAAGCTATATATAATTGCTAGAAAATGCTATTCATTTCATACAAATCCATATATGTATATTAAAACATGTGAGGGGGGGATAATCAGCCTTATAAAATGGGGGGCATGGGGAAAACTACTATAAGATTGCAGACTTGATTTTCAAATTGTGGAATTATGAAATAATTTTATAATAAGCTGGGATTTGTTTACCAATTACAGGAACAGACCAATTTGTCTCCAACATATTTTGTTAATCTCTTTACAGTTCCTTGTAAATTGAACTACTCATGATCACTTGTTGTTGTTGTTGTTAATGCTTTATTAGTTGTTTTTTCATTTTCCAATATAACACAAATGGCAAATCCTTCCCACCTACTTGCTCCAGACTCTTTCCTTCCCCTGGAAGTTCTCCCCTCCCTTTTTCATATTATCCTGTATTTAAAGAGTAAATGATAAATGATGAGAAGTAAAATCAATGAACAAAAATGGGTTCATTAATTTACATAGAGAATAATGAACACAAAATATGGTTCCCTTAAAATAGGGATGTCAATTTGTGGTCTTCCAGATTTTTGACCATCAGTTCCCATCAACATTCCTGACTGGCTCCACTAACTAGGCTGATAGGAGTTGTAAACCAAAACTTCTGGATGACCACAAGTTGACTACCAGTTCTTTGAAAGGACTATGATGTAGGATACTGTCTACTAAAAAAAACCCAACAGCAGCAACTCATTATACCTTTCTCATTAAATGGTGTGTGCCAAGCTAGGAGATAGTTGTCTGGCTTCAGTTGTGAGCAAGCTTCAATAGTAGCAGGATCTGACCGTCTCCCAGAAAGTTTGTCAATAGCATCAACATAACGTTTCACAAGTTCCCGATACAAGTCTTCTAAGCACCAGTAATCTGTTGGGTGGGGAAAAGGATTACACGGTTAGGAAATGATTGAAATACAACAAGACTGAAATATAACAAAAACTTTTTCATTTGTTTCAGTTGCCTCTTAATATCCTGCTGTAAGCACAGTTAAGTGGGCTAAATGATTAACAGTGCAATCCTATATGTTCTTATTTAGAAGCAACTTCCATTAAGTTCAATGGACTCTCATTGCTAATAACTGTTTCTAGAATTTGATCCTAAATAATAAAGGCACATATTTAAGTTGGTTTCAGTGTTAATTTATGTGAAATGCAGATTCTAATTCTTTTAGGTACCTCACCCTGAGTGGGTCTCCCATGGGTGTCAATATGGAGTACATGGGTATGAAATTCACGGTGATTGGAAAAGCCTCTTGTTCAAACAAGTAGTCTTACTGAGGTAAAAAATGTGACAGGATTTATGAGCGTTGCTATTTTGTCTCCTGATAGGTCTTTCTTCCTATCAGCACTACCTTTGTCTCCTCCATAAACCAAACTTTTGCCCCCCCTGTACAGTTTATGGTTCTCCAAGAGGCAGCATCAAAGATTGAGGAGAGACCGCCTGTGTCAGACAGATACCTCCATCCCCCACATTGCTGGAACCTTCTGGTTACTTATAAGAAAGGCTCTCTTCACATACACATAATAATAATAATAATAATAATAATAATAATAATAATAATACATAAACTGGAAATTAATGTTGGGCAGCAGTCCTAAACACACGCGCTCCATCACAATCTATAGGGCTTGAATTAAAAGAATGTGTGTTTCGGATGGGAGTATTAAAATAAAATATATCCTTATGTCTCTTTCAGGAATCTAACGTGGTACTGAACATGTTTCCCTTTAAAATGTACACTGCCTCCTCTGTACCACTACTGGGTTCTGTCCTTGAGGAAAAACCTATTCTGCATTTTGTATTCCTTTAGTCAGTATCTCCCTTCCTTACCTACATGTGTGTGCAATTGTGGAGCTTATAAAAATAATATTAAATAGTCATTAAATTTTATTTTATTTTTTTTATTTATTAAAACATTTTTATGCTGCCCCATTCGCCGAAGTCTCGTGGCGGCTTACAACAATAAATAAAAGTAATTATAATATAAATTACAATAAATATAAACATTAAAAATCCAAAAAATACAATATAAAATATAAGAAACAAAATTAAAGATTTCTGACTGGAGCAATAGTTGCTTTTAGATGTGTATGTGAAAACATTCCTGAGAAAAATTTTTCATGTTCAAGAAGACTTTTCTGGTGGACTAAATATTGCAAGGAGTATATGGATTTTCCAATATTTCTCTTTTTTAGGCTCCCTCTTTCGGTCAAATTTTACATATTAAATTAATTCTTTGTCCATTGCAAAAAGTAATCCAGATACTTTTTGACTGATAAAAAGCCATGTAATTCATAGGCCCACTTGAAACTAGATTTTTCTTTTAGAAAGCAGATAGAGGAGATATTTAGCAGGCAGAAGGAATGTTGTAGATACCTACAGGACAGTAGCTTTCTAGAGAGAAAAAATGGGTTGCTCTTTGATGTCGTCTTTGTACATTAGCAGCCTTTCTTAACCTTGGGTCCCTAAATACTTTTGGATCCCATTATCTCTGACTGCAGGTCATGCCGGATATGGATGATGGAAGTTGTAGTCCAACAGCATCTGGAGACTGGCTTGGGAAAGGCTGCATGACAACCTGCCTGCGTTATAGTCAGAGACTGACAAATGCCTTTTCCACATAATATTTATGCAAAATATAATGGGCACAAGGTGCACAGACCTCATACTCCATGTATGGAGGAATTGTGGGAAACATGGCATATCAAAAGGACTCATCACCTGATCAGGCCATAATGCACAATAGGTTTAGAAACATCACTGGCTCCCTGTGGGGAACACTTTTCTGCAGCATCCAAAGGTGACTTTTAAATTGATTTTACTGTGTCACTTTTCATACAAATTTGATTTTGCTTTATTTCAGCCTTTGCCAACCTGTGTCCTCCAAATGTGTCAGGTCACAACTTTCATAATCTACATTTTATTTATTTAATGCCCTTTTGTCCCACTTTTCTTTAGCCCAGAAGTTTCTCAGAGAAGCTTACAAATATCAGTGGAAAGGCAGCCTCTGCTTTCAGGTTTGTAATCTGAAAGACATGACATTCAAGGAAAAAAGGAAGGCAGGAGGAGGAAAATGCAGTTATTGCAACCAGCTGGGATGGAAATAATGGAAGTTGTAACATTGGGAATCCTGCCTCCTAAAAAAACATTGTCTTATTTCATATCAGTTGTTTTGCCTTGTCATATTTTAAAATGTTGGCTCACCAGTGGCAAAGTACTGTGGCATAATACTGTGCTACATGAACATAACATTCAGGCTGTTAGGAAGAAAACACCAGCAAACTATTAAGAAAAGTTGCATTGTCTTCTTGTGATTTCCATGTGCTTCTTTTTAAATGTTAACTAGCCATATTTGCCTGAATATGGAAATGCAGAAGAAAGGTAGCAGAGTGTGGCTATGCTCCATCTCAATCAATGCATACACCCAACACAGAGCAGAATCAGCAACACAGAGTCTGCAAGTCGCTCTCATATCAAAATGGGAGCAAAATGTTCACTGGTGTGACCTACAAAGGTGCTCCCAAATTTACCTGGAAAGAGAAGGCATGCACAAACGAACTGCCCAATGGAGAATGCTTTCTAATGTAATACTTTCCAGATCTTTAGGACTGGCAATGGGCAAAAGCATTGTCACCTATTTCTCACTGTTCACCCACTGTGGTACTCTTAAAAGATTGTATTGACTGAATTAGAATTAAAATTAATAACTTTTTTACTGTTCCTTCTACTTTAACAACTAGACGTAGCTAAATTAAACAAGTGAATTTTGGTATATGTGTATTATGCTTCCTAAAAGTTCTAGTCCTTGAGGTGGAGGTGAAGAATAACGGCTCCTAGTAATCAATCAACCAGAGAAAAAACACACATAGATAAAAGGGAAATGAAAAGATACTGGCCTCCGTTAATATTTATTGCTTTTAATATTGGCAATATTTTTTTAAAATACAAATATTCAAAAACATATAGAAGGGATGCAAGTCTAGAGCATGTGCTATCAATAGCTTGAAAACAGTGTCAGTAATTACAATTTAAGGAGGAAACCATACTTAAAAACAAAATAAAGTCTTGAAAATACCTCTGATCTGTTTCCCTCCTTAAAACTTTATTTCTGATAAAGTCATCAGAGCATTGACAGTACATGCTGCATTTTTTTATCATTTCTCTAACACTCTCAGGCCAACATCCAGAAGCCTTGGATTCTCCTAGCATGGGAGAAACTGGTAAAATGACACAAGGTGCATCTTATCCAAAAGGTCATTTAGAAGCAATCTTAGTCCCACAATTATCTGGGAGACAGTTTTTCATTTTTCCTGAGTCCAGTTCTAGTTTTCAACTCAGGGAGATGTATGTATATGTGGGGGGGGGGGCAGGGTATTAAAAATGATTCCAAGGTGGCATTTGAAGACGTGTATTGGTGGATGGTAATCTCCTATCTTGCTATTCTCTGCTATAACACCCCTACTCGAGCCCTGCATTTGTGGAAAACATGGGACTCCTTTGTGAAGTCTGCTTTGTCCCTTTTACTCTAACACATCACTGACACCAGCATGAAGCCAAAATCAGGATATATTTTGCATGGCAAGTTTTTCAAATGCCGATCACTGTTACGTGGGATTTATTCAATAACATGCTCTTGCTTCCTTCCAACTTCCTTTTTACTACAGGTAAATAGAGGCAATGCATATACAAAAGTTAGGAAAAAAATGCTCAGATACTGTGTTTACCTTATCACCCAACAGACCAATTGGTGCCATGTTAACATTGCAGAGCACCAAACCCAGTATACTTGAAGATTTGGATTTTTTTTTCCAAAAAATGGTGATGGGAAGCAACACATACTCCTGCTTGTCCTCCTAGAACTAATCTTGGGGTTTACATTCTTACCACTACCTGTATACTCCACTGGAACAAGAGCTGGCTGATATTCTAGGCTTCATGCTCAGCTGTACTAATTGCCAGTGGAACACAGGACTGCAGTTCTTGGCTAGGAGGTGGTACAATCAATGGTAGCCATCGATTCACTTGTTGGCCTGACCAAGACACCACCCTGCAGCATCTGTTTCTTCATTTGTGGAATGATATGGACAAAACCTACCAAGCTGCACTAAGGAAAAAGCAATTATAAATGGCGTTAAACAAATTTGGATTGTAAAATCTTGTAGATGGTTATTGGTCCATGCCTGAGTGTTTTTGTTCTGACAGCAACATCCCTAAGGAAAATTTTAAAGCATTACAAAGCAATTCAATTATTATTGAAATACAAATGGCAAAAGGTCTTAGATGGAAGCCTTCTGCATATCTAAAGGGACCAGAAAACAGCTAGATTCCAAAATAACCATCTTAATTTTGTGGTGGATTACTGTGAATTGTGATACCATCTTTACACATCTCCTAGTCTGGACTAAGGTGTATTTTCCCACACTGCTGCTGCTGCTGCTGCTGCTTCTTAATCAGAAACTACTTATCTTCTTGAATTAATTCTAGAAAGCTTCTTTACAATATTCTTCTATCAGGAATAGAAAGATCAGAACACCTAGTCATTAAATAGCTTGTGCCTTGAAAAGTGATTGATGGGATCAAGAACAAGGTGCTTTTTGAAATAGTTGTCCTGTTCTGTATACTACACAGCCACAGAGATTTATAACTTGCTATGCTACAGCTAGCATAACTAAAAACATTTGCAAAACAGCTCAATATGCCTTGCAGATAACATTTATGTTCATACAGCGGTCAAGAAGCAAGAACCATGTGATGTGCATTTAATCACTGACTATATTCAGAAGTATGCTAGTCATCCTTTCCCTTGATAGGTTGACATCCTGCCATTATCTTTAGGGTATTAGTTGCTGCTCACATCATTGGCTAACCAGTAGCTAGACATAAAATATCCAAGATTCTCTTCAACAGACCTCTGGCTGCTAAATTTAGAGCATCTCAGCAGCAGTCAGATAAGAGTGGAATGTAAGTGAAATTTCATTGACTTTGACATTTCTAATTCTAAAAAATAAATTGAGAACAGGAGAGAAGTGCATTTAAGGAAGTACATTTGTTTTTAGCAAAGATGCAGATGTTCAGTCTCATCTCACATGCATCATGAATCCTGCACATAAATTGGCTTGTAAAATACAGTTGCATTAAAAGGAAAATGACATTTCAGATGTAGGTTTAATGCAGAAGACAGGTGATCTGTTCTATGATAGGCAGTTGCTTCTATACTTGACAAGAACTGGTACCTGTGATACAAGAGGCTTAGGCTTTTACTTGCCCATCCATGTTGTATATAAAGCAAGTTTACACCATTGCATCCAGTTTAAGGCAAAATGTATTGCTTTAATGTATGTCTTAAATAATAACAGTTATACAACCAAGGAAGAGACCTAATAAATAGATTTAATGTGAATGGCAACTTCATCTTTGTAAATCAAAATTAGGTTTGAAGTGCTTCACATAATTATTCTCAGTAATTCTTATAAATAGCTTGGTGAGGTAAATCAATATTACGTTCTGCATATTGCAGATAGTGAGCTGAAAATAGTGGCTTGCCTAAGACCGCTTTGTGAATTCGTGGCTGAGATGCATTTGCAGCAAGTACTTTTTATTTCACAGTTTAGCCAACACAATAAGTTTAGGGTAGATATGCAATTTTGTAAGGTTCTCAGGAAGCCTTCTGGCTAATGATGCAGGACAAAAATCAAATACATAAATAAACACTATACATTGAGAGTTATATAGATCTTTGCATATGTGTACTTCTCAGCTAGCAAACCTTGTGATTACAAATGTTCTCTAGTTTTCATTCTCCCCCCCCCCCCCCCAGATTGTGGCCAGATTACTGAGTTTTTCTTACCTGTGATGAGAGCGTCAGCCGTAGCCATGTGCATGAGAGTATTGTCACTTGTTGGCCATTTGTCGGAGGACATGACCAGGTTCTGGAGTCCCCCAATTTCTTTCAGTTCCCCTTGGATCTTTGCACCTAAAGCATTGTTTTCCCGGGTGAAATTTCGGTAGCCCAGAGCATCCCCTACCCCTGCCAGCAAGAAAGCAGCCTTAAATTTCTCCATTGCAAGATGTCTTCAAGGTGTCTTCTATTCTCTTTGGTTTCAGTAACATTCAATTGGTGTTTCTTTGTTCCTTTGCCTTCAGGCTCAACTCAAGCAACACTTTATATCAGAGCCATTGTGTCATTGCACAGAGCTTTCCATATAAGGTGAGCCTTTCCTTTTCTGGCTTTGCAGATGCCACCATTTGTCAGACATCCAACAAAGGGATAAAAATTGATAGGCCAAGTATTTTCTAACTTATTTTTAAGCTGCAAGCTCAGGAAGCATGCAACACAGTAGTATATGCAAGTACCAAAAAGCAAATGCCCTCGTACAGTTCAGGACAAAACAAGTCAAGAAATATTTTGGCTATCCAATTTAAGTAACTCTATACCTAGAAAAACACATGCTGTAAACAGGAGGTTTATTTTTATGCCTGTGCAAATGAGAATATTTTTCTTTGATTATAAAGTATTTTGGGGGGAAAACTGAGAAAACTACAAAGTCAGAAAAGTTCTCGTTTCTTTTAGGGATGTTAGAGACAGAGGAATGGAAAGCTGTACAGTAGGTCAGCAGTGAAAACCTTTACTTCTCCACTTCCCAAGTTCATTGAGCTAGCCTTAGGTTTTTCTACTGTGCAGTAAGCCACAAATGCTGTGCTGCAGTGAACTGCTACTGTACAGGAGTTTTGACACCTTTTCCTTTTTAGTGCTTTTCCATCAGAATCATTTTGTGTGTGCACACAGATGGGTTATTCTGGGGCAATTAGGCATTCCCAGTGGATGCTTAGCAGTGGTTTCTGATTTCCATGATGATTGCAGCTTCCCCCTCCCCCAATTCTCTGGCTGGATTCATAGATAAGACAAATTTTCTGCATTTTTTCAAAGTGGAGAAAGGATACATCTGTCAGCTCTTAACAATTTGATTAGATTTAAATTCTGGGCTCAGATGTATTGGGCAACTGTTGCCCAGTTGTTGATGTCCCTTTTTGAGGGAGGTGTACTCAGAAAAACAATTCTTACCATCCCACCTCACTGCCTTGCCATAAACATATCAAAAGATGTCTCCGTATCTGGTGGTGAAGACCAGATGACCCCACTCCATTAGTGGGTAACTGTCAAAGTGTAATCGCTGTGTTTTATAGGCTTGCTAAAGTGCCTGCCTAACCCTGTAAGTTCACACATGTAACCTTTTTGTTAACTTGGCCAGCCTGTTCAAGGTATCTTTAGTTTAGAAGGCCTGCCAAAGGCATCTAATTAGAGTGAAATGTAACTTTTCTTTATGGTGCTGTGATGTGTATCCAGTCACTTTCCTATCCATTTCAAAGTATCCAATCACCTTCCTGTGTATTGTATTCACTCCCCTTTTGTGTATTCTATATAACCCTAAGGAAATTAACATGGGGTGTTCCTTCTTAGGCACCCATGGATCCATGAATTCAATGGCAAATAAACCTTTTTGCCCTGACAAGAAACTGATTTCTGAGCCTCTTTGAATTGCAGATCTGTGTGACAGAGGTACTTGAAAAAATAGTGGTGGCCCAGCTGTAGACACTCTGGAAGGAGACCAATATTCTACATCCATTTCATTCTGGGCTTAGACTTGGTTTTAGGAATAAACTCGACTTGGGCACCCTTCCGAATTGTTCTGGTTAATTACTCTGTTACTGTTTTCAATTTTTAGTAGCAACTCCATCCTCTTAGAGCAGTCTCTGTGAAGTGAGCATTGGGGGCAGCATTTTATTGCAGCTCGAATCCTTACTGGAGAACTGGTTGTAGTGAAAAGTACTGGATGGTGACTATTTTTCACCCTGGTAACCCATGCACTGATAACTTCTCATCTCAGCTACTGTAATATACTGTATGCAGGGCTGCCCATGATCTGGAAGATGCAACTAGTGCAGAGGCAAACTTGAATGATGTACCTAGCTGCTGTTATTAATATCTTTGCTGAAAAAACTGGAGCAGGTTTAAAGTTTTGCTATTGACCTATAAATCTGTAATCAATTTGGGACACAGAAACGCAGGGGATTGCCTTTCCTGTAAATCTGCCTGACATCTAGAATCATCTGTGGTTCTTCTGGCTGTCCCACATCCTACAAACATCTAGCTTCAAGCAGGAAAATGGCCACTCTCTGGAATATCCTTCCCACAGAAATAAAAGTCAATTCTGTTGCAGATTAAGTGCATATGTTGAAAAAGTTTTATTCATCTCACTTGTTGCTGTGATTGCTAATCCATTGCCTGCTGATTATAATGTGTAGGCAAGCATTGTAGCTATAATGCAGAGTTATATTTTTACTGCTGTATACTATCAGGATATGTTGTACAGGGCACATTATACAAATATTTTAAATAAATATCCTGGACCTTCACAGAATATGAACAGGCAGTTTTGTAAGGTACCTCTCATTGCTAAAAGGACAGGCCATCTTTAATATTTTCTTCATTACCGCTGGCTTTATGGGATTATTTTCTATTATAGAAGTGCAAAAATGGTTCTACAAGCCAAACAAGTTTATAATTCATCATCTTATTGGAAGATCCAGCTTCACAAGAATCTTCCTTTTACACTGGTTATGGTTAGAATAAAAACAAGACAGTTAGCAAAGTTGGCAGAGATGGAAAAGTGCTGAATTGCCACAGGTATTATTAAAAAAGGTAAAAGGTAAAGGTTTCCCCTTGACGTTAAGTCCAGTCATGTCTGACTCTTGGGGGCAGTGCTCATCTCCGTTTCCTAGTCGAGTGAGCCAGTATTTGTCTGCAGACAGTATCTGTGGTCATGTGGCTGGCATGACTAAGCACTGAAGTGCACAGAATGCTGTTACCTTCCCATTGACATGGTACCTTTTTATTTACTTGCATTTGCATGCTTTCGAACTGCAAGGTTATTACAGTATCATAAAATAGCAGAATTGCAAGGAGCAGAGGGCCATTGGGTCCAACCCCCTGCTCAGTTATGGTTATCTTCATTCCAGGTCATACATCTTTTGCAAAGAATGTAGCAATTAATTTTGGTGATGATTAAATACACTCTCCATATCAGGTAACAATTGGTTTATTGCTATTAAGATTGTAGCATTTTGGAGTTGTACAATTGTCATGCATGAATCTACTGACACAACTGATGAGAGCTCGAGAGAGGTGCCCTGAACTCCCAGGTTGAACTCCTATGGTTTTTGTTTGGTCTATAGCAAGGCATTCTCACTCCAGCCCTGGTTCCCACTACATGATATGGAAATAGTGACTTGCTTTCCAGGCTGGTTCTGATGAAGACAAATATTAACATTGACATTGTTCTGCACTTATGATCTTTTATGTATCACTTCCCACTATTGATGACAAACTTATGATTATAAAGTACTGTGCAACTTAATGCACTATACAGTTAAGAAATGCAGACCCTGTTTGGTCTTACACAGACAAAATAATCTCAATTTCATTAAAAGCCATAGTATCTGAGCAGCAAAACCAAGACATGCTATTGAATTCATATCTTAGTTTTGCAGAGCCTATTTAGATACCTGTTCACCATTAGTTATCACCTTGTCCCAGGATCAACTTGGATCCCTATGATAATCTAAATCTCTCAGTATCTCAAGGAAATGTAAACACATTCAGGTCAACTTCAACTAAATGATGCTATATTTCTGGAATACTGCCTATCATAAAAGAGTGTTAAAGACATATACCCTGAAACCATGTGAACAAAATAACATGAGCTTGATGATTGCAATCTGAATGTCCAAATATATTAAGTGGTTCAGCTTTAATGCAAGCTATCAACATGCCAAGATTTTCATGTTTAGTCTGCAATACGTGTGTCTCCATATTAAAACTTGGATTAGAAGTGGTTATCAAACCCTACCGGTTATCCGAAAACATTAAAAGAGCTAACCATTTAATAGTAAGCATTATCACTGATTGTGTAAGTGCAGTTTTTCACTCTAACCTTTTTGAGCATTTCTTGTTCCAGACCCACTCTGAATTAATTTAATTTTTCACATATATTCTTCAACAAATGTATCAAGAAAATTGAACACCCTTCTAATTATGCTATACTTAAATATTCCACATTGATTATTGTCTAACTGCTTGGATGCACAATGAAAAATGTCTACAAGATGACACACTGGCATCTAGTGGTAGTAAGAAAGATAAGCAACACGTAGACCTCATATTTCTTACTAAGGGGAAAAAAATACTTTTGCAGATATGCATTTACGTTCACCAGTTGAAAAAATCAGCTAATTCACCACTTTTGTGCTGTATAACCTGGCATTACATACAGACACTCACAGAGAAAATCTGCCAAGTCTTCAATTTTATCAGGCACAATTTGCAACATGGGACCTAACATAATTCATTGCATGAATTCCCTTTCTCTATTACTTTCTAAGATGACCACTTACAAAAGAGAACAGGGGCTCCACAGTTTTAAGAGTTACATAGAAGAGGGTATTTAAGATAAAGTTGATAAAAGTGCATCAGCTAGATACCTGTGCTGCAAGGAGGCACTGTAGCTCTGTCCCCTTTGGTGGTGGTACCATCGGTATTACCCACTTTAAGTCAAGGTTGTGGATTCAGAGCCAGATGTGGGCCTAGACTCACCAGCTGTATATCTATACATCCTAACTACCTTGAAGACCAATGTACCATTACCTATTTAGGAATACTCAGCACCCAGAGAATGAATCACATATAAGACACGATCAAGCTAAAATAAGGCTGCAATCCTATGCATTCTTAGCTGGGAATTTAGCCCAGTAAATGCAAGGGGTTTTACTTCTGAGCAGACCTACACTGGTTTGCACTGTTCAACACTTCTATATGCCTTTGGTTTCAATGGGAGAATGAAGCATATACACACACACACACACACACACACACACACTTCGCTTACACAGAGATCAGTGGAACTTAAAATAGTTTTAACATGGGCTGGAGCATGTCCATATTCATAATATACTTAGTATATTCATAATCAAGCATGAAATACCAGTATGTTTTTGGTTGATTCAAAATTTAGAATATTAACATTAACTACAATAGAGGCATTTCACTGATTCTTTACTGGTCAAGTACAAACAAATCTCATTCAGGTCAATGTTGGAATGAGGAAATCAAAATATTAAAAATGGATCTGACTGGCCTTGCTGTTCAACTAGAATCCTGGCACCAGGCTGTATATATGTGTCAACAAATACTTCACTGCATTATCTCAACAGCTTTAAAGTTTGTATAAAAATACCACATACCACGTATTTTATTTAGGGATTTAATTTATATACCACAAATACTGCTTTTAATATAAGTACAATATAATACAGTTGTAATTATGTAACTGCTGGTGTTCACCCTGGGTTATGAACTGAATGGCATGCTGTGCTGTCAAAACTTTTCTAAAATGGCCTCTAGTTAAACTTTTCCAAGGTATAAAATCATGCAAAATCTACATCCTATATGATACAACCAGTACAATAATTGAAGCCAATATTCTACAAACAGCCTGGACTATCTTCTGGATTTCTTCTTGCAGTGTCCATGAGTCAGCCATCATTTTCTTGAAGCAGAAGTAGTGATTTCTGTTTTATCAGTGGTAATTCTACCACGACTTTTGAAACCAGTGACCGTGTGCACAGTTATTGGCCAAAATGTCTTCATTACCTGATGCAGTTCAGACTGCAAATTTAAGTCCACTGAAAAGAGTCTATGGTTAGGAAGCTTTACGTTTTCCTCCTGTGACTACTGGTCGTGCATATTCCACAAAATCATCTATTAGTACTGGCCATGCTCCTAAAGAAAAAACAATTTTAGATCAACAATTTTGAATGTTTAAAGCAAATTCTTTCTGTTCATAGTTCATTTTTTATTCATGTGAAAATATGAAATCTTCCAAAACAAAGCTAACAGATGTAGCCATGTGTTAAAATCAAAGTACAATGAGCCTCAGCTAAATTTCAAAGCCAAAGTTATGTGTAGCCTGAAAGACTCAGAGGGTGGGTACTTATGAACAATAATACTTCAGCCCCAATATATTTAATTTTGAACATCCAAGTAAGTTACCTTCTTCATCATAGTTTGACATATCATCTGCAATCATATTTCCAAAATCTAAAAGAAGATTCCAAGTATCTTTGGGAATTGATCTTTTATGATGTTCCTATGGAAAAAAGAGCTGGTATAAGCCATTTTCCACTTTTATAGCAAATTTTATAAAAGCATAACTGAACAAAAGCTCTTCAGTCGAACTCACATATAACAATGTTTGTATTGTTACAGCTGCGTGAGAACAAGCAAGCTACTGCTTGAGCACTCACTACAGTGGTACCTCGGCTCACGAACTTAATCCGTTCCAGGACTCTGGTCGTGACCCTAGATGGTCGTGAGCCAAGTTAAATTTCCCCATAAGGTTCAATGTAAATAGGGTTAATCCGTTCTGCAACTTTTTTAAATAGAAAAATGTGAAGCAAAGTGACAAAGAACACAAAGATCGCCATCTCCCCCCCCACCTCCCCCCAGCACAACCGCGATCGAGCCCGTCATCCATGCACACGCCCATCATCCCAACGTGCTGTGGTGGGAGAGACGGGTGTGATCCCGGGCGTTCTGGCGGGGGGAGGGAGAGATGGGTGCGAACGCGATTGTGCTGGAGTGGGGAGATGGCTGAGATCACGGTTGTGCTCCTGTAGGAAAGAGGGGTGCAATCACAGGCACGCTCATGCAGGAAAGACAGGCACGATCTCGGCCATCTTCCCCCCCCAACTCCCCCCAGGACGATCACAGCCATCTCCCCACTCAGGGGGGTGGGGAGAGGGCCACAATCATGGTCGCCACCCAATGTGGAGTTCACGACCTGAGTCAAAATTTTTATGAAATTTTTGTTTGTGACCCGATTTGGTCGTGAACTGAGGCATTCGTGAGCCGAGGTACCACTGTACTTCTGTTTTGTATTTGCTTTCAGCAACATGATTTGTTGTAGGGGTGTTGTCCCTCAAGAACCTAGAGTTCTGGATCACATCAAATAATTCAGGTGCAGGCTGCTAGGTTGTGGATGAAAGCAGATGCAAACTGAAAGCACTGAGTACATGGGTGGCAATGTGTTCGCTTGCTCTGGTGTGCCCCTCTACTTCATGGATTAAACAGTCCATGAACTGGCGCTAGGTGCGAACTAGATTATAGTCTGTAACAGACTAAGTTAAACATTAAAAGGTCAAGATTTTAAATGTTTCTAGGAAATCATCTTCAATACTGGCAGACACAAAGGTGTAGAAATGTACTTACCAATAAAAATTTATTCCAAAGATCTAGAAATTTAAATCTTCCTGATAAGACTAAGTTCCAATATGCAATTGCCATTTCTAGATCTGAAACAAACATAAAATAACATAAAACATTTAATTTATATAAGTCTTATGCTAAACCTGTTAAAATAAAAAGCAAGCTATCCAATAAATAATAAAACCAGAATAAAAATGTCTGCAGAAAGCTATGTATTTATATGTTTATTTATTTATTTAAAAAAATTCTATCCCATCCTTTACAGTGCCTCAGGACAGCAATAACATAAATAAGATGCAGCATTATAATAAAATATAAAATCAATATCAAAAACAATACTAACTTTTAAAATGCTGGGAAAATAAAAAGCTTTTGGCCTGGTGCCAAAATGAAAAAAGTGTCTGCATCAGGCACACCTCTTGGCACCAGGCGCACCTCTATATCCTATCCTATATTTCTATACTATATACTATGTTCCTCTGTACTATATCTCAACAAATGTGTTTTGTCAACATGAGTATGGAAAGATTTCAGTAATTTCACTCTACAGACTTGGTGTTTGTTTGGAAGTAGTTTAGATACTTGTTTTATAAACAGACACAAAAACTTTTTGTATTTATTTTATGCCTCTGCATAGTTTTGAAAGTAAACAGTATTTCTTGTATAAAAACAAGGCAATATGCTCTTAAAATACTGTCAGATGCAAAGTGTTCAAGTTATTTACCTTTAGCAATGCCTACATATTTAAACCCACTACTGCTGAGTACTAGTTGCCAAACATGACTCAACCTGTTATTCTGCGCTATTATACCTAGAACAAACATGACTGAGAGAATAGTATTACTAAAATATCAACAATATTTCATTTCAGGTAAGTGTGAAGCCAATTTCATTTCAGTGGTTCTACTCTAAGTAGGATGAACATTGATACAACCAATTCTGTTGTAGCAATCATGTTCACAAAATAATCATGTTTACTTAAAAGAATGTCTCACAGATAGAAATGTTGAGCACAGAAGCATACATAGGATTGTAGTTTGTGTTGAGCGTTGGCATAATGAGGTTGATCAAAGGTCACTGTCAATCTAAGGTACCTGTAATGCTCATCTAGTTTTAGCTGTCTCTGTTGTAAACATCTCGAAACCTATGCAGAACTGAGGTACAAAGTCAACAACTATAGCTGCAGAACAAAATGTATTACTAAATATGGGTATGTTGACAGAAATTCTATAAATGGGGCACCTCAAGTGATGTCTGCAAATAAAAAGTACCACAGTATAAGCCATATTTATTTTACACTACCAATGTGCATTTTCATGAATTAGCCACAATTTAAAAAATTTAAGAGTGAACTGAGTCATGACAATTGCCACAGTTGAAAGAATTCAACACAGGTATTTCAACACAGACTCAAATAAACAAAATGGGCAACACTTGCACTTGGGGTTAGGCAAATCTTTTTATACCTCTAGGTACCATTTCAATGCATTTACTAAGGTATGGATACCTAAATGTTTGGAATTTCTCTAGGCTTATTTACACAAGGCCCTTACTTGTTTAATAAAATAAATTTATACCCACTCTAGCGTTTATTGCCACAACAATCCAAGAAGTACTGGAACTACATTGAATAACAGGAGCAATACAGTACCAAATACCAATTCCCACTTGTGGAACAGCCTCCAAAAAGCAGTTTGCCTGGCACCTTCTTTACAGTCTTTACATCCCTCAGCAGTACAGTTCTTTCCTCCTGGATATTGTTATGTGTTTTATTTGAATGTTTTTTATTGATATGTTGTGTTTTTAGTTTATTTTAATCCACTTAGAGAGCCCTTGGGCTAATACAGCAGAATATAAGTCAAATAAATAGACAGACAAGAAATAGAGAACTCCAGGCAAACATTATATTGAAAAATATTTTTGGTATGGTTTTTATTGATAAAACATCACCCTGTCCACCCTGATTTTTAGGGTGATGGTGATGCAAGGGAAAGGGAGAGTAGAAAGGCCTGCTAGCAAGAACTCAGTCCCATTCAAAGAATTAAAGTGAGAATCCAAAGCAATGGTATGGAATAACCAAAGAGCTTCATAGCAACTACTCTACATAAGTAGCCATTTGTGCATATTGCTTGCTGTGCCATGAGGAACCTTCAGGTTTCATATGTGTGGTGAGTCACAGATGGTTCTCCACATGGAAGAGTCTCCTGATCAAGCCAAGGAGTCTCCATTATCCTTCCTTACAAGCCAAGGAGGGTATCTATCCTGCATTCATTTCCTTGTTCAGCATGACATTATCTAAATGCTATGGCTACTTTGCAAAGAAGTCCGTAAAAGTTAGCTGCCCATACAAATGCCCAGCTGCCCACACAAATTGTAATCTACCTGTTGTTGTTATATTTTTACACCATGCAATAGCTGAAGTTTTCTGGGCTGTTAACAGCAATAAAAGGCATTAAATAGAACATAAAATACAATGCAAAGGTTTAAGCATTAAAAACTACTATATAAAATATGGTCTTTGTATTTATATCAGTCATTTGAGGACTAAAAATACCTTCTGAAATTTCTCTCCACCATTCACTTGAAAGCAATTCTTACTTGTCTGGTGAAATAAGGAGTCTGGCCACTTATAAGTCCGATTTCTTCCAAAGGCAGTGGCTTTCTTTCTTTAAACCCATTATTCCTTACTTACTAGGTTAATGCTAAGACAACTAAAAAGTAAATTTAAAGCTGCACTAAAAATAATATTACATTCTTTTTTACTGTTTACACAGTCCATCAAAACAGATGCTAAAAATACAATAAAATATCAGAAAATATCAGAAAATCAGAAAAAAAGAAGTTCTGAACACCTTTTTTCCTTTAGCTCCAATCCCTTCCAAAGTCTCTCCCCCCTCCAGCATGCCCGCGTTTGCCCCGTCTCTCCCCTCGCCCCCCAGCACGTCAGGATGACGGGCACGTGCAGGGATGACTGGCGCGATCGTGGTCGTGATGGGGGGGGGCAGGGAGATGGCCACGCTCGTGCTCAGGGTGGCAGGGGAGATGGCCGCGATCTTTGTTGTTCTTTGTCACTTTGCTTCACATTTTTCTAATTAAAAATAATAGTTACAGAATGGATTAACCTTCTTTACATTGAACCTTATGGGGAAATTTAACTTGGCTCATGACCAATTTGGGGCACGACCAGAGTCCTGGAACAGATTAAGTTCGTGAGCCGAGGTACCACTGTAAGTGTTATAAATATCATTTTACTGAATACTTGAACTGCTTCATAATTTAACCACGATAGGAATTTTAAAAAAATCGCTACTGTTTTACACCTTTACATGCCTGTTTGAGAATGCAGGATTTTCTCAAGCACATTACAACACTGGTTAGGCCCCATTTTGCACTCTTAGACAGAAAGGTCCATCTTTGAAAAATGAACCCCCATTTGCAATTCTTAAAGAATATAAAGAACTGTTGCTCTGAAGTGACTCTAGCCACATAATAGTATTTAATGAGAATCAAATAAGTTTATAATTTGGGTGTTACTGTCCACATCAGCCGCTTGCAGTAATTTGAACAATGACTAATGAATACTGTTTTAGTGTTGTTATTTCCACATCACAGAAATACTTTCATGTAACTTAAATTGAAATTCTTAAAAAAAATAAGGCTTGTTCTATGAAAAGTGCTTCCTTAATTGCCTGAATGTATTTATCATAAAAAATAAGCTGGGATATTGAGATTTAATCAGACAGGAAAAGTAAAAGCTAACTTGAAAATCCACAATGTCTCAAAAACCAAAACTTTCTCTATTTGCAGCCTTTGATATTTTTATGTAACACTCAGCGGTCTGGTTTGCATTTGTTAACCACAGGATATCCTTGAGTGGAGCATGCATGCTGATTCCCAACTGCTCACCTGCTTCTGCTATGCCCCAAACCCCAGGGATGCTCTGTCCCTGAGTTGTTCTCTTCGAACCCAAACTGAGAACTCTGGTTTGTTAAGGAAGCAACAATGCAGTTATAACCCAGAACATCAGAAGTAGGCAAGCAATCGGAAGTCAGTATGCTGCCTTACTCCTGATTGTTCCCAAACAACTTATGGTTAACAACTGTGGGTTGTGGCATTGTGTGAACTGGGCCAGTATCTGAGCAAGAACCTTCTAAGTAACAGGAAAATATACTAAGGATTTCATTTTGAAGTAAAACTTCCACAATTCCCCACAATGAAATACAACTTTCAATGTCACTTTAAAGATAAAATTGCTCAGATCCACTGTGAATTGGGCTCCACAGTTGATCTATTTCCATTAAGAGAGGCATCCAGGGCACCATCTGGTCTGATGGATGAGTTTAAATTATTGTGATTCAATAATATGGACAAGGTACTTGTCTCAGTTCGTCTTGCTTGCTTGCTCAGCCTCTGCCTATCTTGACTTTTTAACAGATCTAAAGAGGGTGGTTCGTGCTTGGGTCCAGGAGGCCGTCAATGCCTTGTTAGAAAAGGGAGTCATTCCAGCCTCCTTAAAGGAGGCTATGATAAAACTGCTCCTTAAAAAGCTGAACCTGGACACAAGGGATGTTATCAACTATAAACCTGTGGCAAACTTCCCCTTTTTGAGTAGGTGGTATGAAATGGATTATCTAGATCCATTTCAATCGGGTTTCAGGCCAGAGTTTGGGACAGAAAATACCTTTGTCACTCCATGGGATGATGGGAAAGCAACAGGGGGAATGTAATCCCGTTGATTTGCCTGGACCTCTCAGTGGCTTTCAATACCACTGACCCATGGTATCCTTCTGGACAGGTTGGATGGGTTGAGAGTTGAAGGTACTGCTTTGAAGTGGTTCAGCTCCTATTTTATTCACCATGTCTAGAAGGTGGTGCTGGGGAACAGAACCCTATATAAGTCACATGACTCTATATTATCCCCCAAGCTTTTCAACATGTACATGAAACCACTAGGAGAGGTCATTTGGAGGTGAGAATTGAGATGTCATCAGTATGTTGATGACTCTCTGCTCTACCTCTCATTTTCATCAAACCCAGGTGAGGTGGTTTCTGTTCTGAACAATTGCCTGAGCTTGGTAATGGGTTGGATGAAGGCCAATCAATTGAAACGCAATCTAGATAAGATAAAAATGCTGTTAGCGAGTGCTATGTCTGACCAGTTGTCGGGGGTGGGGGGGAGCTTCAATGGGGTTGCACTTCCCCTAAAGGGCAGATTCCATAGTCTGGGGGTGCCCTTGGATCCAAACCTCTCTTGAGTTTGAGGTAGACTTAGTGGCCAGGAGCACCTTTGCTCAGTTATGGCTGATTTACCAACTATGGCCCTACCTGGACAGACAGAACTCTGCCACAGTTATCCACACCTTGGTCACCTGCCGACTGGTTACTGTAATGTACTCTTTGGGGCTGCCTTTGAAGATGGTCCAGAAATTTCAGCTGGATCAAAATAGGGCTGCATGGTCAGTGACAGGAGTTAGTCAGAATGCGTGTATCATTCCAATTCTGTGTCATCTTCACTGGCTATAAGGTCCGGGCCTAATTTAAAGCACTTGTTTTGACATAGAAAAGCTCTAAATGACTTGGACCATGATAGTTGAAGGACTGCCTACTTCTATATGTACCTATGCATAAAGGAAGTAGACTGTGGTTGGTAAACCACAACCATGAGCATGACACTATTTATATACACCAATATAAATGGACAAATCTTATTCAAGCAAACATCCTGCAACCACACTAATCTCTGCTGGTTTGGGTACACATGCATTCCCCTACTTAATGCTCCGGTATCTCAGGCATCTATTTTCCCTTTTTGTTGTCATTCTCTGACAGATATTTAGTTGGAAGTAAGAAAAAAGGCTTTTTCTGTCATGGAACCCAGGTTATGAAATATTCTCCCCTGTGAAATGTGGCTGTCCCCTTCATTGCCCACTTTGAAGCAGGCATTGAAAACTGTGTTATTTGTGAAGGCATTTTTAGTTATTTTCCTCTGACTTTTCCACTTTTCTGTTTCCACTGTTTTTATTGCTGTTGGTTGACTGGTTCATTGTGCTTTATAAGTTTATATGATTTTGTTATACTGCTTTATTTTAAGATACTGTTATTTTGTTTTATTTTAAGTTGCCCTGAGTGAATGATTTGCCTAAAAAGTAAGGATAGAGATCTTAATATAAATAAATATGGTTGGGCAGAACTTGGTAACTGCATAATCTTCTTTTAGAAGAATTTGCATTCGAAGTATTATCTCAGTGAACACTGTGTGGATCAACACTGTTTGCAGGCATCTTTCCACAAAGATTATTTGACATAATTTAGACTGAATACCTCTGTCTAAAAAGCTAAAATTACAAGCATGCCTCAACAAACTTTCAAGCTGCTAATGACAACTGTAGTAAAAAAGCTTATTGAAGGTACATTGACTGAATTCTGTATTCAGTTGAAAACTAAACTCACCTAAACCTTTTTGTCCAGGGTTTTTTGCAAAGTTAAAGGTAAACTGATAAAAATCTTTAAACTTCATAGGATCTTTTAATTCTTGTTCCAGTCTTGGCAAAAGAGCTTTTAACTTGTCTGTGGCATCACACCTAGAAAAAGATAATATTTCTATAAGACATTAAAAAATCCACAAATAGGCAACTAAAAATCAGTAAGATTAAAGTTAAAACAGTCAAACGATGTTACATCAGCAAGCAAATGTCAATAAACCAGCATTTGCCAAATTAATTAGAATGTAGGGGAATACTGGCAGACCAGGGATTGTTCTAGCACCCTCATAAGCCTACAAAAAGTTTTCCTTGCAAATGTTCCCACTCCAGCCCCCTTCTGAGCATTCCAAGACTAACACCTTTTTAAACTGACCAATTATTATGTTTAATATATTTTACTGCCCATGCACATACAAAGCAGCTTCTAAATTTAAAAATCACATTTGATTAAAATGTAAACACCAAACAGTAACCATAAGAACAGCTGAAGTCAGCAGCAGATAAAACTAAACAACTATTCTCTGCCAAGGTGATAGTCAAGCTCAGCCTAGGTTGGCAAAACAAAAATGATAAAACCATAAAACACAATAGTGTGATATGAATTGATGCTGGGAGAAATGACAGTCTTGTATCTAAAATTAAAAATTATGAGTCTAAAATTAACTAAGTACTTCCATGCTTTGATGCAAACTGGAATCCCTGCTTCATTCCCAGCATACATTGAAAGAGGTGTTATTCTCTCCTTTAACCTTCCTTATTTTGAGAACAGTATAGTGGGGTAATAGGGTGCTAACAGGTGATTCATCTGCTTAAGTGGATATTCCCCTACACAGGTTTGGGAACTCCATGTATGCCTTACAACAGCCAATCTGCCCTCAAACCTAGCATTTATTACATAAAAGAAAAAGCATAAGCTGTACCATCATTCAACCAGATGCCTTCCAAAACTTTATCTCAGCCTGAAATCTAACAGCACATGGATGAAATGAATCTCAGGTGGCAACATATTTTCAAGCAATCAAAAATACTGCTTCCTGGCACTTCTGTGCATTCTTGGTGGCCTTGGGCTTTTGTTTCTTGGATACTAGAAACCCACCACATAAAGCGTATCTCTTTTGATACCAAGGTGAGTTGTTGCTAGTTGCAAAGTCGCGTCTGACCTATCGCGACCCCATGGACAACATTCCTCCAGGCCTTCCTGTCCTCCACCATCCCGCATGAGTATGGAACACAATTATTGATATCACAGAGGAATGTATGTCTGCTGCTCCAAGAAAAACGCCAACTAGAAAATAGCCCTTTTCAATCTCAGCCAGTGTACCTTACACAGATCCCAACTTTCAGAAAACCTGTTTTGTATGACTGAACCAGCAGCAAAAACAAAACAAAAAAATAAACCAACTTTCTTTATTATTGTCTTACAGTAGTAGCATGGACAGGAAAAGGCTACCTGCTCTGTTCCATGCCAAGAATTGTGTGTTCTAAGCATTATTTAATGTTTAATGTCATCTCAATATAATCCCACTTGAGCCTCACAGAACCAGGTTGTGTAAGACTTCTCCCTCTGCTTGCAGTGAGACTAAGAAGGTCTTAGGAATGTTTATTTACTCCCAACCTTTTTATGTCTTTCTTCTTTTTTCGTCCTCTCATCACATGTCAAGGATCCTATTGATGCACATTAAAATCCCTTATCTATTTTTACTTAGAAGGTCTCCTTTTTGGGGGTTGTAAATTGTACACATATGGGGAAGGGGGAGTTTGAAAGCATGAAATGCATTCTAAGAAACACTCTTCTAAGGCAGTAGGTGGAAATTAATCTATATGAGTCTGTCATAAGGCAAATTGATTTTTGCCTACCACATGTCCAACTGATTTGTGAGGATAAGAATCAGACACACTTGACATTTTTGCCAACAAAGCCAAATACAATTTTATTTAATTTAAATATCATTTTAAGTCACAGGCAGGTGACCAGTTCTGCTCCAAGGGCTGGATTGTCCCTTGAATTGAACATTCCAATACATATAGAGACAACCTTTGGATACAACTCGATGTGCTAGAGCACTTTCTGCTAATATACACAATCTCTCCCATTTCACAATATGACAGCCCAATCAAATTAAATAAAAATTTTGGAACACCATCCTAGTCCTTCCTGTTGTGTGTTTCCTCAAATTATACAATGATGTATCCAGACAATATTAAAAATCAAAGAACCAAGATAGCAAGGATCACTTTTTTCACTTTTCTAAGTAAGATTAAGTTTAAAATGATTTATTTATTTATTTATTTATTTATTTATTTATTTATTTATTTATTTATAAATTTGGTATAGTGTTCACTATCAAATATCTTGGGAAGGTCTTACAATAAAACAAAATAGAGCCCAGTATCCATTCTATACGATACAAATCTACTTAAAATCCCAATTTAAACCTTAAAATAATGAGAAAATAAAAAGGGGTTGGCCTGGCGCTGAAAAGAATAAAGTGTTGGTGCTTAGGCAAACCTCTGTGGGGGGCGTATTCCATAACTGGGACACCAACACAGAGAAGGCCCTTCACCAGGTAGCCACCCTCCTAATCTCCTTCATGGAGGGCTTCCAAAGAAGGACCTCCAACCCAGATCTTAAGGGGCGGGGAGGCACATAGGGAAGGAGAAGCTTCTTCATATATCCAGGTCCTAGGGCTTTATAGGTCATCACTAGCACCTTAAATTGGGCCCAGACTTCAGTTGGTAGCCAGTGTAGATGGCAAAAAGGACCATGTTACACGTGCATATCTGCTGGTCCCTGGTAACATCCTGGCTGCTCTGTTCTGAACCAATTGAAGTATCTGGACCATCTTCAAGGGAAGCCCCACATAGAATGAGTTACAATAGTCCAGTTGGGAAATTACCAGAGCATGGGTCACCATTGCTAGGCACTGCTCATTCAGGTAAGGGTGCAGTTGATGAATCAGCTGTAGCTGAAGGGAGGCATTCCTTGCCACAGCAGCCACCTGGAACTCCAGGGACAGCTCTGGGTCAAGAAGCACTCTCAAACTGCACACCCTGTCCTTTAGGGGGAGTGCAACTCCATCCAGAACAAGGCTAAAATCACTTACCTGGAAGGCTGAACCACCTAGCAACAGGACCTCCTTCTTGTCTGAATTAGTCACACACATACACACAAAGCCTCTGAAGTACATAAATTTGTATTCAGACATAGTTGCATTTAATTCGCAATGAAATCAATGAGATTTAAGTTATTGCTTGTTTGACCTACTGTTTTCAATGAGACTTAAGTTAACTAACTTTGTCTAGATTCAACCCAAGTTTGTTTTTCGATATCATCAAGATGAACCAAGGGTATATTCACACCATTCAACTGCAAGATCAACAATTCCCATCAACTGTCTGTCTTCAGCATAAAGCACCTTCATCTTATCCCTGCTAGGAAAAGACCCAACTGTAGGATGATCATGCACATCTAATGGAACCAGGTGCATGGCTAAGAGCAATTTTTGTAGTTCTTACTGAGACAGTTCCCACTGTTAATTAGGCAAGTCATTGTTCAACTTTAAAAGTGGCTTACTTTGTTGGCTATAGGAGCTGTGGAAGTAAATGCTACAAAGAAAGCTCTGGATACATGCACAGTTCCTTTGTCAACAAATGGCTCCTTTGGACTGCAGTGCAGGTCATCTGAGTATAAGGAGGACAATATGAATTAAAGAATGCAATTATTCAGAATGTATACCTTTAAAATAATTCAGAAAGTATTATTGATTCACAAAGAAGAATTTGGAGTCATATTGAAGGCAGCCATACTCACCCCAGTTCTGTCATGCCATCTACAAATTCCTTTTTACTGAATTCACACTGAGTGGCTGCCCTGAATTTCCATGCTATGACTAAAACGCTGATACTAGCAGGGTCCAGGCTTAAATCATCACAAAACTGCTGAATTCCATCAATGCCAATTTTATTCTCATCTTGTGGGTCTGTATTCGAAAACAAAAGAAAACAAAACAAAAAAACCCCAAAATTTGTAAAAAAACAAAAATATTTTAAAGTATTGCAGCTGTTTCACCAACACAAATAGTCCTGCTGATCTACTTTTAAATCACCAACTTCACCATTAAAAAAATGACTTATAAAGTCAGAAATGATTCACTGCAGTAGTAATGGTGAATCAGAACATATACAAACAGCATTTTTGTGTGTATGAACTATAGTAATATTCAACAATAGCAGTAGTAATAGATTAGAAAAAGAATGCACAACATAACACCCACAGGCCAACTGTAGCTCCTCCCTTTTTGTGCATGCCTGAGACAATTCCACACATACATGGCTTGTGCCATTTTTCTACTTCTTTAACAGAAGATCTAGGACTTGCGCTGGCCCATCAAAAGTAGCCCTGATGAAATTTTTGTCCAAACATTTTCTCATGAATTTTGGGGAGTGGAGTAGGCAAAAGTAGAAGAAAACACTAAGGGTTTTATTTATTATCATTATCACTATTATAATTTTAGGTGGTAAGACAAAGAAGATCAAATATTTTGGGAGGACAGAGGACTTTCCAGAAAAGCTGGAACTCCCTACCTCCCCACCTCTGTAACTTTAACAGAGTTTTCCAGCCACTTTAATAACACAGCTGCAATTGGTGGCTAGGCAGGTCATGTTTCTCTTCAATGCCTCAAATCAGAATGACACTACTTCATAATGCATTATCATCCCAGAAGCACAGTTGATGAAAAAAAATGGCTAACAATACTGCCTCTGAAAAGATGCTACATGTTAACATAGGCTCATTCTATGTAAGGTAATATGGTGGTCCGCCTGCTCACTGACTGCAACTTTGCTTCACATGAAGCAGCCAAAACACTTAGCTTAAAATGGGAATGAGTAACTTGTGACCCACTAGCTGTTTTGATCCACCACTCCCATAAACCCTAGGTGGCATAGCCAAGATGCAGGGATTTTGGGAATTATAGTCCCAAACAACTGGAAGGCCGTAAGCTGCCTCCCACTGACTAAAAGCAAGGAAAATAAACCACAGCCTTTCTGAATGATAGGCAGCCAGCCTCCCAAGTGTTTGTCTCTTTACCCAAAAGAAAATAGCGGATAAAGTCTGAAGAGTAATACCTTTTATTCAGTGTGGCTGATATGTATACTGGTCTAATTCTAGTATTAAAATAGTACATTGTGATGAAATGTCTATCACCTGGAATGAGGACATACTGTACAGCATACAATTTAGAAATGACCCAGGTGAGTTATGGGTTATTGGCACTATTATGTACACCTTATAACCAATGGCTAATATTTGCCAATATTCTCTCAATATTTCTGTATTGTCTTTTAATGTTTTATTTTGGTCTGTTCTCTGACTGTAATAAAGATATTAGTATTATTAGCTGAAAATGTGAAGCTACAAAAGTAGATGTGCATTCTTTGCCAGGTCAAGTGCGAGAACCCTTACATCCCTTCATCTATTCTGGCCCTCTTCTTCCTGTATTCAGTAGTATGCAATAAGAACTGCCATTCCTTTTTCACTCTTTTTAGCCAGGCAACCACGAAATGACCTACCTGCATGAGAGAATAATTCAATAGGTGAATTATTGGGGGAGCAAAAGCCTTGTGAGCTACTGATGGTAAATTTAGAAAGGCCAAGGGCTTATGCTGAAATAGGCCAAAAGAGAGATTCAAGGAAGAAAAATGAGGAAACAGAGAACCCTGTGTTGGTGCAAAAAGGAAGAGAAAATACTATTGGTTGCATAGAGAAAAGGGGAGAGACCTGTGAGGTGGAGCAACAAAGATGTCTGTGGAATGCAGGGACCTGGAGTGGGGCAGAAAGAAAAGAAAAATGCAGTGAAATCTCCGAGAAAATTAGTGTGGCTGCAATTTAAAAAGAATTGTGCAATTGTGCAATTTATGGCCCACTTAAGTCCCTTAAAAGTTTAAAAAAGGCCTTCAGGCCTATTTAGTTGTTCTGCTGTGTTCAATTTAAAAATAAAAAATAATTGTCATACTAATAGATATAAACTAAGATATCCAAATAATGTCAACAGGATTGAGTGCAACATTATCACTTAAGAATCAGTGGCAAAATAAATAGCCACAAGATGTAATATACCAGCACTTCCAGGCAAATACCTCTGGTCCGAGGTTATAGATGAAGGGTTCATGGACCAATTTGTCCTTAAATTAATCCACTGGCAAAATACCTTATTTATGCTTGCAACAAAATTACTATAGTTTGCCAAGTTACTACTGGTGCCCTCCACAACCCCACTAAGTTAAAGCACTTGAAACTAATTCACACAACATCTTAAAACCAGATACTCTTAACTACCTATAAATGAGGCTTTACAGATGTCGCATTAATGCAAGAAAAATCCAATATATGGCCCTGTTTTCTGTTCCTGAAAGATCTTATACAGAAACAGACATTAGAGTAGCATACTCAGTGTCTTTATGGGAAAACCAGCCTACACGATATGAAAATGAAACTTTGTTACTAAATTCAGCATTTGTGAATTTGTATTACATGTACCTGAACTTAAACTTAATATCAATACCAGCTTTTTTAATTTCCTTAAATGTTCAGTAAAATAATTTGAAATAATCTCCCCAATGCACCCTACATTTTACAATACAACTGCAGAACTGTCAAAGACATTCTTAATTTTAAATTGGCCTGGAACTCTAGTAACATTTGAAATATACCTTGATACTAAACAGTATCAAATATCTTTAGTTGGTATTTCATTCTCTCTAACCTATATCTACCAGACTAACCTGAACATGTTAGAAATCCAGGAATGGCGTGGCAAACTCCTAACAAGCAATTGCACATAAATTTAAAACCTTTTCTACTATTATCCACAAACCTCTTTAAGGGGATTGAGAAAACAGATGATTGCTCTAAGAGGTTATTATATAATCATGTGTACAAGGTGAACAGATTGCCTAATTTTAATTCTATGGATTACTCTGTTTTTCATTCATCTCCCTAAAATCCTGCCCTTTAAGCAGATATGTAAGTGCAGGTGCATATTAAAATGCTCTACTTCAAGTCCTTTGGATTAATGACTTCTCTAATTTCACCATAAAACTTAAGAAGGGAAGTAAGTCACTTTCTCTATATACATCTATTGCAAAGCAGATGTACATCCCATCTAGACCGCAACTGTTTATGAAATAAGTTTTAAGAAAACATATTTCAGGTTTCAGCATAATACTACTTAATGTTTTTATACAAACTGTCAGTTAAAGTTTTTTTTAAAGCTGATTAAGTATTCCATCTTTCACAGAATCATAGTAGAGCAAAAAGGGGCCAGAGGGGCATTGGGTCCAGCCCCCTGCTAGAGCAGGACCCCAAGTCACATGATCCCTCTCAGATGTCTGTCCAGCTGCATCCTGAATGCTTCTAGAGTAGAAGAGTCCACAACCTCCATAGTTAATTGGTTCCATTATCGAACTGCTCTAGCAGTCAGGAAGTTCCTCCTGATATTCAGCTGGAACCTGGCTTCCTGTAACTCTGAGCCCATTATTCCATGTCCTGCACTCTGGGATGATCTAGAAGCGATCCTGCCCTTCTTCTTTGTGACAGCCTTTCAAGTACTTGTAGAGTGCTATAGTATTTCACCTCAGGCTTCTGTTCTCAGGTTAAATATGCCCAGTTACTTCAATCTCTCCTCTTAGGGCTTTGTTGCCAGTCCTTGGATCATCCTTATTGCCTTCCTCTGAATTCTTTCCAGCTTGTCTAGTTCTTTCTTAAACTGTGTTGCCCACAACTGGAGACAGTACTCCAGATGAAGTCTACACAGTGCTGAGTAAAAGGGAACCAGTACTTCATGTGATTTGAAAGTAATATTAAAATAGCATTTGCCCTTTTTTGCAGCCACATCACATTGTTGATTCATGCTCAGCTTGTGATCTACAACAATTTCAAGATCCTTCTCACTTGCAGTATTGTTGAGCCAAGTGTTCCCCATCTTATAAAGAAGTATTTGGTTTCCTTTTCCTAAGTACAGAACTTGGCAATTTGTCCCTACTGAAATTCATTCTGTTGTTTTCAGCCCAGTGCTCCAACCTATCAAGATCATCTTGAATCTTGTTTCTGTCTTCCAGGGTATTAACTATCCTACCCAATTCTGTGTCATCTGAAAATCTGATAATCATTCCCTGCACTTCCTCATTCAAGTCATTAATAAAATAGTTGATAAGCACTGTGCCCACGACTGAATCATATGGTATCCCACTTGTTACCTCTCCCCTGTTTGAGAAGGTACCATTGATGAGCACTCTGAGTCCAATTTTTTAGCCAAGTATGGATCCACCGGATCATTGTTCCATCTAGCCCACTTTTAACTAGTTTGCTAACCAGGAGATCATGCAGCACTTTGTCAAAAGTTTTGCTGAATTGTGTCCTCAGCATCCCCATAGCCCTAAAGGAAATAAATGCTAGTATTTGCCTAACTGTAACTTACCACTCATAGTTAAAAGAAAAGACAATTGTAATATGCCTTGCTTATTCTTACTACAGTAGTGCACAAGAAGCACAACAGCTTCAGAAAATGATCAGCTGTACCCATGATTTACAACTTTGCTGATCAGCATGGGTTCAAAAATTTGGTGACTATGATAGTGAATAGCTCCTAGTATACTCCACCTCCTAGTATATATCACTATAAGAATTATAAGTTTTCCAAAAGTGAACAGTGGCACAAAGGAGGAAAATGGCAATTTCAGAAAGGTGCCAGACTATATTTTATGCTATAAACAGCATTGGTGACATAGGTCAACGGGGGCAAATTGCTACATACATACATATTCAGTGTCTGCCGGTCACGCTTCCCTATAAAACTCCCTAACCAGGCAGTGAGTATAACAGGGATGAAGCTCACTTCTGAGGAGGAAGTAAGAAAGCTGAGCATTATTGACATTACAACCTAAATATTTTTGTAATATTTTGCTTATTGGTAAACTGAAACATTGGTTAATTAATATAAAGCAGTGACACCAGAGTAGAGCTGCACAAGGTTGTGCTTATGCCTATAGGACCATATATCATGTTCACTCAAGGGCCACAAACAGAGACATACATGTGCATGGATATACATACATATGAGTATCTCAGTGATCCTGATATAGATAGACCTTTCCACTGCTACCAACAGTGGAGAAAAAGCAATCTGTAAGAGGATCTCTGGGAAGAAGTAGAAAAGCTTTCTCTCCCACAGAAATCCTGATACAGATCATTCTTCCCTTGAAGGAGGAAGAGTGATCTACACCAAGACTGCTGTGGAACAAAACATTGAGCAACAGACAAATCCTGTTGGGGATCACAATTAAAGCCTTCTGGAAGGGCATATCTCTCTCATTTCATCAGTTGTACACCTCTGGCATAGTAGTTTTCCCTCTAAAAATCAGAGGAAATCATTTTAAATTGAATGTACACTTCAATCTAGTGGCTTGTCAACTGAGTTTAGAAATGTAGGATATTAAAATACAACTCTTATCTCTTGTAAAATGCATATAATGTGGGATTGGCTTGCTCAAGTTCTGGATTTAATTGTGTAATTTGCTTACAAATAACTGGAGACAGGGAAGCATCTGTAATGTCCTAATAACTTCCCACTCTTGAATGCATATTTTTAATCTATATTGCTTTGAGTTTTGTTTTGATGACAGAAAAGTGGTACAGATAAATGAATGCTTAGTTCCATGTAAATATGCTGAGGGATCTAAAAGTGAAATCCTAAAAAACGTATGGACAAACAGTGACCAAAACAGTGACCAGAATTATGATTCAATTCTGCTTTCAAGCTGAAGCAATATCTTCAAGGCTAAAGGGGTCAAGGATGTTGGAGTGCCTGCCTGAAGCTGTACATTGCATCTCCAAGCTATACTCTGCCATATGACTATGAAAATTATCGCTAGAACTGAGGATAGCAAAGATCATAAAAATCCCTTTTACAAGTATTTGTACTTGTATTTGGATTCCCAAGTACACAAAAACTCTATAACTTTGAAATACTGCAAAGATACACAGAACAGCCCTATATAAATAATGAGCCATTAGAAAATATATGAATTAAGAATTATTGTTTTGTGCCATATCTTTAATTTTAGAGTCGAAGGCATAGGAAAGATTACACTGAAAGCAGAAAGGAATCAATCTTAGTTGAAAAATGTGAAGGTTTGAGGTTCCAGAGGAAAATGATTGGTAGAGACAAAGGGACACAACTCGTAGAAAAGATGGAGACAAATGGGATATGATATAGAACAAAAATCCAAGCAAACTACAGATTTACATCATAGTAGTTCAAGAGTGACAGTCACACATGTTGTAGTTTCTGCTACTTCTCTACCTGCCAAGCCACACAAGAAGTTTACTGAGCTATATTTCAATAGTACAGTACTGTGAGGCATATTGCTCTATCTTTTAATTTGTTGCAAAGCTACAAAAATATTCCAATTTAACAAGGATGATCTACTGGGAGAGCCAGGGGTAGCAAGACTCAGCACAAGGAGAATAATAATAATATTTCCTTGGCTAGAATAATAATACTTGCTAGAATGAAGTGTTTGTTTATGTTACAAGGGAAACAAGGGCCTGCAACCACCATCTGGAATAACAGCAATGACCATCTGTTAGGTAGTGAAGACATTTGTATGCTGCATCATCCATGGAGTAAGTTCCTACAAATAAAAACACCCACTTTGGGCCAGAATCTTTTGAGAGAGCTGGGAATGTACACAATGATGTATCTGCATTAAAATACAATATATTTAACATTACACCAAAGTATTTTGGTCACATTACTAGTTCTTAGTGCCCAATTTTGTAGAACTTCCCACTAGTGATTCATTTCCTTAATGATTTACCAATCATCAATGAGATGCAAATAGCCTTGTTCAGAAATTTTGAGTAACGTGTGAGTAAAGAGACAGAACTCAGGAAAGTGTTTCAACTGCATCTCCATGCTTAGATAGAAGTTTTGTACTTTAAATTTCCATAAAATAATTCATTCAAATCACAACTGGATCTAAGATCTCTGATTAAAAGCAGGCTTCCCCACGTGTATCCTTTCCTGGTCCAGAATTGTAAGTAAAGATGTAACATGCAGTGAAATGTGGATGTTGCATATCCTACTGCACTGCTTTTAGTGACGTGTGTAGATGTGCAATCTAATGTGAACAGAATTACACACTTGGAGGTATATCTGAAAGCACAATCACTGAAAGTACTCCAGCAAGCGAAAACAGCATCCTGCACATGGGTGCACATTCAGTTTATGCCACAGCTCCAACAAGTGCTTCAGATGAGCAATGTGATATAATTATAAAACTCAACCCATTCAGTGCTTTATATATAATTAGATTGCAGACATATGCATGATGGTTAGCTTGCTTTACCTCAGAATCAAAGGTATGTTTTCGAATACTCATTTTTTTTCTAAATTTTAAAAAATAAGTGTTTCATATAGAAAACTGAAAGATAAATGATGGGGTGAAGAGGGCAAGAGAACCTTCATATTTGTTTTGCTCACTACAGCAGTATATACAGCAGGAATACAGAATGTCTTTCAGTCTAAGAACCAAATTCCATTTTGGAAAGCTCTTTGGGACTACATTCCAGTAGTGGGCAGAGCTGATGGCAGGAGATGTGGGACCAAAACTACAAGCACATTTTAGCTTGAAGTTCTTGCTGCCAGTTACCAGGACAACAGAGAGGCATTTCAAACTTTCACAATGGGAGGGCAAAGGGGGATAGCCATCTGTGGAATCCCAGGGGGATGGATCTCTCAATATAGAGAAAAACCATTAACAGAAAAAAGTATACTCATGTTGGCAGCTATGTATGTAACCATGTATGTTCATGCTCACCCAGAATTCTTGAATTCAATGGGACTTGCTTCCTACTAAGTATGTTCTATATGGCAACCTTCCCCCCACCCCCAATTAAAGGCTACATCTGGAAATCAAGGTCAAAGGAAAAAGTGATAAAATAAACCTTACCTTTATACCTGTTATACAGTTGTTCTAATTTCTTTCTGTCTATTGAAATTTTCATGGATTCTTTGTAGTACAAGTCAGGGTTCTGGAAGTAGTTGTCAGTTGCCACTTCTAGTTTCCATTCATTCTGCATTAAGCAATATATAGCAGTCCTTTCACCAGCCTGGGTAACTGCCATAAACTGGCGGACCTTGTCCTTCTGAGATGATTTAAGCTTATGCTTTGGGATGCAAAAGAAACAGGAAAAACAATGAATCCAGATGTTTTTAAATTATACTATTACTGTTTATGTTTGAAGAGGGATTAGTTCTCCCATAAGAAAATGAATTTCACTGCAGCATAACCCAAAGAAATCTTTGTTCTTCTGATAGCATTTTCTTCTGAAAACTGAAATGACAGCACATGTGTGTATATTTTAGCATATACATATAAACAAAATACATTCCGATCACTGCTTTAAATCTCTAATTTCATCAGCACCTTTCCCCAGTAAGAGGAGCCAACTCTTCTGCACAGTGACATTCCATTAAAGATGTAGAATTGTCAGTCAGAAATCTTTAAAGTTGTGATGTTACAACAAATATACAAAATTGGATTAAAAATAAAGGTCAACCCTTATACAACATGCTTCCTACACTATGAAATATTCAGAAAACATTGACACCACCTATATACAGTTGCCTAGGAATAAGACCCATGGAGCTGAATTGGATTTATTTCTGAGCAGACATGCAAAGGATGTTGGTGAGGGTGAGGAACAAGCAGTCTCAGAATTAGGCATTTCATGAATAGTGCTTTAGATTATAAACCAAGACTTTTAAAACATTCCCTCTAAAAACACAAAGCAATCCTATGCATGTTAATACAGGAAAAGTTCTATAACTTCTAGCAACCACCTTTACTTGCTGGGGAGTGCTGAGACTTTTAAGACTTTTAAACATGGATAGGATTGCTCGATAAATCTCTTCCAGGGTGTGTTTTTATTGCATTTTTTATTGTCAATACTGCATTTTCCACATTAACGAGATAGCATGAGAAACTAACAATTGGATTCTATCTGGGGACTCATGTCAAAATTGAGGTTCCTACTTTTACAATAAGAATTTTCATAAATTTCAGATGCAGTTTACCCATGTAACAAATTATGGTGAGATTTCACTTCTATATCTCAGTCAGTCCCACACAGGAACAATGTGAACTAGTCCTGAGAGCAATCATGTTGAAAGAAGAAATTCTTGTAAAATGTAGTTCTCCAGTGACATGCGTGCCAGCTAATAAGAGGATTCAAAAATTAAGGTTTAATCAAAGTATAGAGTGCACTTTTTGCTCCTCCTCTGGTGGATTTTGATTCATAATTCACTTTTTAAGGCCGCTGAAGGGCTCACAAGGTAATAGAGCTTACACAGCCAAAAATGTATTTTAAATAATTAACAGCATATTATTACTGAGCCTTAGCTATGACTCTAGAACCAGGACTAAAAACCACATTGTCTCTCCCTTAATTTAGGATACTCATGGCACACTTTAATTCTTCTCAAAGAAACTAGTTGGCTTCAGGGAAAGCAATGGGAGAAAATAGGTCTTGCCAGTGCAGGGACTGAGGACAGGAACTGAGCATGGCTGCATTTTAGTTTTAACCAAACAGAATTTGTATGGTATAAAACAAATGGGAGGAAAACCAGCGGAAGAAAATACACCTGCGACTCCTTCCTACCTGCGGGACGACTTCCCCCTGGCCTACGAATCTCTCTATAAAATCGACCTCCTTACAGAATAGACTGAGGCTTTTGAGAAGCCAGTGGGGTGGTGGAGGGGGATATAGCCTCGGGCCACTCTGTGACGCGCAGGAGAGAAGAAAAAAAGGGGACCGCCACGGAGAGGCGATAGTGGTGGGAAGGGGAAGCGAGAGAGGTCAGGCTGTAGCAACCTGTCAGTTTCTCCCCTGCCCAAAAAAGGGAAAGGTACGTGGTGGTGCTGGTGCTAAGAGCCAGGCAGTTGCGCTGCTGCTGCTGCGGCTGCGAGCTTCGCCGCGGTGCCTGTTCCCGAAATACCCACGCAAACCCCCCTTTTGCGCTCTTTTTCGGGGTTATAATCGCCTCAGGCTAAGCGGGGAGCTACCCTCGCTAGCGGCTCCCTGCAGTTAGCGGGCAAGCGGGGGTGGAAGCAGGGGGAGCGCCGAGGCTTTGCCCGCGTGGGGCGTCTGGTCCGTTGCCCCCTTCCTCGCGACCTCCCTTGATCTGCGCGGAGAGAAGGCAGAGAAAGAGCGAAAAGGAAAAAGGTCGCTCGCCCTCAGGCTGCGGCGCAGCGGCTGCCCTCGCCCTCACAGGAGCGGCTTTCCCCCTTCCCCCGCCCCGTCTTCGAGCACACAGACGGGACGCGAGAGGAGAGTTCATACGACCGGTGCCGTCTCACCGGCTCAACCTACCATTTTATCAGCAGCGCTTTCAGCCAACTTCACTACCCAGCGCCAGCGCTGCCGCCGCCGCCGCCGCCACGGCGTCCTTCTGCGCACGCGCGTACCGGGCTGCCTTCACCTCGCCACCCTCCTCCTCCTCCGAATCTTAACCACCTGCCATGGTCTGGTCTTGCTTCAGAAATCTCAGACCTACCCTTCTCGCGACTCCCGCACTAAAGGGGAAAAAAAAGTTTGTCACTCTACTACGACAACCACCATCACCTTCTCTACGGGAGGTGAAGCAAAGGTATCAACAAGGCCCGACAAAAAGTAAAGAGGAAAAGAGGAACTACGTTACCCATGGTACACTCTGTCTTCAATTGGATAGTACCATAGACTTATAACGGTAGATCCATATTTCTCAGTACCAGCTTCCCGGTTAACTTAATTCACCTTGGCAACTCAGCTGCAGAAGTGACTCAAATCAATGGTAAAATCACAATTTTAGCGCAACAGTGACTGGGCAGCAGCATGTTGCTCTCCCAACTCCCTATAAGTATGTAAAAATAATAGAAACTTTTAAAAACTTGGGTATGAATTTTTTTAAAAAAGTTTCTAAATATTTCAGGGTAATAAATCTACATGCAAATCAATGGAACAGTAGGTTTTCTCCATGCGCTGCAGTGCGTGATACGAGCTACGGAAATGTGAAGGGAAAATTTGATCAAACTGTCTTTTGTTGCAAACAGAAAATGAATGAATCTGAAGCTGTAAAGCCAATCAGACTCCAGCTACATATCTAACCGTGTGTGTCTGTGTGTGTGTATACACATATAACACGAGTGGGAAAGCTCATGGATTCTTGTTAGCTTCTGCTCGTATGTATGTATGCCAGTAAGAGAGGAAAAGCATCAAAAATAAACTTCTCTATTATTTCAATCTTTGTACTGTCGCTCGCTTTTATTTTGTTTTTTATTTTATACTGCGGTTTAAATTTTTTACATTGCATTTTATTTTGGTGTATTTTATGCTTTTAACTGATGCTAACTACCCAGAGAGTTTCGGCTATTGGGCAGTACAGAAATGCAATAAATAAGCCCGGAAGCTACATCTTGACGCCATCGTCACTCTACATGTCCTAGCTTTGTGGCTTGCGCGCAGGAGGGAGATAATTCTCTACTTCCCACACTGCATCGCGGGGAAACCGACTGTGATTCACTACATTTCCCATATAGGCACTGCGTCCGCTAACGGGAGGAACTACATTTCCCACAAGGCGGAAAAGAAGTCGAAAGTTGTTCAGTCGTCCCCTCCCCTCGCAGAGCATTACGCGACTGTGGGAAGAGACAGCGAAGCTCGAGGCTGTGGTCACTTCTGAGTTGTGGCTGGTGAGGTCATACGGCGCCTGACTCGTTATTTAAAGGGACCGTGCCCGAGATTCCAGTTGGGCGGGGACCTCCGGCTTGGGCACCTGAGCAGAGGCGGAGGAGGAAGGCTGTCGATGATGGGGACGTGGCTCGCACTTTTCGGCACAGCGGCGATTTTGCTGGGCTGCCGTTGGACCTAGTCGTGCCGGGAGTAGGCCGGGAATGGGCTGCAGAGGTCTCTCGGTCTGTCCTTCGACGCTAACTGGGCTGGGCAGCCAAGGCTGAGGGAGCCCCGACTGTCTGCATGGGAAAAAGAGGTACAGGCGTCAGCGTCTGCGGGAGCGTCGAGGCAGAAGCCCTCCATCTTCGGCTGTGAGGTAATAAATGTGGCGGGGGCAGCCGTCGCTTGGATTGGCGTGGTGGTGGTGGGGAGCCTAGAGGTTTCAATGGATAAAGGTCGGATACTCGGGGCCGGATCCTGAACATCCTGTAGGGCGCAGTCCTATACACGTTTAGGCAGAAATAAGTCCTGCAGCTCCGGGGAATTGTAGGGAGTTGTAGGATTTATTTTTGTCTAAACAGGCATGTGATTATTTATGTAGCTGTTAGATTTATATCCCAGCTTTTTGTTTTTAAAGAACTCAGAGTGGCTTCCATCGTTCTGCTGCTGCTCTCCATCTTATCCCACAACAACAACCCTGTGAGGTAGGCTGGATTGAGAGTCTGTGGCCCAAAGTCACCCAGTTCTCTCCATGGCTGAGTAGGGAAGAGCCCAGATTGCCTGAGTTGCAGTCCCATGCTCTTAAACACTATGCTACAGTGGCTCTCATCCTTACTAACCCCTCTTCACTCACATATTTGGTGAAAGAGTGGGTCCTCATCTTCCTCCTTTCTAATTAATTTGGGAAAGGAGGCTTCTAAAACTGCATTAGTAACTTAAATGTAGAGCCGCTTGGAGAGGGGGTTTAGCAATCTGCTGCTAGAGATTAAGCGTGTGACTGGAATGGTAATTTAGCGCTGTGACACTTGATTTCAGTTTTGTGGGAAAACTGTCTTTGGGGTTTCTTGCACTCAATTCTACTTATCCTTTCAGTCCCTCAAAAGAAGCACAAGTTTCTAATTCAGGGATCCTGAGTCAGGAGCCCCATATGATAAAGAATTATTATTTATTTTTAATGTAAGTACATGAATTTGTATGAAATGCATGCAACTTTCTAGCAAGTATACATAGGCTTTAACAAAAGTGCATCAATCATCCAAATAAGTATCTGTTTTAAGGTGGTGTATATAAGCTACCTGCTCGTGTATCTACAGCATTATAAGGTCCTCAGTTCATTGTATTATAGGAAGTGAAAATCCTTCCAATTTGTGGTTTCACTCTTTTAGCTGTCTAAAGGGCACAGAAAAGTGATTTCACTTTCCATTTGTTAATTTATATGAAACAGGTAAACTATTTTTTAAAGTGTATACATCACTAAATATTAAAGACTGCTCCAATACAAAATTTATTTGTGTAATAAACTTCTCCTGAAAAGCAATTAGAGGATATTGCCAAAATATGTTTAAATGAAGGAGTAGCTGTATTGTATTATCAGCAAATAACTGAATTTGACTATACGAATATACAAGATGTTGCAGTATCCATTAGAGATGAAATAAAGGTTTTGCTGAATAAGAGTTCATAGACATGACAATTAGATCCTTGATGTATCTAAACATGAGGAATAATTGTGATAAAGGTTAGAGCAGCCTTCTCCTAACATGTGCCCTTTAGATTGCAAATGCCAACATGGAAAAGTCGGGGGTGGATGGCTAGGAAATTACAGTTACTCTGGGAACAAATTGGTAGAGTGGCAGAAGGCAATATAGGTGATAAGATAAGGCTAGGGAAGTTCATATAACATGCTGCAGAACATGGATCTTGAGGAAGGGGCTGCAAATGGCTTGCTATATAGAGAGAAAGAAGTTGCTTGACAAGTGGAAAGGGTACACTATTCCAGGCAAAAGGAGAAATACCATGGTAGGAAGAAAGGAGACATGTGATAGATGGGAAGGATAAAAGGTAGAAAACAAGTTGAGATACATAGGTCCTCATGGCATGATTTAATGATACTGTGATGATACAGAAAGATGGCAAAGATGAGCTGTATTTTATGCTGAAGGCTATATTACCTCAGGGTAATCCATCGGGCTGGCAGTGGGTGGGACTGGGTGACACGAGAGCCAAAAGTGAGCAGGGACGCCACACCCCTTCTTTCTCTGTGCCCCCCTTTCCCCCCTCTCTCTGTCCTTGTAGTTTGACTGCAAAGTTGCATTTTTGGTCATTAAAAACTTGATAATAAGTAAGATGGTTTCTTGAAGGATCACCTTGTCCCATATAAACCTACCCGCCCATTGAGGTCTGGGCATGACATCCTTCCAAAAGAGCCATTCCTAAAGAAAGTGAAAAGAATGGCAATTAGAAGGCCATTTTGGTGGCTGCCCCTCACCTTTGGAATGGGCTCCCTACAGAGGTCACTGCTTTATTTTGGCGCCAGGTGAAAACTTTTCATAAGCATTATGAGACCTGATTTTTAACAACTGGTTATCTAAAAAATCATGTTCTGCCAGCAGTTGGGTTTTGTTTTGGGTTTATTTTATTTCATATTCAGGAATTCTAATTGTTGTCTTTATTTTATTGTTGTCTGTCACTTAGAGCCCTGTCTGGTTATTCAGCAGCCCATAAACGCAATCAATCAATCAATAGGTAAGAGTGTCATGGCAGAAACATATTGTATTAATGGATACCAGCTGTATAAAAAAGAAAAAGAAAAGACAAAATGAGAGCAGAGAAGAAAAGGGAAGGATGTGAATGGATCATAGAGGAATGTGTGGCTGAAGATGTTCTGGGGCTGAGGAAGAGCAGGATAGCTGGAAAAGAAGCTACAGGCTGGAATGAAAAAACTCTGCCTTGATCTGGTCAGAGGCTTGTGGCTCTTGAGCAAAAGGAAAAAGACTCCAAATAATCAAAGGATCAACTATATAAAGCTAGCATAATTAATAGAAAATGAAGATATTGCAGCCAGTTATGTTTTGCTTGTGTGAACTTTGAATTAAAGGGAAAATGCCAGGCAAAAAACCAGACACAGTATACTTCAGTACAAATGGTTTCTAATAAAGGTTCATCTGAAAATAATGTCAACTTGTATTTATCCATCTTATGCTACAGATTACTTTAGGGAGAAGGAATATTTTAGTGTTGAGGATATGTATGGAAAGGAGTATGTGCCATATAAGATGATTTTTAAAAGAAATCATAGCTATTTATTTTTAGAAAGGAATATCTGGATTGTACTTGTTGTAAGTAATTATGTATTTTACTTCTGTTTTTAAAATGTAGGATTGGGATAACCAACTATTAATTGTCCACATAAGAAGATCAAGCAACCATTACAGTGGTTAGTGGACAACTATTAATTGTCCACGTAAAATTAACTAAACAGCATTTAATATTATCCAAAGGAAAAATATTTAACCATACTGAAGAATATTCTATCTTCCCAGTTTGACTGATGTTAACTATTGCTATGTTTTGGATAAAAAGTAGACCAAGGAATAAGACATTTCGAATACAAAGGAATTTAAGCTTGAATAAAGAAGATTGTGCAATGTTTAACCTGTTTTATCCTCATTCTTTCTGGAATTTGAATTTATATTTGATTCAGTTATCCTAAAGTATACTCTAAAGGACAGATATTTCTATTAATTAGTCATATTGCATGTATATTTGAGATGCAAAAAGCTTATGACAGAACATTTGGAATAATTTCTGAGTGTTTTCCTCAGTAAAACTGGACAATGAGAACAACTGGATTCATTTCCTTAGGGGTATTAGCATCATTGCTTTGCTGTCAGCTAATAACCTCTGCCGAACATGAGGATATAGTGCAACATGCAATAAAATTGCATCGTGGGAAAGGAGCTGCTGTTACACAAAGGAAACAGTGGCTTGTAGAAAACTGCAGAAAGCTCTCTGGCCTCCTGCATCAAAAGAATGTAGTTCTCAACAAACTAAAAAATGCAATAAGAGCAGTGGAAAAGGATTTGGGGCTGTCACTTGAAGAGAGGACTTTTCAGGTTCACACATTTGAAATTTTTCAAAAAGAGCTAAATGAAAGTGAAAACTCGGTCTTCCAAGCGATCCATGGTCTCCAAAGAGCTCTACAAGGTGATTACAAAGATGTTGTGAACATGAAAGAAAGCAGCCGGCAGCGATTGGAAGCTTTGAGAGAAGCTGCAATAAAGGTGAGCTCTCTTTGTCTTTGCCATGTTAACATTGTACAAAACTGAAGAACAGAAGAATAATTGTAGTATGACAGAAGGATATAGGCTGGTTTTGACAAACTTGCTATCGTGATAGGGAAGTGGAATTATAGGGTTGTACAGTTTGGGATATAGGCTGGTTTTAATGGCCATACCAGAAATTCTAAGTGGCCAGGTGGTGGGGAGGGACTATGCCCTGTTGGTCTCTACTATCTAAAGGTGTTTTTTTTTCCTTGAGGAAGTCAAGTCTGAAAATTCTTCCCTCTACCCTGCCTTTCCAGAGGGGAATGCCAGGCAGGGGAAGGGCTAGTAGCTCTTCCATCTACCTCTCTTCTTCCAGAACAGAAAAGACTGGGAAAGGGACTGCCTGCACTTTTTTGCTGGCACCAGACAACTATCCTACCAGAATCATTGCTGGCTTATAACCTGGACAGCAATGAGAGGTTTTCTTGTGGGTATCGGGCATGGTGGTAGGGTTTGGTTCAGGAGCACAGTGGGGCCTCCCATCCTGGTCCAGCTCAGTCCCATTCGTGCTAGCAATTTAGCTTAAACATACACACTGATCCAAACACACATAGTCGCAGCCTTATTGATTGCGCTTGGTAAAGTCATGTGTCTCACTGTAAATTTCCTGACAGGGTTATTGTGATTATACATGATTAAAGCTTTAGCTTCCTTGATGAAATACTTTTAATTCATGTCTGCTGGTGGGAATAAGAATATATATCCACTCACACGAGTGTATAAGTATGTACATCATATGTAACCTGTCTTCATTTTTAAAACTCCCTTGCAAAACTTAAATAATAACTCCAGCGTTATTGGGAATCTTGTGGCTGAAAGTTAGTTCAGGAACCACATAAGAGTACTCAGAGTACTTACCTTGCAGCTTTTTCAAAACTCAACTTTTCAGTTTTGTTAGTGTTTCAGCAAAATGAGATATCAATGTTACATTTAAGGTCTGGGGAAAAAAACCTTAGCATTTTAACAAATCGTAACAGGAGGAAACCGAATACGTTGAACTTCTAGCAGCAGAAAAGCATCAAGCTGAAGCCCTGAAAAACATGCAGCATCAAAATAAAAGTTTATCGATTCTTGATGAGATTCTTGAAGATGTAAGAAAAGCAGCTGATAGGCTGGAAGAGGAGATAGGAGAGCATGCCTTTGATGACAACAAGTCAGTAAGTTTTTTTTAAAGATATTGAGTATATAGCTATTCAGATCTGTTACGACAATAACAATTTATTGATGCTCTAAAGTTTTAACAGTTGGGGAACAGAAGGTAAAAATAATTAACAGGCATATATGCAGAAGGAAAAAAAGGGGAAATGTCTGCTTCCATTGCCTGTTCTGATTTAAAAGACTATGGCATGGGGAGGAACCTAAGAAAACAATTTTCAGTCTTATTTCAGTGGTGAGAGAAAAGCACAAGCATTACAAAGTAGTGTTCATATTCCATTCTACAAAAGCATTTAAAACAATCAAACTAGAAACCTTGAACTTGAGAACATTACATGGTAACTTATCTCCTTGAAATGTAAATAAATGGAATATATTTTAAAGCAGTACAAACAGATTTTATAAACTGGAATGCCAGACTTTGGGATACTGTAGAAGAGAGGTTTTTTTCTATGTTAAATTATTCTTCTCCCTTTTATTCTCTGGAAAAAATAGGAATATTAAGAGTTGAGTCCAATTAATCTTTCCCATCAATTGAATGGCTTCTGTTAATGGAAGTAGGATGGGGCAATGTTTCTTAGGTGATACAGCTACTATACATCCTCAATATTGCTCTGGAGACTGGGCGGGGGTAGGGGGTGCATTGAGGAAAGTTCCATTGCAGTAGCATGGTTTTTGATTTTGCTCTAAAATAGATGCACTGATAAATATTTATTTCCTGTACAGGTGAGAGGAGTTAATTTTGAAGCTGTCTTAAGAGTGGAAGAGGATGAAGCAAACACTAAAAGAAATATTTCCAAAAGGGAGGTGGAAGATGATTTGGGGCTAAGTATGCTTATTGATTCTCAAAACAATCAGTACATACTTACTAAGCCCAGAGATTCTACAATTCCACGTGCTGATCATCATTTTATAAAGGTACACTGTTATAAATGGAACTGAACTAGTTAAAGATTTTAGTATTGGCTACATACCTATCTTTTTTAAAATATAAGAACTAGCAGACTTATTTTGCTTTTTATACTTCAGAGCATACAGAAACATTCAAGCATAGTAAAATCCCTTTGATGTACACCAAAATTCTAAGTTAAGAATAGAAATCTTTTCATAGTTGTCATCTTGATTACCCTTGTTGAGACAATTTTGTAAGTATGCAGACAATTTTTAATGTTATACATCTTTCAAATACCACTATCTCTTTAATATCTGGATTTTTTTGCTAAACACATTAGGAAAAATGAAATCTGAATCTAATCTATTAATGTGAAAATACAGAATTGTTATTTATTTCAGTGGCCCCATCAGTCTATGGCAGTTTGTATAGCTGTCTCTGAAACCCTAATTTCATTTATTACATATCTGTGCAACCTACTAAAGTTCATACTGGGGGTTCCTCACCTTTTGAGGCTCACAGGAACACATTTGGAGTTTTGAGACAGTGTTAAGGGACCAAGCACAAAAATGACTGCTGAGATAGGTAGGCATGTCATGAGCAGAGCCAGCTGGAGCCAGGGGTCAGACTAAATGGCCTGGGAGCCCCTTCTGACTCACTCTGTTTCTATGTTTACAAAGATTAAAACCTTAAAATACATTATAAATACACATATACATACACACACATGTGTCCACACACGACACAGAGAAGGGCACACAAATTTAATTGAAACTATTTTAAACAATAACAAGAAAAATCGAAGACTTGATTAAAACCTCATCATATGTTACCAAGAACCAAAAAAGTATTCTTCTTGGAAAACATTTTGGCACAACAGCATCTTGATTGACATAGTGGGCTATTCAGACCACACTCAGTGGCATACCCAGGTTTGCAAGCAAGAGTGTTCTTAGCAGAAAAATGTTAGATGCAGAGAAGTTGAATGAACTGAATATGGCAGGAATGCACATTTGATGATCTTAGATTTGTGCTTGAAATATTTTGGTCATATATTTTAAAAGTGAAATGTGTGGAATAGGCCTCAGTGGATGGTTGCTTTTGCAATACTAAGAGAAACCTGACACCACTAGATAGATTCCATTGTTAAATAACACTTCCCATGGATATGAAATTTGAGGTCTAGTACTAAAAATGGTATAAATTACTCTTATGAATCGTATCTGCCTTAATGCAGGAACACTATATGGCCATTCCAAGTCAAACCTTTTTCCTGTCATCTTCAGCTTATGTGGAGGGAAATACATTCAGGGTTACTGTTGACACTGAGCATTTCTACACATGGCATCTACTATGTGCTTGTTCTTCCTTAAAGCAGTTGTTTATGGGTTCTTCACATGATGTCATGATTCCACAGTTTCACTTCTGTTCTTTAAGAGCATTTCCCATTGTTTTTAGAGCCCCCTAGAGGTTATGTTATAGAAAAGCAGGACCAGATAAACTAGAGCAGTGGTTTCCAACCTTTTTCCATCATGGAACCATTCTGAACACTTTTTTTTTCCCACAGAATCCTAACGCTGTCTTTGATTTTTACTAAGCATTGTGAAGCCACAACATTTTTCCTTCTTTCATCTGCTCCTATTACCTGAGTGCTTTGCATAACATAATAGGTTTGGAAATAAAGAGAAAACATTTGAAATATAATGAATGAATAAAGCGATCATATGGTAATATCCCAGATGAACGCTTTTGATTATTTCCAACGCAATGCAATAGAGTCCTAGGAACCAAATGATGTGATACATTTGCTTGTTTGCTGCTTGGATGCCAGCTGACAATGCCACAGTTGGCCTTGTGTGGTTTCATTTTAAAATCCGTTTTAAATTGGGTTTTTTGATATTTTTCACAGAACCTCTATGAGGCTTTTGTGGAACCCTAGGTTTTTGCGGAACACAGTTTGGGAACTGTTGCACTGGAGTTCTAAAGTCAGTTCTGGAATGAAAGAGGAAGTAGATACAGTGATTAATAGCCTTGTGTTAAAAAAAAAAAAAAAAAACCTCCCTGAGGAAAGTAAACTTGCATATATGAGACCTTGGTTCCTATTCATATAAGAGCCTCTGGTCTGAGCAGTGTGTTGCATAATTATAGCACCTATAGTCACAATGGTACTGGGCTATTAAATTAATGAAAATTAAGAAAATCCAGTTAAGAATGTGATCTATCCGTTAAATGTCATTGTCCTTCAGGCTACTCGCTCTTTTGAGTAGAACAGAGCAACCTGTGAAGCCACTAGTGTTAAACACCAGTATCAATAGCTATCATGATCAGACAAAACAAAATTGCATGGACTAATAACCAATGTTGGAAGGGACCTATTACATTAAAGATGTGTTTTGTTTCTTAAAAATTGAAATATGCACAGTCTAACTGATATTAACACTACATTGGCCTTCACATCAGAACAGTTAACTCAATATGCTTCAATGAGGAGAGTATTTTCCTCTTGCTCCAAAGTTATTCAGACACATAGGGCTTAGAAATTTATTAAAATAACGAGAAGAAACTGTATCAGATGTTGAAGCTCTAATCCTGTGCATGCATTCTTGAGGGTAAATGCCATTGAAATCAGGAGTTTCTTTTTGTGGCGGGAAAGCACATACATTCAATGTTCACTCCTCGTCCCTGTGCACCTCCAGGTGGAATCCAAAGATGTGATTTCTTTCAGGAATGCAGAGCATGCTAGATAAGAGTGGTAAACCAATCAATGAGCTGCTTATTCCTGGTTGAGTTGCATCCGAAACACACCCCATTACATGTTATATGTGTAAGCATCATGTGAGTAGAACTGTGTTTTTCCTCATATTCATTAGGATATTGTGACCATAGGAATGTTATCTTTGCCTTGTGGCTGGCTTTGCACAACAATAGGATTACCAACTATGTTTGGATACATTATTTGTGGAGTGCTCTTGGGACCATCAGGATTAAACAGCATTAAGGTATGAGAGTATATTTTTAGGATGTTTTCCTTTTACATGTGCATGGCACATATATTTTGAGAGATATGTTTGTCAGAACTGTGCTGTTGAGGGACTTGATAATGTCTTAGAACAATGCTTTTATTTTACATCATTTGGTATCTTCCAGTTTAATGTGACAAATGTTATATAAAATAAGTCCTTACTATATTTCAATTATAAAATGAGGAAACATGACATTAATATTAGGAATACATTTTCTGTGTTTTGTTATCAATGGAGAAAATGGGTAGAAGTATGAATATCATTTTTAGTGCAGTCTAAATCTCACCAGAACACATAACCCTAGAACAGACCTTTGGGCAAACCCTGCCACCAGGGTTTTACAACATGACAAACCATGGCAACCACCAGTGGGGAATTGCGTAATTAAAATTGTGGCTAGCATACATTGTAGTTTTCCAAGTGTTAATTGGTGGCTTGTCATGACATGTGAACTGGAGCTCTTTAAAAAAAAAAGACTGACAATAAAAAAGAGTATCATGCTAAAAACATTTATTTTTCAGTCAATTGTACAGGTAGAGACTTTGGGAGAGTTTGGTGTATTCTTCACATTGTTCCTGGTTGGCCTGGAGTTTTCCCCTGAAAGATTAAGAAAGGTATTGTTCTATATTTTTCTCTGATTTTAAAAGTTATAATTGAGGATTGTATCTTTTGAATTGAGATGTTTTATATATTGTTCTTAATTGTTGACTGTAGATATTTTGTATTTAATATTTTTAGCTTGCAAACCACTTTAAGATGTCTTTTTACTTTAGTTAAAAGCTCTATAAATTGTTTAAATAAAATAAATAAATCTTACGTACATCAGTATTACAAATACTTTCTGAAAAGGAAAACCAGCATATCAAGGAGCATTAGGCTAGAACCCTTCCCCCTGATATTTAATTTTCGACATGGAAAAATCTCTATATTTTATTTATTTATTTATTTAGAATATTTTTATGCCATCCTTTTGCAAAGCCTCAGGACGGCTTACATAAATAAATAAGAAAAATAATATAAAACATAATACACATAAATTCCAAATCCACCCTGGCTGCAGATTAAAACCTATATAGCTAATATTAAAAGTTATTAAAATGTTGTTGGAATAAAAAGGTCTTAGCCTGGCGCCGAAAAACAAATAACGACGGCGACAGGCAGACCTCTCTGGGGAGCGCATTCCATAGGCATTCCATATATGTAAAGGAGTGTTCAGTCATGTGAATGTCTTAATCTCAGTCATGCCATTCTGCAAAGACAAGGCCATCTTATTTTTTTGGTAGGGAATCAGGTCCAGCAGAAGCACCTACTGATGGAAAGGTGACCTTTGCTAATTTCTCATGAAAAGCTGCTCCAGAGCAGCATGGGAGATGGTGCTATGAGCTTCATGGGTAGAAAGAATTTGTAAAAACTTACCTGCTCCCTGCAACTGCTCCAGTGCAATGTTCTGTGAGCAGAACTCCACTTCTAGGATTCTACCCAAAAATAAACTTTGACTGTAGGCTGCCCTTTAGTTCCACAGTTGTCTTTCCATTCAGTTTAAATGTTACCATGCTCATTACCGTGCCCACATGTTGTCCTTACGTGTTAGACTGTAACTCCCATTGGCCATGCTGGCTGGAGATGATGAAAGTTGTACTCTAATACATCCGGAGGGTTCCGGGTTAGGGAAAGCTGGTTTAAAGTGTGGATGCAATTGCGAGGTTTCTGCATTCCTATTTTGCATCCAAACAGGCCTAACTTTTGATCCAGATACCAGTTTTATAAGTAGTAAAATAAATTATAAAAGATTGCAATTTAGAGAATCAGAGTACCTGAATACTAAAAAATTATTGCCAAAAGTGACTGATTATATGGTCAATGGTTGGAAGGCTAACTACTCATTCAGTAGTGTAGGATTTATTGCTGCTTGGAATAGTAGACGTCCCAGTACTTTTTAGTTGGTTTAAACAATGTTGAGGACAATGTTGAGGAGAGGTTTGCGTTAAACAATTGTCAGTTTTCAAATTCATAGTATATTTTAATGACAGCCAAGCACACTCAACCTAAAGTCATATAGAGGGAAAAATCTGCCTTGGAATACATACCATTCAATGTGTTTGAGTTCTGAAAACTCTGACATTTAAACAGTTTCTGGGGATGGTTGCTTTTGTCTATTGCAGAAAAAACACAAAGTCTTGTGGGCAATTAATGCTACCAAATTTGTTGTGATATAGGGATGCAGGTGACGCAGTGGTTTAAACTGCTGTGTTGCTGGGCTGGTTGATCAAAATGTCACTGATTCGATTCTGCACAATGGGGTGAGTTCCCGTTGCTCCGTCCCAGCTCCTGCCAACCTTGCAGTTCGAAAGCATGCAAATGCAAGTAGATAAAAAGGTACCACTTTGGCTGGAAGGTAACAGCGTTCCGTGCGCTTTGGTGTTTAGTCATGCCGGCCACATGACCACGGAAACTGTCTGCAGACAAACGCTGGCTCCCTCCCTCGGCTAGGAAACGGAGATGAGCACCGCCCACTAGAGTCAGACATGACTGGACTTAAGGTCAAGGGGAAACCTTTACCTTTAAGCTCTTATGGACTGTAGCCCACTTCATGGAGTGTTTCAGGTTTTTAAATAGTATATATAGTAGAGGTTTGGTAGCAAGAAGAGTAGCAAGTTCAAAAGGAAATTAAATGCAGAAAGTGACAATCGCATTATTAACAGTGATTATTTAAAGTGCAACCATTACTGATACCTACTGCCAGGATATTAGTACTAAGTCAATTAAACATATGAGGTGCAATTAAAGGAAACATCCCACTGATCTGAGAACCTCAAAAAGGAGACTAGAGGAAGTGTTAGAATTTAGCCTGTTGATGAATTTTATTGACAGAGGCTTGGGATAAAAATAGCTAGATTAAAAAGTAGTTATGTTTGGATGCAAGGCTGGGGCACAGAAGCCATTTATGGTCACAATGTAATAATAGTGATGATCCTTACATTACATTTATATTTCACTTTTTTTCCTCTTGCAAAAAACCCAAGGCAACTTACATAGTCCTCTTTCTCTCCATTTTATCCTCACAAAACCCTCTGAGTTAAGTTATACTGAGTCAGTGTTTGGTGTAAAGGTTCTCAGAGTTTCATGGCCAAGTGAGGTCTAGAACTTGGTTTTTTGAGTCCTGATTCAGCACTCTAAGCACTACACCACACTTTGGTCTGTCCAGCCTTTCCTAACCTGGTCTCCTTGAGATGTGTTGGGCTACTACTACCATCCGCTCCGGCTAGCATACCCAGTTTTTTAGTGGGCATTTTACAGATTGAGCAAACAAGGTAATGCATTTGCATTACAGGAATTTCCCATGCTGTTTGGATGAGGAGGAGGACTGGGCAGAAGTCAGGCATAGCTTATGCCCTTAAAGGCAGCCTCAAATAATTGAAAAAAATGTTAGAATAAATTTGTTCATCTTTAAGGTGCTAAAAGTGTGGTGTCTTGTATGTCCTGACAACTTTAATTGTGCTTAAACTTTAGTGTTAAAATGAAAATAATATTGTAAGAATAATGCTGGGACAATATTTCATCAATCTAAGTGAATATTATTTTCAAAGGTATGGAAGATATCATTACAAGGACCCTGTTATATGACACTCCTGATGATTGCATTTGGCTTACTGTGGGGACACTTTCTACAAATTAGAGCAACTCAGAGTGTTTTCATCGCTACTTGTTTATCATTATCAAGCACACCATTGGTATCTAGATTCCTTGCAGGGAGTGCCCGGGGAGATAAAGAAGGTAGGTGGAGCTTGACTTCTGAATTAGAATGCTCTCATGTAAATGCAGCCACATCTAATGACAAAAGAACTGACCTCAGAAAGCTTTAATTGTTGCAGAAGGGTACTTTTAGCTAGGAGGTTAAAATGACAGTTTTGAACAGAGATGGTCTTTGTCTAGGTAAACACAATTATTATAGAAGCCAGTTCTTTGAGTCCAATTTGCCAACTGCCTGACATTTTGAATGAATTTTAGATCTCTCTAACTTAGCAGCCCCTTCATGGATCACTGCCTTGCTGTGGCAAAGGGGCTTGTGTAGCACAATGAAGCTATGAGTTATGCCATGCAGGGGTACCCAAGACGGAAAAGAGAGCTCTGACAAAAGTTGATCCACCAGAGAAGGAAATGGCAACCCACTCCAGTACCCTTGCCATGAAAACCCCATTGACAGAGAATCATAAAGATAAAAGATATGACACCGGAAAATGAGCCCCTTAGGTTGGAAGGTGTCCATTGTGCTACTGGGGAAGACTGGAGGGCTAGTACTAGTAGCGCCAGAAAAAATGGGTCAAAACTGAAAGGACACTCAGTTGTGGATGTATCTGATTGTGAAAGGAGAGCCCCATGCTGTAAAGAACCATACTCCATAGGAACCTGGAATGTAAGATCCATGAATCAAGGTGTAAGCTGGATGTGGTGAAATATGAGATGACAAGACTGAACATGGACATCTTGGGAATCAGTGAACTAAAATGGACAGGGATAGGTGAATTTAATTCAGAGGACTATCAGGTATACTAGTGCAGGCAAGAATACCTCAGAAGAAATGGAGTAGCCTTCATAGTCAGCAGTCTGGGATACAATCTTCAAAATGACAGAATAATCTCAGTTTGAATCCAAGGCCAACCAGCATCACAGTAGTCCAAGTTCATGCCCCAACCACTGGTGCTGAAGAGGCTGAAGTTGACTGGTTCTATGAAGGCCTACAACACCTTCTAGAAATAACACCAAAAAATGATGTCCTTATCATCATGGGGGATTGGAATGCAAAAGTAGGAAGCCAAAAGATAACTGGAATAACAGGCAAGTTTGGCCTTGGAGTACAAAATGAAGTAGGGCGAAGGCGGGCAGAATTTTGTCAAGAGGACACGCTGGTCGTAGCAAACACTCTTTTCCAACAACCCAAGAGACGACTCTACACATGGACATCACCAGACGGTCAACACAGAAATCAGATTGACTATGTGCTCTGCAGCCAAAGATGGAGAAGCTCTATACAGTCAGTAAAAACTAGACCAGGAACTGGCTGTGGCTCAGATCATGAGCTTCTTGTTGTAAAATTTAGGCTTAAATTGAAGAAAGTAAGGAAGAGCACTAGGCCACTCAGGAATGACCTAAATCATATTCCTTATGAATATACAGTAGAGGTGACAAATAGATTTAAGGAATTAGATCTGATAGACAGACTGCCTGAAGAACTATGGATGGAGGTTCACAACATTGTACAAGAGGCAGCAACTAAAACCATCCCAAAGAAAAAGAAATGCAAGAAAGCAAAATGGCTGTCTGAGGAAGCTTTACAAATAGCTGAGGAGGAAGGAAAGCATAAGGCAGGGGAGGAAGGGAAAGATACACTCAGTTGAATGCAGAATTCCAGAGAATAGCTAGAAGAGATAAGAATGCCTTCTTCAATGAACAGTGCAAAGAAATAGAAGAAAACAATAGAATAGGGAGGACCAGAGATCTCTTCAAGAAAATTGGAGATATGAAGGGAACATTTCATGCAAAGATGGGCATGATAAAGGACCAAAATGGCAGGGACCTAACAGAGGCAGAAGAGATTAAGAAGAGGTGGCAAGATTACACAGAAAATCTATACAAGAAAGATCTTAACATCCCTGATAACCAATGGGGTGGTCACTGATCTCGAGCCAGACATACTGGAATGTGAAATCAAAAGGGCCTTAGGAAGTCTGAGCAACAAGAAAGTTAGCGGAGAAGACAGTATTCCAGCTGAGTTATTCAAAATCCTAAAAGATGATGCAGTTAAAGTGCTACATTCAATATGCCAGCAAATTTGGGAAACTCAACAGTGGCCACAGGATTGGAAAAGGTCAGTTTACATTCCAATTCCAAAGAAGAGCAATGCCAAATAATGTTCCAACTACCGCACCATTGGACTCATTTCACATGCTAGCAAAGTTATGCTCAGAATCCTACAAGCTAGGCTCCAGCAGTATGTGGACCGAGAACTACCAGAAGTACAGGCAGGATTTCGAAGAGGCAGAGGAACTAGAGATCAGATTGCCAACATACGCTGGATCATGGAGAAAGCCAGGGAGTTCCAGAAAAACATCTACTTCTGCTTCATTGACTATGCTAAAGCCTTTGTGTGGATCACAACAAATTGTGGCAAGTTCTAAATTAAAAGATGCTTGCTCCTTGGGAGGAAAGCTATGGCAGATCTAGACAGCATACTAAAAAGCAGAGATATCACCCGGCCAACAAACGTTTGTATAGTCAACGCTATGGTTTTCCTAGTTGCAATGTATTGCTGTGAAAGTTGGACCATAAGGAAGGCTGAGTGCCGAAGAATTGAGGCCTTTGAATTGTGGTGCTGGAGAAGACTCCTGTGAGTCCCTTGGACTGCAAGGATATCAAACCAGTCAGTCTTACAGGAGATCAACCCTGACTGCTCTTTAGAAGGCCAGATCCTGAAGATGAAACTCAAATATTTTGGCCACCTAATGAAAAGGAAGGATTCACTGGAGAAGACCCTAATGCTGGGAACAATTGAGGGCAAAAGAAGAAGGGGACGGCAGAGAATGAGGTGGCTAGATGGAGTCACTGAAACAGTCGATGTGAGCTTAGGTGGGCTCCGGGGGATGATGGAGGACAGGAGAGCCTGGAGGAATGTTGTCCATGGGGTTGCAGTGGGTCAGACATGACTTTGCAACTAACATAACATAACTTAGCAGATTATGGGATCCAATGCCAACTATGCACAACATTATTTTGGCACAACTCCTGCTAATATATTGACATATAAAGTTTTATATCTTGAAAGATATTTTGTCAACTGTTTAGTGTGAAGAACAGGCTAATTATGTGACTGGATCTTGAGTTGCACAGCTGTTGCAAATAAAAGATAATTTTACTGAAGTGCCCAGTGAGGCTGAATGGTGTGGGAGATCCAGGACAGATAAAAAGAAGTACTTTTTCACACAGTGCATAATTAATGGCATTCACTGTAAAAAGATGTGGTGGTGGCTTTAAAAGGGAATTGATTGCATTTAAACAGGATAAGACTATAACTGGCTACTAGGCATGATGTATGTATGTATGTTATTTCCCAGGATTAGACAATGAATATCAATTGCTGGAGAACATTGACAGGGAGAGAGGGCTTTTAGCCACCTCTTGCTTGTGGGCTTCCCATGGGTATCTGGTTGGCCACAGTGAGAAACAAGATACTGGCCTCTGATTTGATCCAAATGTGCTGTTTTTATGTTCAGGGATTATCTTCAAGTATGTCTGAACAAACTCTCTGTGTTTTCCATTGAAAGAGATTGCAAGCAGCTATCCTTATAGGTGTCCGGTATTCATCAGCCATGTCTTCCAAGTGTGTGGTCAAGAATGTTTCACTTTATTTTTGGAAAGTAAACAGAATGGATGCTAACATCTGTGTCTTAAAATGCATGCCCAGAATGTGGAAAGAATATCCCAATCTTTTATTTCACAAAGGTTCTTTAATTAGTGACTACTTTTGCAGACTCCTTGAAATAGGAGATAGAGATTGTAGGAAGAAATCTGCTCTTCCTGCAGTGCTCTACAAACAACTTGAGCCTCATTCCTTCTGTTACTCCCTTCTTCCTTCTACCAGAAATGTGAAAGAATTGTGAGAAAAAAGAATTCCAACAAGAGAAATGAGAATGAGCAAGGGTGCTTCCAAATCAAGGTTCCTAGCACTGACATTTAAAAGGGAGAGCCTGGAATATGAAAGGAAAGGGAAACCTCCTTTCATATGTACACTTCTGTTATTTTCCTCACTTTCAGTCACAAGAAAAATGGAGGATAGAGAAAAAGACATACCTATTTTACGCTACAGATCAGGTTCATCAGGGCGTCTATAACCCACACGGAGACATTGTGTGTGCTAGTATATATTTTGAATATGCAACCACTCAGGTTGCTGTATTGCACAATCTTGGACACAGGGGGTTAAACCGCCCTCAAATAATCCTACAACACAGCAAGGTTATGGAAGAATTATTTAGCCTACAAATAACTTTCAGAAGTTAGTTTAGGATGAAGTGGCAAACCCTGAGTGGAGTTATATCTTCAAATGTCCTCCAGCATATGCCATGCTTTATCAGATGTTAAACAACCCCCAATGAGCTTGACATGCTTTGTGAACCAGGCCACAGGATAAAGGAATCTTAATTTGACCCAGGAATGCTGTCAGATCCACGTGTTAGACTTCTGCAAGGTAGCCTGGATACAGGATTCTAGCTAAAGATCAAGGCTAGGGTTCCCCAATATGGTAGTGTCTGGATGTGTGAGACTACAAATGCTTTCATCTATAACCATTGGCCATGTTGATTGGAGTTATAGCCCAAAACATCTGGAGGGCACCAGGTTGGAGAATGCTGGCCTATCAAACCAGCAGTGGCATCATCATCATCATGATATGTGCATCTTCAAACATGGGGGTAAACAATTGGAAGTGAAGTGAAATGTTACCTTAGGGGGTGGTGTTTCCAATATTTTGACACTCAGCTTCATTCTGTGGATCAAAAATGTCAATTCTCACCAAGTTTCACCTCAAAATAAACACACTGAAATTCACATCTTCACACAAGGATTTCATCAACATGAGTAAGAAGTTCACACATGCTTTATGTTTGTAATATTTTTACATTTTTATATTATATAATTATTTTAGTGTGAAATGCCTAGTTTTTATTATATTAGGTGGTGCCTGGGCTTAAGTGGACTCCGGGAGATGGTGGAGGACAGGAAGGCCTGGAGGAATGTTTTCCATGGGGTCCCAATGGGTTGGACATGACTTCGTGACTAGCAACAACAACAATAGAAGCTATATTTTCTTGTATACTATCTTTTCTTCTGCAACATTTGCATAAGTTTTGACAAAACATAAGATTGGAACCAGGATCTGTCTTCTACAAGAGGAAGGGGATCAATTTGGAGAGCATGCCTGCACCACATCACAGTGGACCCCGTTCACCATGTCCCTCAGATTCTCTGTTGCAATTTCAGGAGGCGGGAAAAATCTACTTCTCTCAGTGTAGTTAATCCAGCATAAATTTGGATCTAGTCCATATTGTATAACAAATGCATAATTAGTTGAATTTGGCAAATGGCAAATCATGATCAATAAAAGAGTACTAGTAATACTATAATTTCTGCACATGTTTAAGGTCTCTCCTTTTTGCCTAACAGGAGATATTGACTACAGTACTGTTCTGCTTGCAATGTTGGTGATGCAGGATGTACAGCTTGGCCTGTTTATAGCTGTCATGCCAACTCTTATTCAAGCTGGAGTTGGCACACATTCCAGGTAACAAAGTTCATCCATGTGCTTCATTCATTAAAGTTTGCTCCAAGGATCTTGGTATACATTGCATAATTTTCTTTTGCCTCATGCTTTTCAGCTTTTAAAATGTGCTTGCAATTATCAAAACAAACTCATGATTTTTTAAGGAATACTCCAAACATTGTATCTTCTGCCAAACAGTTGCCTGGCATAGTTGGAGGAATGACAGAGATGATATACATCTCTCCATTCTCCTTTCAGCTGATTTTCCATTGGACATATTTTTGAATGTGGCTACTGGAATTGTGGGGAAAAAAGCTAGGAGGTTTTAGGGGCCTACAGATCCTTGGTGCTCCCTCTTTCGAACACCTTCTCCCTCATTTGCATCCTCACCCAAGACTGAAGCTCGAACCATGGCAAGGTAGCTCCTGCAATGCTTTCTACAGCTGTTGTGAGGAGCAGAGGGAGGAGATATCTCCATTTTAATTTCTTCTTCCAAAGTCATAGGAACGTCTACAGCTTCACAGAGGGAACTCTGCAATATCCTATAATCCCAGGACACATTCCCAGGACCATAGGATTGCTTTCAAAGTGTTTAGCACAATCTAATAATGAGTTCACTGCTGTTCTTTATGGCAATTGCCGCACACACTGCTTTTGGTTGCAGTCCAGAGGTCTGAGTAAATTAGAAGTGTGCTAGAGTTTCTGACTCAGTTTTCTCTTTACTAACCTCTGCATTTCCTCTTTGAATGTTTCTCAGTTTGATTGGAATGTTGCTGAAGAAACATGCTATAATTGGTGCTTATATCAGAAAGCTGTAACTTATTCTGCATTACTTTATCCTTTATATCCTAAATCATTGAGCCTAGACTGTCCCTGAAATGAACTAGCATTTGATGTTTTAGACTAAAATGGTAGCAACCTGTTCTTCAATAGGAAACTATTCCTTCAGCAGGAAAAAGAAAATGAAAAATACAGATTTGTTTACATTTTCAATTTAACTTGAAAATGTTTTGAAGGAAAAATTATTATATTAATGAAGCTAAAACTAACTTTTTCCTTTTTCTAGCATTATCAAGGACATAATGAGAATACTGACATTGACTGGACAAATTCTCTTTTCTCTGGCTGCTGTCTTACTTATATGTCTTGTTTTAAAGACATATCTAATAGGACCATACTACCGCAAGTTGCATACAGAAAGCAAAGGAAATAAAGAAATCCTAGTTCTTGGAATTTCAGCTTTTATGTTCCTTATGTTAATGGTAATCTTTCCAAATCTATTTTTTTCTTAACATTCAGCTGATAGAGTAAAATATTTTGTTTTGACAATTTAAATAATTACAGGGTAATGTAGAGTTGATTTATAGAAGTTGAATTTACAGGTCAAAATAAAATTAGGCTTTCTTATTTGATATGTAACTTCTAAATTGTTGACAATACATCTAATTGTTTTAATATTTTCAATATTATTTAAAATTGCATATATAAACACTCATGAAATTATAAAACTAGCTTCTCATGAAAATGCCAGAACATTTATCCCATTCAGATATCTGGTCTCAGCATAAGATTTTTTAAAACTGCACAGTCAAAGTTAAACTCACATAGTTCTCATGATTACAAACATGGCTAGGACAAGCCTTGAAGCCCCATGCCTACAACAAAAGTGTGCTAGGCAATGACTAGCTATATGGTTTAGTGGAGAAGTGAGCATCTCCTAAGTAGGGCTACAATATTTAATTAACAGTTTGTAGAAGTAGCTTTTAATCAACCAGTGTCCTCAATTAGTAGATTCTTCAAAAACATACTTAATACGAAAGCTTATGAAAACTTGCAGATGGCAAGTATTTTCTGAAAAAGGCATTCTTTCTTTTCCCTACAATGAAAGGCATCTGTTTTGAGATGCTTGTTGCAACATGGATACATTTCATGATGCATTTTTTCCATCCTCTTTGGAAATGTATGTGTTATAAGCCAGAATAGTTAAGAGGCTAACAAATTTACTGTGGCATAAGCCTTTTTGAGTTAGCATTTCCTTGATCAAGTCCTGAACTGGTAAGCTAGATATTACAGATGTGGACAGTAATAAATCAATTTCAGTAGGGGTTATTTGGTTCGGCCTTGACTTGCTTTGATTTGAATCTGAAAGGAAGCTTCACTTTGGCTTTCTGAAGGTTTGGTTCTCTCTGTTGAGAGCCCCTGCAGTTTTTAGTGTGAAGAAAGGATGCTGTCTTAGTTTATTTGCATAGGGGGGCAATGAAATCTGCACCCACAAAGATGGTTGCTGGAGGGAAAATCATATCCCCACTCTAACATCAAGGGCCTTGCTGGAGGCTAGATTTTTGCCCCCTTGAGTTGCTTTTAAGTGTGCAGATTTTATTTTCACCCTTTGATAACTATACCATAATGCCTTAGGGATTTCTCTGAAGGGACTCTGAAGTAAGCTTTGGGACTCATGACAGCTGCTCGATGAAGTTCTAGTGGTCTGAACCTTTGAAACCATCCAATTTCACGTCACACTTGGTTGAGGGACAACCCACTGAACTTTGGATGAGTTCTGAGTCGCTCTGAAGTGGCCTGCTTTGCATTGCTATTCAGACTTCCTTTGAAGTAGACATTCTCATTATGTGTATGAATTGTATCATTATATACCTTATTCACCAGGTGACATTGAACATAGTTGCATCAGAATATATAAAAATGAATCCATGAAGCACAAGATGGAACAGTAGGTCATTTAATTCTGAAAAGTGCAAACTGATACTAGAATCAATGAGGGCACATTTGATCCTCATTGTATCTCCAAGTAGTGGTGGTCTGTTAGGCTATTTTAGCCTGTCCTTTTATTTTAAAATATTCAGTGTGTGGCTTACCAAACAAATCATACAAACTTTGAATCTATTTTGCTATCTTCAAGCAAGGTACCTGGTTCAGAGTCCTGTTATCTGGGTTGTGTCTGCTGACAGTTCAGAAGCTGTATTAACTTTCTGAGCAGGGAAGGGAAGAATACAAATCGTAGCTGAGCTCAGGCTGATGGAGGGGGACATGTCTTTTCTGTGCCTCAGGTAGAATTAAGAGAAGAATGATGAAGAGGCATAGTAAGATAAATAGTGTAAACAAATGCTTAGATATTTACTTCCACTGGATCATTTTCATTTAGACTCAACAGTTATTTGACATCTGTTATACTTTCTGTCATTTTGCTCTAGCCTGCATTGTTTGGCCTTTTGGTCTCTCTTTCTAAGAAATATATTCTCCCTATAGTATTCATTTAGTCCATTTAAGCAATCACATCATGCATCACATCATGTCCCCTCTAGTTCATGAAAATTGCAGAATAAATAGGTGCAACAAGATGCTTTGTTTTTTCTTGCAACTTATTCAAACAGCTTTTCCTGAGTATTACAAATAGGTTTATAAAGGGAAGATGCTGGCATCAAGGAATTTTTACTGTAAAAGTAATAACAGCTATGGCATATTTATAGTTAATTTAGACTTTGCATATGCATGTATGGACAATTTCACCTTTCATCTCCATCCTAAATGCATTTATATGGAAATAATTTTCTTTGATCTTAATGGGAGAAGTCAGTATGGTCTTTGGATTTCAGTGGAATTTACAACCACGTAAGTGGGTTTAGGACCTGGGGACAAGTTTTTATTGTGGCAACATAGGCCATCAGAATGATAAAATGAGAACCTTTCTTAATTTACAAAGGGATTAAGCAGTTTGAAGTCCTGAAAACTGCTTCTTTTATATGCATAAGTTATATATTCCAGGCAATATTACATGCTGCCCATGCCCTAGTGGGTCTCATCCGTACTGGAATGGGAAGTTAGCAGTTGCTTAAGCAAATGAGCAAAACATTTCTGAGACATGAGAAATCAGTGGAGCTCTCAGAAGGATGCTCTGCCATCCTGTCCAATTTTGGAAATAAGCACTTCCACTCATTTCTAGGGTTGCCCTGGGAAGCAGTAGCTTCCTGTTTTGTAACAGTGGGTTCCACCAATGCAAAAGAACCTGTGGCATTACTGCCCACTGCTGAAATTGCAATTATTGACATTCAAATGATAATTTTTCTTTAAATGAAATACAGTGATTTTGTTTAGATGTAATCTTTTATTTTCAAGCAAAGTGCTTAAAGTAAATTAACACCAGTAATACATCTTTCCACCTCTAACAGATCACAGAGGTATTGGATGTTTCAATGGAACTGGGATGTTTCCTAGCAGGAGCACTTATTTCTTCTCAGGGTCACATGATTACTGAAGAGATTATGTCTTGTATTGAACCAATACGTGACTTCCTTGCCATCATATTCTTTGCATCTATAGGTAACTTCTTACAGAATTATGCATACATGATGTTTAATTTTATCTGTTTAACACACACATGGAAATGAATGTTTATTTTGCAAAAACAAGAAATCCACAGTATGTTTAAGATTGCAGCTTTAGAGAAGACTAGACAGCTTCATTAAAAAATGGATAGTTTAAGTCAGATGCCTTTATTTTTTTGGCCTCTGCCCTTTTCCAGAAGCCTTTGTTGTCCTTTACCTCCCTTTTCTCAAATGCTAGTTTTGGTCCATTCCATCTGCCACCTTTTCTAAATACTATTCCCATACTTCTTTCCAGTCCTGAAACCTATGTATATGGTGGGATGGGGTGATTAAAAAAACAACAAGAATAGCTTGTCTTTCTCAAAAAGGAAATGGCCTGGTTTGCACCATCTCTGTGGCTTGCTTAATCCTCAGTGTGTGCTGGGTGCTACTTGCCTAATTCCCTGCCTAGACATGCCTTGCCGTGTCATTTGAACCCATGTAGCATGACTTTGCCAGAAAGGAAAACCAACCCTCAATTTAACCCTGATCCCTTGTTGAGTTATTTGAGGGTTTTTCCCCCCCTCTAAAAAGCTGTGTTTTCCAGGTTTCAACAAGCCAGACCCAGATGGGTAATTAGATAAATAGAAACGTAGAAACAGAGCGAGTCCAAAGGGGCCTCCCGGGCCATCTAGTCTAACCCCCAGCTCTAGCTGGCTTCGCTCACGACATGCCTACCATGTGCATGTCTAGCCTGTCCTTGAACACCCTCACCAATGCGGCCTCAACCACCTCCCATGGAAGCCCATTCCATACCCTCGAGGTCCTAACTGTCAGGAAGTGCTTCCTGGCATCCAAATTGAACCTTGGTTCCCTGAGCTTTGCTCCATTGGAGTGCATCCTGCCCTCCTCTGCAGGGGAGAACAAGTCTCTACCCACCTGCATGTGACACCCCCTCACATACATATATGTTGCCAACAGATCCCCTCGGAGTCTCCTCCAGGCTGAAAAGATCCAGTTCCCTCAGTCTTGCCTCATATGGCTTTCCCTGCAATCCAGCCACCATCCTTGTGGCCCTATGCTGCACTGACTCTAACCTGGCTATATCCTTCCTGTAATGAGAGGCCCAGAACTGAACACAATACTCCAGTTGTGGGCACACCAGAGTCATATACAGTGGTAGAAATACCTCTCTCAATCTAGAAACCACGCTTCTGGCTATGCAACCAAGGGTGGCATTCGCCCTCTTGACGACCATGTCACACTGTTGACTCATGTTTAGCCTGCAGTCAACCAGTACCCCGAGGTCCCTTTCACAAGTGCTGTTCTCCAGCCACTTGTCCCCTAACCTGTACTTAATGATACCCATTCCTGTGCCCGAAGTGCAAGACCTTGCACTTATCCACATTGAATGACATCCTGTTGTCTCCTACCCACTTCCATAGTCTGTCCAGATCCTTTTGGATCTGGAGTACCTGCTCCTCAGTTGTGACCACTTCCCCCGTTTCAGCATCGTCTGCCAATTTCATCAGCAGACTGTTCACCCCTTCTTCCATGTCATTGATGAAAAGATTGAACAGGAGAGCCCTGGGGGATCCCGCTTGTCACCGGCCACCATCCTGATGATTCCCCACTAATGGTTACCCTCTGCTTTCGGTCAGTCAATCATGCCCTAATCCATTGGACAGTGCATTGCTCTATCTCAAAACTCCTCAATTTCTCAACCAGGAATAGTGCCTGAATAGTGCCTAAATAGTGCCTGACACATGCTGCAGCTTAAACCACTGTGACTGTTCAAGTTTTGGTGACTCTAGAAATCAGTCAATATTTCATAAGATTAAGGCCCTCCAACCCCCATTCCAGACTTTTCAGATTTTATTATTATTGGCCCACAAAGATGTAATAATGTGCCAAAATGTGGTAGGCTTTTATTTAACAAATTACATGAAAAATATTTCATCTTTGTCTTTGCATATGTATGATATTAAAAAAAATTACAGTAGTGGTAAGTCAATGCTTTTTCTCTTGCAGGCCTTCATGTTTTCCCTACATTTGTAATATATGAACTCACGGTCTTGTTGTTTCTTACACTTTCAGTGGTAATAATGAAGGTATTTATTATTATTTTACAATAAGATTGGATGTTAAATATAGATTGGTACTATGGGCTAAGTGCAAATGGTGACCTCCAAAAACTTAACCACACCTAACTGAAGATCTATCTGCAGTTAGTTCATGGCTACAGTTGTCTCTGCATTCATCAAATATCCCTACTGGTTGTGCAGAAGAATGACAAGAATAACTTCTATTCATTCCTCTGTGAGCCTCCTTTCAGAAACCCAGAACAAACAGAGAGCTATTCAAACGGTTCTATAGATTTTGTATTTTATATTGATCAGTTTCATGATCTGGCATTCTGTGGTTTTAAAAAGGGATTGTTAACTTGGGGTCCACTGACGGCAGCTTTTTTGTTGTTTTTTAAATATGAAATGCATACAACTTTCTAGCAATTATAGGCTTTAAAGATAACTAAATATACAAATAAGTATCCATTTGAAGATGCATCTATATGCTACCTGTTCATAGATCAGGAGTGTTGTAATGGCCTCAATCCATTGCATTATAGAATGTGTTTATCCTTCTAATTTTGTAATATCAACCTGTTGTAGTACAAAATGTTGGTGAAACAGGGCAAATACTGGACATTGCCAAAACATGCTTAAAAGAAGCATTGGCTGTATTGTACCACCAGCAGTTAGCTGAATTAGATAATCCCTTATTAAAGAGGTGGTATGAAGTCAAACATGAAAGTCTTTGCTGCTTAAGATCCATAGACATGACAGGTAAGTGCCAAAATTGTGATATGCTGCTTAGACATTTTGTGGTGATGTCCACAACAATTTCTCAAATTCCCGGATGTGTTGATGAGTCTGCAAAGGTTAGGGATCCTTGCTTTAAAATGGCAGTTGAAGGATGTCAGTGATGGTTCTGCACAGGGATCAGATCCCAGAGTTGCTTAATACACAGTGCCATCTTACTCAGATTATGCATTCCATGTTTATTGTTTTGTTCTCTAGTGTTGATATAATGTACATTTGCTTGAATATACAAAAAGACTTTCTCAGTTGATTTCCCAATTGCAGCATCCTAAAGACAGGGATCTGGAGGGAGAAACCGGCAAAAATCAGTTGGAGGTAGCTTGGGTAAGCTCCTACAGCTCCTTGTGCCGCATTCCAGGGCAATACTGCAGGACCCTGACCCTCAGGAGGAACTTTTGAGGGATACAGGAGGTTGCAGTGTAAAGGAAATGGTAGGAAAGACTGATTATGGGAGCAAACCTCTGCTTATGCAAAATCTAAATACAAACCAAATGAATTTTATAAGCATGCCACAAAAAGAGCACTATTTTAGTTGGTTCACTATTTTGCCTGTGCTATTTCTTGAGTAAACCCTTCTGATCAATATAGCTAGATAACTGTGGCTCACTGAAGAATTTAATTATGTTGGTTTTTTGTTGCACCAAATTTCAATGTATTTTTAAAATTGTTTAGTTTCCCTGTATTTATAAAAACAATCTCTCTCAAAGTTTTTTCTGGCAGTACTTGTCCTTTCTATGATTCTTCCAAAGACCAGTCAGTACATCAAATGGATAGTATCAGCAGGCTTGGCTCAAGTCAGTGAGTTTTCCTTTGTCTTGGGAAGTAGAGCACGCAGAGCGGGTATAATTTCTCGAGAGGTGAGCTATGGGGTCATATAGCATTTATGATTTTGAAGTATTTAACAAACTTCTTTGATAAAATTGATAATTAAGTGACACCAAGACTAGATATTATACACAGCTACATGTAGTTTCCCCCCTTTCTCTTTAAAATAAAAAACTGCTTTAAGGGCTGAGAGGGGTTAAAATCTAGGAAATAGTGAGGGTGGAGGGAAAGCAGCCAATTAACCAATTCTTCTCCAGCCTTCTACTTAATGCACCCCTCTGCAGAAGATACTAGATTAAAGGAATCCTCTTAGTATAACTTTTTAATGTATCACACAGTTTATGTCAAAACAAGAATATAAAAGAGTGCAGTGGCCAAATAGACTCATTAGAAGTTGTTACAGGCAACTAGGGGTGCTTCCAGACAAGATTTTCATTGTGCTATCACCCTGCCTCATTCATTGGTATCTGGAGGGAGGTTCAGACATTATAATTTTACACTGATCGGCCTGGCATGTTTTTACCATTTCATATATCTCATTTTTTTGCTTTTTTGGTGGTTGGAAGATTACTCTAGAAAATTTGTAAAGGAAAAAAGATGGAATAGCTGTATAGTATCTTTTGGCCGGAAGTGCTAAAAGCTCTCTATCTGGAAGCACCAAGAATATCTAAGGTGGTGGCGCCCCATCTGTGGAATGCGCTCCACAGAGAGGTCCACCTGGCACTGTTGTTACTTGTTTTTCGGCGCCAGGCTAAGACCTTTTTATTCAAACAATATTTTAACAGTGTTTAATATTTATAGGTTTTAATTGTGCAGCCGGGGTGTTTCCGGGTTTTAACTGTATCTGTATTATATTTGTGTGAGCCGTCCCGAGGCTATATAGCAAGGGGACGGCATACAAAAACTTTAACGAAATAAATAATAAGTTAATGACAGTCCCTCTGCATAACAGTATTGCTTACATAACTATTCAACCTGACTGAACATATTGTCCACCTGTAATGCAAATATGGTTTCAGTTATATCAAGCCAATTACCTTGAGCACTCGAAATGTGAAATGAAATAACATTTTCTTTTGCCAATTTCTAGGTCTACCTCCTTATACTGAGTGTGACTACTCTAAGCCTATTGCTTGCACCAGCACTTTGGAGAGTTGCAATTATGAAATATGTACCAAGACCTGAAAGACGATTAAGTTGCTGAAGATAAAATCTTTCATGGAGGAAGCATCTTTATTCATTACATTTCTTATGCAGCAAACAAAAGTAGTTTATGTTCTTCAGCATAGTTTTACACTGACTTTAGTTTTTGAAACAAAATTATACATTTTTCACATTCTTGTCTTGGAGTATTAAAAAATAACATTTGTTAAACTGATTTTGCAACAATTGATTTTTAAAAAAAAAATAGTCTACAAATAAAATAATCGACTGATGTGCCTTTTTGAGTATTGTTTTCAGTCAGTGCAGCAAATGTAATTTGTATGCAGTCTGTGGTACTATTAAGGAACTCTGAAATAAGTATCCAAAATAAATTAGCATCAAGGCACAGAAGAAGCATTTTAAGTGCAATATGTATGTTAGTTCTTCCATTTGAACATGAGGTTGAAACCTTTACTGTCTATCAAAGGACTGAAAATTAATACTCCTAAGGCTGCAATCCTGTAGCAGCTTCTTTGGAAGTAAGTACCATTGAACTCAGTGGGACTTACTTCTGGGTAGACATGTATAGAATTGTCTTGCTCAAGTGGTATTTCCTCTAACTGATGCATTTTAATTAATGTAAAAGTCTTTGCCATATTTAAGAATATTTTTATTGTGATCAGAAATGACTTGCAGTATGAGTACAGTATCAAGGGTTTCTTGTCTTGATCATGCTAATTGTTCAAAACCAAACCATCACAGAAATTAAAACTAAATTAAAACTATTTTGGATATGTTAGATTTGTGTTGCTTCATTAGGTGAACCATTTATATAATGTAAGAAGGAACAACTTGAGCGTGTTGGAGTATCATAAAACAGAATTTAATCACATTGAATAAATGTTTGAATGCTATACTATTCTTATAAAGAAGGACTTGTAATAAATATTCAGATACTGAAAATGTATTTCTTAAACATTGTGGTGTCCAACCATTTAATGCATCATCATATTTTTGAGATTATTATTTATTCATTATTCATTTATACAGTGCATTATTTCAACTTTTACATTTTTTGACAGGCGAGTTTGAAAAACAAGCTAGAATTTCCATTATTTAAAATAAATCTTTTGTAGATCAAGGTAATTTCAAACTTGATCTTAAAAGGTGCTGGCTCATACACTGTACATCATTATATAGCAATCGTCCATGAGAAACTGGAAACTTTGGTAGAATATGATACCATGCAAGGTCTGCTTGACACGTTTGAGATGTGCCTCAGCCTATGTATATGGCCTTGAGTAACCTGAGTCGCTCAAATACAGTAAGTTTCTTTGTGTTAAGTGTACATTCATTTAATGTATATTTATTCTAAAACAGTTGTCCTCTCCCCATCACAAAAGAGTGAATCTTTCTGTCTGCTGCATGTGTTTAATTATTCTTGCAATAAATGCATGCTGAAGGTGCACATCTACTGTACGTATATAGCATTTTCACCTACTCTCGGTAAATAATTTTCAAAAACAAGCACTTTAAGGGTGCTATTCTATGCATGCTTAGATATAAAAGGCCCTACTGTTTCCAGCATGAGAGCATAGAGTTAAGAGGCATTTTTCTCCCTAAAAATGTAAAGGATTGTATCTTAAGCTGACTTACTTTCTGGGACTCATTCCTGATTAAATAGGCATGTATATATCTGTAAGATGCCTCAGTAGAGGAATACTGTGGCTGTTCTTCCTGAACTTTGTAAAAAAGGGACTTAGGAAAAATTGTATTATTTTATGGAAAAATTTCGATTCGGATCAGTGCTATGTCACCGGTCATACAAGCCCAGTCCCATTGCAGTGGCGGGAAGGGTGATGACAGCACAAAACAGCCCTTTTTCCTACCGAAGTTTGAGTCTCGCGAGGCCGGCGGTTGCTACAGAGCAAAGGCCAGCCGGCCGACTCCAAAGCTGACAACAGCCCCGCTCGCGCTCTACCTTCCCGCGCGAACCGTCCCCGCGGGAGGAGAAAGGCGTGGTGGAATCCCGAAGGCGCGAAAACCTCGCGCATGCGCGCCTTTCCCTACGGCATCCCGGTAGGCCGGCTAAGCAAAACGTATGGTGCTGAAGGGATGGGGGAGGGCGCAGTAATCTCCCCGCGTGTGTCTATGTGGGGCTCATTACAGTGTGACGTCAGCGCGTAGCGTCACGCCGGAGGGACGCACGAAAGTGTAAGTTTCAATTTTTTCCCTCTCTTCTTCCTGCCAACCGCCAAAAGGCCAATAATTGTAGGATCGCGGGGGGAGGGTGAGCGGAGGCAGTGGTGCTTCTCGATCCTCCCCATCCGCCTTCCGTGGAGGAAGCGTGAACAGGTGTGAAAGACAATCTACTGGTCGACGAGGCGGACCGGCAGCCAGACTGCCCGCCTCTACAGAGACGGGGGCACCGCGAAGCAAGGCAGGAAGGAGAGCGCGACTTGCCAGGGTTAGCTTTGGCAGGGGCAGGGAATGATGGCGCTTTTGAGAGGCGGCAAAGGAGGGGTTATTTGCAACTGGATTCTATACGTGCTTATCCGAAAGCGAGCCTCCCCCACTTCAGGGGGGCTTACTTCCAAATAAGTGGGAATCGGATTGCGGCTTGGTAGTTCGATCCAAACGAAGTATGATGCAAGTAAGATCTACTAATACGAAGTAGAATCTACTAAGAAAGCTCATGGAGGGTTGCCATCCTGCAGCCTGATCCTTTTTCTTTGCATGCATACTTGCTAGCTACCCATGCAAAAGTCAGACAATTCAGTGAAGCGTGTTCCCAAAGTCTGCAGTCTTACATCTTGCAGGGACAGTCGAAAGAGACGGGTGAGGGGAGGAAAAGGGCATCACAAGGTGGAGATCCCCAGTGTCTTCCTTCCTTCAGGGAAGTGTCACACTTTCTTGAATCTTCCCAAAAAATGAGAGAAATGAGGTTTGTAAAGAGGAAAGGGGTTAAAAGGGGGGGCATGTTAAAGACTATATTTTCTCCGCCATATGATTATTGGTGGATAGTCCACCATTAAAAAAAGAAAAGAAAAATCAGGACTAGTGTCTTCTCCGCGCGCCCCTGCAAACAGCCACTTTGCCTGGTGGGAGTGAAGTGAGCTGAGAAGTGATGGTGTTGCTTTTCTCCTCTTTCTCCCCACCCCCCAAGGGGGTTTTGAGGAGGGCCGTGCATTGCACATGTGCAGTTGGCATCTCTCTTTCTCTTTCCGTGCAAGAGCGGCGCTGTGGGTGGGGGATTGCTCGGGAGTGTGTTGTGGGGGATGGAGTTTGCTCTCTCTCTCTCCTCCTCTAGTTCTTCAGGTACTGTAGTCGCCTTTGGCATGGGAGGGGGCGACGGCGGACAACGACGAAGAGGACAGGTGGGAGAGGAAGGGGAGGCGGCGGCCGTGCTGCTGCTGGTGTGGGAAGCGTTTAGGCGGGACGGTTTAATGTGAGGAAGAGATCCGCTTCCTCCTTTCCCTTCTCTCTTTCTTCTACCTCGCCTCCCCCTCTCCGGGTTGGCTGGTATAGGAGTGAGGGCGAGATTGGTGCATGGGTGGCCCACGTCTCTTTCTCAAGCGTCAGTTCAGTTATGTTGCTGGGCTAGACTTCCAGGGCTCTGGTCGGGCTTCTGAGGCCCTGGAGAGGGGGCGGGAAGGTGGAGGAGGCGGGGGCTGGCGGGAGTTGTTCTCTGAAGCACAGATGCTGCCTGCCTGGTTCTCACAGGAGCTATCAGGACCAGCCTCCTTCCCCTCTCCCCTTGGAAGCAGCATGCAAATGGGCTAGGGCCTGCTTGGATGTTTGCATGGGAAAAGCAGTGTGCGTTTTGTTTAGGATTGGGAAGAAGCATGTTAGGGGCTTGGGCCCCTGAGGCCTAGCAACTGTGCTGCAGTTAATGAGTCAGGCACCCCCCTCCCCTTCATGCTTCAAAGTGGGCCGTATGTTTATTTGTGTTTGAAGCATAATTATGCTTTTCAGTGATCTGGGAAACAGCTGAGCAGAATCCATTCCCAGATCCTGTACTATTTTAGTTCAGGTCATTCTTTATCTTCCCAGAGGAAAAGAGCCACATACTTGGAAGGCTGAGTTCCTCCATATTGGAGGGAGAGCTGTTGCAAGGCTTTATGAAAGTTTTAAGTTTGATTTTGATTACTGGTTTTAATCGTACCTGTCCTGTGGCTGAAAAAAGAGAAATGGCTGATTGTGAACATCTTAATTTTAAAATGTATTTCACCTTAGTTTTCTTAATTTATCCTTTTTTTAGAATATAGTGCCACAGTTTCTGTACCTCCTGTGGTGATCAAGCGCATAAAGAATTGATTTCTTGGATTTGGTAACATGGCAAAAGATGTAAGTATAGCTGTAAGTAATGATTATACACTATATAATAATGAATATAGGAGTTCACATTGATCCTGTGTATTTTTGTAGCACCATTTAAACAGCACTAAGCATATGCAGAGCTGCGGTGGCATCTTACAAGAGGTGTGTCAGGTGGTTCCACCCTTTACTGCATAGCTAGTAAGGTATATCCGTGGAACTGCTACCATATTCCAAGAAGGTATAGTAATATCAATCCTGCCAAGCTAAATGTTTTAATATGTCATATCTTCTCTTGTCATCATCTCTTGTAGTAATAAGTAGTGCAGCATATTTGTGTCACAGTTATGCTTTATTTGCTAGTGGTAGTATTATCTTGCAAACTAGTATCAAGATATTCCGTTCTACTAAATTGGAATAAAACACCAACAGAATGCCACAGGTGACAATACTCTCCATGTCTAGTTACCTTTCATTCTAGTCGGAGAAGGCCAGTTGGCAACTTGTCAGCTTTCCTCACCATTTTGTTTGTAAACTAAAAAGGCAATATTCCACAAGATGTATGAGAATTATTTGCTTTAAAATTCTTATTTGCTACCCTTCTGGCTCATAGAGTAGGTCTGCAAATAACCTGTGATAAGACATTTTTCCAATGTTATTTTCTTTAACAGATTTTGTTTTAACTGCAGTGCCATAGATGGTAAAAGACACTTTTTAAAAGTGTACTCCCTTTAAGTACGAAATTGTGAATTCTTACTGTATTAGTATGCTAATTTCATTGTTTGCCTGCTTGAAATAATAAATAAATCTTTAACTATTAACCTAACCCTGCTCTAGCAGAATCACACCTTTAGCATTGCTAGCAGTTTGTTTACTATGAAATTAACCCAGGTATTTGAATCTTTACTCTGCTCCTTGATTCTTAGAATTGTCTTAAGAACTAGAAAAATCTGTTCAATTTAATCAATGTTAATCAAGTTTCCAAGTGAGCAGGAGTGTAATCAGTATAGATAATCTCATTGTTATAGAGCATACTTTCACAGTTTGTGACCCACCAAGCCAAACAGATTCCTCTAATCATATATTGGAATCTGACATTGGGTTCACAACTCCTCTCTTTTACAGTTCCATTCAGATGGCACACACCATCCTGTGATTGGGTCTCATGTAGTCATGTGAGAAATAACTAACTTGTTCTGCAGATACATGTAGAGAATGTTGAAGAAGATCACGTGAAATTTTAGGCTTCAATTTTATGCAAGCTTCTTTAAATAAGTGCCACTGAACAAAGTGCACAAAGAGTAAACACATATAGAACTGTGGTAAATATGCACCAGTTTTCCTAAGCACTGGCTGGTAGTTCTTAGGTGAAATGGACAGTGATTCTCCATAAGATGGAAGTAAATGTACCAGCTCTCTGTTAGTTGTAAATACCTATAATTTTAGAGTGAAACATAATAAAGTAATAAATAGGAACACAGGGTCACTCAAATGGGTTCTGTGAGTGATCATGATGAGACACAGGATGGCATCTCCTTGCTGCTTTTCCATGGGCCCACTAGGTCCTCCCATACTAATAAATTCAGTATATGACTTAACGATGCTTAATGTCAGAAGTTACATATTTCCTAACCCTCATGGTTCTCTTTTATATACAAA